AGCGGAGATGGCGAGATGGAGATGAAGATAAAAACAAAAGAGAAAGAAAAGACGAACTACGGTTAACATGAGCCTCTGGAAACGAAACAAACGCCAGGCGCCGGTCTGTTCTAAATCGGGGCCGGCCTACGAGCAGCTGCGGACGCCAGATAACACGGAGACAAGACGGCCAAGAGACCACAAAGCGATGCGCTCTCCCCAAGATGCGCGTGTTTCGAAAAGTTGAGTGGCTCTGGATGGCCGGTCAGGGGTACGATGCAAGAATACATCTCTGACGGGCGCACACGGAGCCTTGGGCAGGAATGGCCGTGACGGACGGCCGGTTACGACAAGAGAGAGGAGAGGCTGCTGTTTTCTGGCAACGAACAGCCAATGAATTTGATTGGCTGAGAGAGGCCACCACCAAAATCCAAGTCTAGGCTTGGACCGCCAACCAGCTTCGTTGCTGGCGGCCCAAACGGGCGGGCCCAGACCACATGAAACAGTTGGAAGGCAGCGTCAGCCAACGAGAGCGCAGGACGAGGACGAGCATCCAACGCCTCCCTCTAGTGGCCTATCATTGTAACTGGCTGGTATGGCGGCGGTCTAGTGCCTGTCGGTCCGTTGAACTCATTCATAGAAAGAATCCGTTAGTGGACGTTTGACACCAATACTGGGCAGACGGTCGTTTTGAGGGAGAAGTAGCGCTAACAGGGTACGGCCTCTATCCACGAAACTATCTCCACTACCAAGTATGCGTCTGAGGGACAGTAAGGGAAACAAAACAGGAGATTGGAAGAAATCTCCCACGCGCAGCGAGGAATGCAGACGCGGAAGAGCACAATTAGCGGGAGGCGAGGCAGTACGGGAGATATGAAAACAAGAAAGGAGACGACATGCGCCGAAATGTGTGAAATGAATGGCAAGGAGGCTGCATATGTGTGCGTTGGCAGGTCTTGTTGCCTTGTAAGATACGATGGCTGCAAGTAAAAGCCACTGTCGGCTCGTCATTGGAGGAGTGCCCCTGCGCTGGTTGTCTCTTCGCCTTCTGGTTGCTTCCCGTTTCATGTGCAAGCTCTCGATAATGGCGGCTCACAGAGGCCGTCGATAATACGGAGGTAGCTCCATCCGCCATTTACGACGCACAGCTTCCGGAAGTGGCGACGGAGCCTTTCACCGCCTCTCCTTCAAAGAGGATCAGATCGCCGGCTTTGCGCAAGGCCCGCCCCATTCCCCCTGGCAATTGCAACCCATTCAAACCTGCGCAAACGCACCAAAACGCACCATATGCACCCAAATGCACCTGTCAGCAACCCCTCGAGCCCCTTTCCCTTCCTCCTGTTGCCCTTTTCTGCCACCCACTGGCTGTCCTCTGTCCCTGAAAACCCCGCTTCGAGCCAATGGTGCGTGCTGCTAAAACCTCTCCATCGATCCGTTCTGGACGATTGGCTGTCAGTCACTTCAAGATCTTGGCCTTTCTTTTTTTTTTTTTTGTAATTCTGCTGGTGCGTCTCTTGAGCCTGACTTTGCTGCCAGGTTGCCTCGCATGTTTACATGATGCATCCTGGTCCATGCGTGCGAGCCAAAAGGAGCAAAGAGGCCGGAATGGCCGGTCGTTCAAAGAGAGGACGGCTGCCGCGTCCGGCATTCAATAGGTCGGTGGAAAACGGGACGCACAGAGGCACGACGGTGCGGCTGGCTGTGCTCTGCTTTGTGACGAGGCCAAACAATGAAACAAGTGATGGTGACGATATTACGACGGTATGCCGTACGTGGTATCAACCCGGGCCAAATGCAAACAATCGAAACAAACGAAACACGAAACACTGTGACGAGCATGGGTCAACGCCTTGTATCGCTTGAACCAGTGTGCAACTTACCTGCCTACGTCGTCTCTCTGGTTCTGTCATTTTGAGGGGCGGCCTAGTGGTAAGCAAAAGGACCAATCAGTCCAATATCATTGTCTAGACCTCCCATCGACGCCTAACAACCAACAGGCCAAGATATCTTTTCGCCTCTTGTAGCCCCTGACTATCGCAGTAGTTGACATTTTGACCCTTAGCCTTTTGGCCGCGAAACAAAGAGGTGATAAACAAACCGTCCGGCAGCAGTAAACTTTGATACTAATACACGTCAATAATAATAGGGTAGACGTATTTCGTTATACGGAGTGTTCCAGTGTCGACGGAATACGGAGCGGCGCTTTTGCTTTTCCTTTGCGTATTTGAGTATGGTCTGAGTGTAAGCAGCACATGAGGGAATATCGTTTATCATGGACCAAAAAAAAACGACGGAAAAGCGCAAACAACTGACGCAAGGGATTGCCGTCGAGCGTACGAAATACACACGAGATGTGCGTAGAGAAGTGTATAGGTTTCTGTCGCCCCGCAGCTTGTCATTAGCGGTCTCTAAAGTACCAATATCTATTCCTCCCCTCACGTTACCAAAGTGCGGGCACCGCTAAAAAGCCAAAATCGGTCAAATTCCAAAGCTAAGCAAACGCAGGGCTGCACAGAGTCCACAGTGGCGGTCGAGAGGGCGTAGGATCGTGAGCCAAGGGAGGGAGGCAAGTCAGGGACACCAGGAACCAGGAACGGCCGGGGACGACGGTATGGCCAAGTCAGGAACAAAGGTCAAATAGAAAGCGAAGAGCCTGGTAGTCCCTGTGCCCTGTGCTGTGCATCGTCGCAAAAGGAGACATGCATCGGTGGAGTAGACTACGGTAGACTGCAGTGCCGACGGCTGGTCCGTACGTAAATAACCCGTCGTGGCTCCCTCCGTTTCTCGTCTGCCGACCGAGCCACCGCATCGTTTTTCAGGGGGCGGATGCAAAGATAGGAATGAAAGTGACAACCAAGATATACACAGAGAGGGGAAAACGCAAGTAGCCGAACGACTTTGACAATTGCTTTTCTTTTTCTCGGCCCCCTGTCCTGTCATGCACCCTGCACATGCGCGCCGTAGGTGGGCGCCCAGGGAAAGACATCAAATTTCATGACATACCTGTTTTTGCTGCTTTTTTCTTTTCGTTTCTTTTTTTTTTTTTTAAAAAGTCTTTTTTTAGTCCTTTTGGTGGACAGGTGGAAATGGCCAGAAAAAGGAAAGAGCAACATTTTTCAGTGGGGGACATGGGCAGATACAGGGGCGAATAGAGAAAATGTTCGGCGGCCAGGTCTCTTTTGCTGTACTAGAAAAGGCGCAGACTAGAAAAGGACCAAAACACAAAAGATGCTGTATCGAGGTCCTTGTTGGTGTTGATGGATCGGAAGTTGATGCGGAAGAGAAGAGAATCTGTTCAGGTTTTTTGTCGTCGGCTAGTCGCAGGCCTCCTCAAGCCTCTACCCACTTAAGCCCAGTGCGCAGGATCGACGATAAGAGGGCAGAGACAAGCGCAGATGATCTGCTTCAGGGGAGGGCCGGCATCAAGGATCAGACAAAGTGATGTGATGTGCACCGCGCGATGCGTTGTGCATTGTGATGTGGGTGCTGTGGGTGCTGTGGTCTCTGCGTCAGTGCTCGACAAGGACCGTAACGGCGCGTCTACAGCAGCCACAAGAGGGATGCCGATCGCTGAAAAACGCGGTGCAGACTCTGTCCAAATACAAGGCCCAAAAGTGCCGCTACGAGGGTTGTCAGCGCAGTTTCTCGCAGCACATTGTCCTTTTCTGGACGGAATGTCTCACTTTAAACCAGCTGGAGCACATAGGGTGCACCGAATACCGCACCAAAGACAGCATCGCCAGCTGCAAGCACTTTAGAAAAAGTAAGATACTCATAAACCATCCCTTGCTATGATAATGCATCGGCAAAGTGCACACCCACCCTCCAGTCTGGCGCATGACCGTGCAGACCGAAATTGCTTGTCCACCCTCTTGTTGAGAGAGAGAAGAGAGATGAGGATGCAAAGTACGGCATACCGCAAAATGGGAAACGGGTAGTCGGTTGACCGTCTGGTGACGACATCACAATCTCGGGTTGGAGTCTGCTGACAGTCTCGGCCGTCTTGTCACGGGATGTGTCGTAGATTGTCAACCAGGGTGCCTCGTCAGGTCCACAGCAACAGCAGTTTCACGAGACTTACAAGAGCAAACAAACTTGGCAGTTTCGCCGTCATTGTTGCTCCTCGTCTGATCTCGACGTATTGGGCCAGACGGTCTAAACGGTCCCAAGACACAGGCACTGTCTCCACCAGCCCGTCTCTGCGGCGGCCGGCATCATCTTTCTCCTGAGCGCTGCAGCACTAGGACCAGAGAAGTGTTGTCATCGACGCCGTCGTCTTTGATGGTTTTGTGAGCCGACCGACGGCATACGTTGGTGGCTGAGAGCAGGGGTAAATCCAAAAGGTCCAAAATAGGTACCTGGTTCCTGTGGCACTCGCTTGTATACGAGTCTATTCTGAGGCATCGCGTCGCACGTCGTCCATTGTCCCATTGTCTCTCCACACGTCGGGGCGCGCGTTTTTTTTTTTTTGGTGTGTTTCTCTCGCTCTTCTGTCGGTGGCGCCGTCGCATCAGCTTGGCGAGGGACCACCAAACTCGAGAAGCAAGACGTTCGTGGCTGCCGTGGGTTTTGAACTGAAGAGGCAGCCCAGCCGTGATTGGCTGCGGAAGGCCGAGGCTAGCCTACTGTAAATGTCGGAATCCACAGGTCAAAACCAAGACAACACTGCCGCATCGACACAGCTGGGACTGCCAAGTCACGAGACTCTGCCAACAGTCAGCAATATGGAATACGATAGAATACAGACTTTGGACGGCAATTTACTGTATCCTGCTCGATCAAGGTACAGTCCAGAAACGCATTCTGCTCATGTGACGTAAGGAGACGGCACAAAGAGGGAAGGTGGGATCTCTGAGGGAAAGAAAGAAATGCAGGAGGGGAGCGAGGCTGCCTAAAACAGACACATACGTCACAGCTACGGCAAGGCAGCACGCAGTCGATGTTGTCAAAAATGGAATGCGACATCGCATCGCCATCAGATTTTTGTAATCACACATTAATTCCACGCCAACTTTTACAACATGTCTACAAACACCCCCATCGACTTCGCCAACATCGCTCGGCCCACTCGGTCGGTCCAGCCCAACTGCCTGACCTACAACGACGACCACGGCGTCCAGCACCGCATCTACCTACCACAAGGTTCGTCGGAGCGGGCATCCCAGCTCCTCATGGAGAAGAACTGGGATGAACTGGCCAAATATGAGCCGTACAGTACGTTCTGGTGCAAACCATGTTGTTTTGCTGCCACCGCTAACGTCCCAGCAAACCAAGGTTACAAGGAATCGGACTACAAGACGATCGAGGAGACCCAGTAGCAGCATGGCTGATATCAAAGAAAGCAAAGCGATCTAGTTGAGAATCACGTCCAGAAAGTGAAATAGCAAGTCCCAACACAGAATCATTACATTTCGTCTTGTCGCCCGACCGTATTCGTCATGTAATATGCACTCCCGTTGGTGCCTCTCCACGCTCCTCGTCTGTGGCGCAGCTTCTACGTCAACAACCCCCGTTTCAAAACAAGGAAAATACAAGAAAAGAGAAAACGATTTCTCGTCATCACCTCCAAGGGCTCCGTTTTGGTTTCGAGAACAGCGGCACGTCGATGCACGGATGTGAATTACGATACGTACTCTAAAACGGTGGTGCGCGGCGCACTGCGACAACATGCCGCCAGAAATAGACTGCGGCGCTTCACGAAACGAGCAGCCAGCCGCGAAGGGCCTGGACCCCATGTGAACCATTGTCGTGAAACGGCCATAACGTGGCCAGCATCACCACAAGAACAATTCTCATAGCTCACAACCTTTCCATCCCAGGCGCGCCTAGCAAGCGCCAGGAACACTGAAAAGAAAACAATGGAATACGTTTCAAAATAGATGCCTCCCAAAAAATGGTCGACAAGGGCCAAATGAGAACGGAGTGCCATAGACACAGCGCCAAAGAAAAACAGCAGGCGCCAACGGCAGTGATCGCGCGGCGGCCAGGCCCTCTCATTGGCGCCAGCTGCCGCATCGTACCGCCGCTCGCATTTCCTTTGTCTTTGCCCAGCGTACACTGTACGAGCGAGTTTATTTTTGGGACACATAGGTTACAGCAAAACGGTCAGCAGCCTTACATTGTACGCTTTCATTAGCAGTCCCGCCAATTTCGGGAGGCGCTGCGGGAGAGTCTGCCGTTGCCGGAAATAAACAAATGTCCTGAAAATATCCCACAGCGGCCTTCAAACGACCCTGAACACGGCCCTTCCAACGTAAAATGGTGTCTCGGTGCGGAGTAAGACGGACTCGTCTCGACAAACCAGATCGGTTCCACTGTAAACCGCTCGGGCAACCAACTGCATCCTTGTTCCTTACTTTGGTGACCTAAAAATACGGACGTTTCCAAACAGTCTACAGACAAACAGAGTACAAGGAAAGACATAACAAACAGGGGCAGGGTATGGCCCGCACTGAAAGACGACACATCAGCAACCCGCCTGCCATCAGAAGCACAAACGTCATGTTGTTGGGGGGACTCATGGTCTTGTTTGGTGTGATCTGTCGTATGCCGACATGTGGCACAGGTTTTGTCGTACATAAAAGAAAGATGCAATTAATGGTGCAGATGTAAGGCGTAGGGTCAAAAGGCGGCACATCTCGTGCGGCGTGGAGGAGTAGGTTCTATAAAAAGACAAAATTTGTTTGTTTACCACCTACCTGTTTGGGCGGCGCATCAAAGGTCGAGATACGGAGATACAGTCTCATTTGTCAAATGTTGATACCGTGAGCTATTACATCGACAATAAGGGATATTTTAGAGACCCGATCGATATTTCAACATAATGAAGTGTGGGAGTCTTTCTATTCGCATTCAAAATAAGTCGACAGGAAGACGCTAATAATTTTTTTTTTATAAAAAAAAAGAAATAAAAAAAAACTCACTATTTACCTGATTAGTATATATTTTTCTTGAGAAAATTCAAACTGAAAACAAAGAGCGCAACAAAAAGCACTGTTTTTTTAATCCATAAATGAGAACCTTACACTTGGGAGTACGGTCTCGACTCCAGACTGCTGGACACCAGATGTTGTCTCGGTATATTCGATAAATCAAAAAAGGGGTAAACCGCGGTCATTGATCGTTCATGCTGCGCGAATATTCAAGAAACACAAGACCGCAAAGTGTAGCAAGCACAACCTGCTCTCTACAGGGAATATCCTGTCTCCGAGGCTGGCCTTCGGCCGACAACGTCAACAAATACAGAATCTACGAACCACACGAATGCCACACTGCATTGTGAGCAGGGTTGATTCCTGCACCGTCTCGCGTATTTTGGATAAGAGGAATGGCCACCCCGGCTGCCGGCAAGGCAATTCTGTGCACCGGCCATCTATTCCCACGTTGCATTCTCTCGTCTCTCGTCCCTACCTCTGTCCTCCGTAGTCGTCCGGCTGTAGGTACTTACCGCTATTCCTTCAGTTTATCTAGATCTTGCATCGTGACGTTGTGCATGTGTCGATAAACAGCAAAAAGCTATGCACAACTCAATCTCAAAAACTGTGGTCTAGTCGACGTGAATTGCCTCTGTACAAACACGCCCCTCTCAAAGATCTCTCTATACGGTTTCGTCGCTTTGCCACCCCCCCAGCTCCACCCTCTCGAAGGAATGCTGGTTTCTGTACCTGTCTCTAGTTGCCCGCCACCCACCGCCGACGCACAAGTTTAGCTCTTGATAAAATGATGTGGCGGGTGAGACAGCGTTTGCAAAGGTCAACATTCCTCCGGCGTGATGGAGAGGAGGAGATATTGTGGCCTTCTGTAGCCCCTTTGCAGCCCAACTGGATATGGTGCGCGCCATTTTTCTTTCGATACGGGACTGCTTCGGCTGGTTCAATCTATCGTGCCATCCGTAACGTACCGTAACTTCCTGTAACTTCCAAGGCTGCTGTGGCTGCTGTTTCGTCGTGTCTGTCGTGTCTGCAGTAACAGCCGCTCCCGACGGCTCGCCCCTTTATTTCACATTCGCCTATCCTGGTGTCCGTGGAGAGACATTGGCGTATGTTCGTCTCAGTTGGGGCGCACCTTTGCTACTTTGACTGATTGTGCAAGGGTGAGGCCGGATGGAAGTGCAGACAAGCAGGTGTCGTCGTGAGATTTCATGTAGGACAGTGCCTGTTGTCCCTTTGCCTGTCGCTACGAGATAAAAAAAAAGGACAGGTGGAAGTGGCATGGTTTTGTTTTTCGTTCAATTTTGCTTTAATTCATCGGAACACCAGCCTGCAAAGAAACATCACCGCGGTCTCATGTATGCCCGTCTTGTACTGCAGGGTCGAGTACCGAGAACCGGCTTGCATTTTGCTGTTCTCCTTCGTCTTCATTAATCTCTCTGGCCGCACACAATTGTTCCACGTCGTGTCTGGCACTTGTTGTGGCAAGCATGCAGTCTGAAGTTGCTACACGTACGCGGTTATGGGGCAGTGAGGTGCGCCTTGTTGTTTTGGTTTGCATGGTTTTTTTTATGTCAATTCATCTTCTACGACGTGCTCCTGATCGTTATCTCTCCAGCTCGTGAGGATTAAGTCGTCTGTCGTCCGCTCTGCCCACCCCTTCCCATGCCAAAGAAGAAAGAGAAGTAAAAACGCCGAATGCACCTCTTTCCAGAGTTGATAGTGAAGACAGAGTAAAAAGCAAGAAAAATACAAAACAAAGCGAAGGAACAAAAGAAAATAGTAAAGGGGAAGACAACACAATGGAACATGCAACAATGAAGATATGTAAGCAAACAAGTCAGGGGGTTGACCGTGCGTTCGTTCTCTCGACTCGACGCCTTAGCAGAGGACCCCTTGCTAGTGGTATCCGCTGCCGTTGTAGGCACCGCCTGCTGCGGCCGTCGTCGTGTGCTGGCGCGCGGCGGCAGCAGCCGTGCCGGGCAGCGCCTTTTCGAGATCGTCAAAGTACGGGTGGTTGCACGCCTGCTTGGCGGACAGGCGGCTGGCCGGGTCGTACACGAGCATCAGCTCCAGCAGTTCCTGGCCCATGGGATCCAGCGTCGGGCAGATGGGCGTCTCGGTGTCCTGCACCCAGCGCGGGAAGGAGGCCTTGAAGTCGGGATACGTCGTCACGCCGGGCCACACGTCTTCGGTGGGCGTGCCCAGCAGCCGGAAGATCTTGAAGATCTCGTCAATTTCCGAGTCGCCAGGGAACAGCGGCTTGCGCATGGCCATCTCGGCAAAGATGCAGCCGACGGACCACATGTCGACGCCGGTCGAGTACTGGTGGCCGCCCAGCAGAATCTCGGGGGCGCGGTACCACAGCGTGACGACCTCGTGGGTGTAGGTGCGGAGGGGCACGCCAAAGGCGCGGGCGAGACCGAAATCGGCGAGCTTGAGGTTCCCCTCCTTGTTAATGAGCAGGTTCTGGGGCTTGAGATCGCGGTGCAGGATGCGGTGGCTGTGGCAGTAGCGGATGCCGGCACAGAGCTGGCTCATGAACTTCTTGATGATGTCGTCGCCGAGGCCCAGCGTGTGCAGCCGGGTGCCGGTGCCCTCGGGCAGGGCCTTGCCGCGACCGCCGTCGGACACGGGCAGGGAGTCCATGTATTTCTTGAGGTCGAGGTCCAGAAACTCAAAGACGAGGTACAGCTTGTGGCCTTCGGCGTGGACAATGTTGTAGAGGCGAACGATGTTGGGGTCGCGCATCTCTTTGAGCAGGCTGATCTCGCGGATGGCCGTCGATGGGACGCCCTCGTCCTCGGCCTCGAGCCGGATCTTCTTCAGCGCCACGATGCGTCCGCCGGCCGTCAGGTCGCGGGCCTTGTAGACAACACCGTACGTGCCTGTATGGGACGGTAGTTAGACGTCTGTTCTCTATCCCCACACCGTTCCGTCTTCGCCATTCTGAGGACTGTACTCACCCTCGCCGACCTTTTCCAGCTTCTGGTAATTATCCATGGTGGTGAGTGTTGTTGTGGGGAGCGAAAAAGAGGCGATGCAACGAAGTAAGGGAGTACAATGGATACAAAAAAGTCTGCCGGATACGCTCTCTAGAGGCCAAGGGCCATGTCGTGATGGGTGTTCGGAAGGGATGAAATGTCGTGGCGTTAACGGTCGCTCGAGTCGTATGGTCTCTCACGGCGGCGTCGTCGGGAAGCAGGCGAGGAAGAAAGAAGCAAAGAAGAAAACGAGGGGACGCGCTGGGCCTTGGCGACCAACGGGGGACGGATAGAACGAGTGTGTCTCGGTGGCCGCGCTGCCGAGTGGAGGTGGTCGACGGTCGTCAAAGAGGATCGTGAGGCAGAATGGTCGAAAAAGTCCAGAAACGCTGGAGTGGTCGTGTCGTCGTCGTTTTGGGCGTGGAGAGGAAGGAGCAAGGGTCGCAGCATCTGAGAGTGGTCGAGATGGAAGGCGTGGCACTCTGGGTCGTGGCTGCCAAATTATGGTGTACTATTTTTGCAGTGTTGTTTATTTATTTATTTACTCCCTTGCATGGCGGTGCTGGGTGGCACAGCAGTTCAGCGGTCGGTTTTAGCGGCATTCTGTGGCGGGGAAAAAGGGGCATGAAGCGCTGTAACGAATGAGAATTGGAGGGATCTGGCCCTGGCCCGACACGTCGGGAGCGCGTTTTTGGTGTGGCACTCTCTTTATTAGGCTTTTTCTTATCTTATCATGCCACCAGCGCCCCTCGCAAATGAATGGCGGGGCAACTACGACCGGCGGCGGTCGAGAGCGGCATTAAATAGGAATTAAATCATGCAACGAAAAGTCACAATCACAAAAATCAGGCGACCACCAACACACATTAGTTGTGAGCATTTCGACCCCCACAACCACAGAGACGATCCCTTCCCTCGACGATGCCTCCTGCCTACCCGTTATGACCATCGACATTACCTCGTTGGACGCGCACGAGCAGCCGTCCGAGTACCTGCGCAGCAAATGGAAGATGTACGCCAAGTCGACGGTCGCCGCCATCGAGGCGAGCAAGGACATTGACGAGATTCCGGCTGGGGATGAAGGGGCACAGGGTGGCCGGCCGTCCTTCCGTCCGGTGAGCACGCTCCCGGCCACACGTATCAAGGCAGCCTTTGCTGCGTTTCTGGCCGACAAGAGTCCCGTCGACGGCGACCTGGAGGACGAGGAAGAGGAGGACGGCAAGAACGGAGAATCCAATGCCGACTATCCTGTGTACGCCCACCCTCTCCTCCCCGGCCTCCTGATTGTTCCGAAGCTCGTGCCCCTGCGCGTGCAGAAACGCCTGCTGGACCGCATGGTGCACCGCGACCTCGCCGACCAGCGCCACCAGACCAACATGCACCTCCACTACGAGCTGCCCTACCCGGCGGACGGGGCGTCCTTTTTCACATACTCACCACCGGCCAACGCACACAGCATCGATGTTTTGCAGGGACCGGGCACGTTCCCACCCAAAGACCCGTCGGTGCACCGGCCGCTGTCGATCCAGCAGGTGCTGGACAAGCGGCTGCACTGGGTGACGCTGGGCGGACAGTACGACTGGACCAACCGGGTGTACCCAGAGAAGGCGGGCGGAGACGACCTGGAGCAGGTGCCCAGCTTTCCGCCAGACCTGATCGAGCTGCTGGCGGGCCTGTTCCCCGAGACCGACGCGCAGGCAGCGATTGTCAACTTTTACACGCCGGGCGACACGATGATGATCCACCGGGATGTTTCGGAAGAAACCGACAAGGGCCTGATCAGCCTGAGCATGGGCTGCGACGCGCTGTTCATGGCGGCACCGACGGCCGAATTCGAAGAGGGTAAACGCGGCCCGGCCGAGCAGGGCACGGACAAGGAGCCGTACGTGCTCATCCGGATACGGTCGGGCGACGCGGTCTACATGTCGGGCCACGCACGGTTTGCATGGCACGGCGTGCCGAAGGTTCTCAAGGGCACGTGCCCCGACGAGCTGGCCGCGTGGCCGGCTGGCGAGCACGCGGACGAGCGATACGAGGCGTGGCGCGGCTGGATGCGCAACAAGCGTGTCAATTTGAACGTGCGCCAGATGCGGGACTGAAAGCAGACGCTACAAACAGAAAAAACTTCTTCAAAAGGGAAACAGGGCCTTCCATTATTGGTATACAAAAAGGACAAAGGACAAAAACAGCCGTCATCCAGGACAAGCAGAACAAACACAACACAAAAAGCTCGAAAAGGCACATAAAGGAAAAAGGCTACAAGACAGCCGACAGTACTTGCACGAGGATGACGAAAGCCACGCCTGCCTTCAAGGACACGGCATTGGAGACCCCGCTTGATACGGCCAGCAGCGGCGTTGTCTGGGAGGCCGTCTTCTGTGCAATGACTTGCTGATTCGGCCCAGCGACACACTTCCAGTTGTCGGCCTGGCTGCCGTCGCCGCTGCCGCCATAAACCATCATCTGCGGGTACCGGCACAGGTTGCGGGTGATGGCAGCCGAGGTGCTGTTGGCGGCGACGGTGCTGTTGGAAGCTGCAGCCGCCGCCTTCCTGGCTGGCAAGGTGTCCGGTGCCTTGTTGTTCTCGACCCACTGCACGAGCGACGCCAAGGGATCCGAAGGCGCGGCACCCGGTCCGCCGCCGCAATGCTGCACACCGGGCGCGACAAACACGCGGTAAAACGAGTCCACCGCGTTCGCATCGAGCAGGTCGATGGTGCGCTGCAGGTAGTCGAGGGTGCCGTTGGGGAACACGAGCTGATCGGCCAGGCCGTGCCACGACAGCAGCTTGCCGCCGGCGGCCTGGAAGGCGCGCAGGTCCGGGTTGTCGGTGCCGATCTGGACGTCAAACAGGGACTGGGACTGCTGGAAGATGTTGGTGTAAGCCTGGACATTGGCAACGGCAGTGGTGTCGGCGCTCTTTTTGGCGAGGCGATTGCGGGCCGCCGGCATCGAGGCCCCAAACGACGAAAAGTTGCTCCGGGGGTCGTTGAGGGCGAGCACAAAGTTGTTGAGCCAGGTGGCAGCGAGCGAAAAAGGGGCGGTGCCGTTTTGCGTGGTGGACGCGAGCGTGGTGGGCGAGGCGCCCGGCAGCAGGCCGTACCACAGGGCCTTGCCGTCGGGCGACGCTGGGCCGGCGAGGATCTTGGAGAAGACGGCGGCATGGGCATTTGTGATTGTGACGGACGTCGCGCTGCCGTTCTGGCCGCGCTGGCCGCCGCCACCGCCGCCGCCACCACCTTGTGCCGACGAGCAGGCGACCGCCTTGCCGACGAGCGTGGTCGGGTCGAACTTGCAGGCGCCCGGCTGCGTCACGATGCCGTCGGTCACGCCGTCCAGCGCGTCGCAGGCGCTCACCACGCCGCCCTGGAAGGCATCCAGCACACACGGCGGCACCTCGGTGCCGGAGCCGTCCGGCTGGAGCGGGAACTGCTGCTGCAGGGCGGAAAACGGCCACAGCATGGCGGCCAGCAGGCGGTCCCAGTTGATGGCGGGCGACGCCGCCAGGATGCCGTCAAAGTCGGCCGGGTACCGCTGGGCCTCCATGTACCCCTGGCGGCCACCGGTGGAGCAGCCGGTAAAGTACGAGTGGGCGGCGGGCTTGCCGTACAGCTGCTCGACGAGGGCCTTGCCCACGACGGCCATCTCGTGCACGGACAGGCTGGCGAAGTTGGTGAAGAGCTGCTGCGTGAGGGCCGACGTGGTGTTGGCCTGCACGGGGAAGCTGCCCATCGTGCCCACGCCGGCATCGGTCGACGCGGCGGCGTAGCCGTCGGCCACGGCCGGGCCCAGGGCGGCGTCAAACAGGCCGGCCTGGAAGCCGCTGCCGCCGGTGGCCTGGAAACGGCCGTTCCACGCGGACGCGGACGCGGCACCATCGCTGCCCTCGCCCAACGGCAGCCACACCTGCACGCGCACGCGGTCGCGCGTGTTGCCGTGCGTCAGGGTGACGTTGACGTCGCACAGCGACACGGTCAGACGGGTGCCGTTGGTGGCGCGCACGGGGACGGCATTGCGGGTCGCCGCTTGGAGCGAGACAACGGTGGCATTGCCGACGGTGGGTGCTTTGAGGGCGGCACAGTTTGTGGCCGGCGCCTGGTTGGCGCCCCCCTGCGCCGACACCGCGGCCGCCGTGGCCAGCAGGGCAAGGAGTGTGCTGGCCATGCTGTGCCGAGGAAGAGAGACGGAGGTTAAAATAGAGTTGGGGATGTTCAACGCTGTAGTTTGATCAAATGAAGCACCGCTTTGTGACAAAGTTTGGTCTGGAGATGCAAGGCTGCAAGGTGGAGGATCAGGTCGAACGTGTTGGTTTCTTTTCTTTTCGGTTCCTTTTTGAGAGGCACAGTGACGACTTTATTTCAAGTCCGTCCCCTCCTCCCCATGCACAACATGCCATCCGACGTCGTGGACCAGCCGACCAGCCAGACGGCAGGGGCTCCTTGGGCTCCTTGCGCTTGATTTCGATTGTATTGATACTTTGATGAGTACGTTTTGGTGCAGTGGCGAGAAGATGGAAGAAGGGCTCGATCAAGGATGTCCCGGTTTGATCGACGGAGCCGACAGTGAAGGTGACGACGGAGCAACCCAGACGTCTGGAACTGTTCTTAAGGGAGATTTACGTTGTCGAATGCATGTAGCGTGTCTTGTTGAATTTAAAGTTTATTTGTGTTCCTTTCTATGATCATTTTATTTTATTTTATTTTTGCTTTTCATTGTCTGGCTTGATTTTACCTTTTCGCGACGCACTCGACGACAGGTGTCTATCGTTTATTGTGCTCTCCTGTCACGATAGCGGCTCCATCCAGTCTCCCACTTTCTGGTATTTTGTTTCGCGATGGCATTCAGAGACCTGCCGTCTGATCGTCGTCTTCCTTTTTCACCTCTGCAAAAAATAGAATGACGACGCCCGCTCACTGTGGCGGTTTTGTTTGGTTGGCAACATCGTCTTCGAACATGCTACATTTTAGCCGGTCGCAGATGACGAGGCCGCATGGGGATGGGAATCTGGATTTTTCAGTCGCCATCGAGCAAAAAAAACGTCGACCGGCCGAATCTCTTTTCGTTTCAGCATTCGGCCCAGCCAAGGCAAACTGTTTATGCTTTCTTCTCTCCCCCGACTGTCTGACGACATCAAGCATCGATCGAGATGGGCCGTGACGTGGTGTTTGTTGCTGTTGTGCTGTTGTGCTTTTGTGCTGTTGTGCTCTTGTGCTCTTGTGATGGATTGTCATGCCATCGAGACACGACATTCATGCACGGTGTTTTGCACAGCCTTGCATCGACGTGTTTGAAGAATTCTCCCGCCTTTGTCACTTGGGAGAGGACGCGACGATGGGCTTGACTCTGTATCGGCATATAGGCAAACCTCCTTGGATGGCTCCTTTTCCACCGTCCTCGCAATAGGAGCGAGATGCGAGACGACTCTCTCCAGCGGAAGCTCCCTCTCCCGGGCGATATGGTCATGGCGACGTCGACGTCGACGTCGGTATCCTGCCTCTGGCCTCGTTCATCGTCACATGTTTTTTGTCAGAAAAGATGACATGACCTGCGGCTGACGCTGGACAGATTCTTCGCCTCCACCTTCTTATTTCTTCTAGACCCTTGGCACAACCGTTCAAGACATACGACGTCCCAAAGCAGTGTGAGAAAGACTGACGAATCTTTTGACAAAGCTGACGCAGCAGCCTCCAAACAGAGAAGCACGACTGCCCAATGGACGAGCTGTGAGAGAGAGAGCCCAATACGGCTGCGTTGATAGTAATTCCTTTGGAAATACAAATAGCACCACAACTGAATATATGTCACGCAGCACAACTATTTCAGCAAATTTGGCATATTCACTACGCCAAAGTAACAACACATAAACAACATGACTGCAACGGGCCGTATACTGCGTATCTTGCTTCGTACCATTTTGACACGACGGTTTTGTTCCGCGCTTTGGTCAGGGGCTCTTTTTTTAAAATCTTTTTTCGCAGTCAAGAAATAACCTCGTAACTCTAGTATCTGCAGCCGCGCCTTGCCTGCCCCGCAAGCACAGCCCACAGCCGCACTAAAATCTCACTCGTTCCAATGGCATGGCTCTCGTCCAGCGGCCATGAGCGGCTCTACCATCATCCCATGCTCTGGCCAGGGCCAGAACCTTGTTTCTACTGTTGTTTATTTTTGGTGTGCGGCGAGGTACATGTAGTTTGTGACTGTCATTATTTTTTTTTGTCGAGACTCGTCTTCCGCTCTTCTCTTCTTCTTACGACGTACATCCCTTCATACGCATTGTTCATTTCGTCTACTTCTCACCACTGGGATCCGCCCTACCAGACGCCTGGCCGGCGGTCCATCCGTCTACCTGCTTAAGGCCCCAGCCATTGTTTCGTAACGCCATGTCAGCCTGAAATTGTGTCCTGGTGATTGGTGCAACGCAACGTGGCCAAAATGGCCTTGAGTGCGGCGAGAGACGATGAGATCGCGAGGTGTGCTGACGGTATGTTGTCGAGGGCAGATTGGACAATAAATGGTCAGCGCTGGTCATTGAAATACGGAACATAACATAACAAGGGACGCGATAGCGCGAGAGGAGGCCAACAGCAGGCAAAGGCAAAGGTTGTTGTCCAACTGAGGGTGGTCTGTCTGCCGTGATTACTCTATAGAACCTTCTGAAAACGGCACAGCGGGAGTCGCCGCTTACGCCGGCGCGAACCACAGTCCCTACCGCAGCCTGGCCGCTGCGGTCGCCGCACAACGCCCGATTTGCATCGTCGGCCGGAATCCTTTGCGACCAGAGGGACCAGACAGGACGCAGGGACCAGCTGCTGGCATATAATGTAAGGCTGAGGACTGCATCAGGGGTTGAGCCAAGTAGGATACCGACCGAGTACAAAGTAAACAAAGTACGATACGAAGTATTTCGTACTTTACAAAGAACGCGACCTCTGTCCAGTCGAGGCCTTCATTTGGCAACGTGATGTCAGCACTACCGCCGTATAATTGGAGGGCTGTCAACGTGAGAGTGAGAATGGAGCCAGGGGCCGATGGATGCCCATGTCAAAAAGTGGAACAAAGAAGAAGACCAGGGCTCAGCAGGGTACGAGTCTCTGTATTATTCGACAACTGTATTCTGTACCCTGTCGCGTGTAAGTCGTAAGCTGCGTTGTCAGCTCTGGGGAGCTGCCTTGTTGTCTCTGCAGTCCTTTTACGATGAGTACGGCGAAGCCGATGCCATAAATAAGAATGGATGACGCTTCAGAAACGTTGAATTGCTCTGCGCCGTATTGTGCAATCAACGTCTGCCGTCACCATCGTCTTGTACGGTTGTCGTGTCGTCTTTTCAGTCGTTTCGGTCTATTCTTCGTTTCACGCTCCTTTCACCAACTCCCGCCATGGCTCCCGTTTACGCCGACCACCCGTTTCAGCTCATCCCGGACCCGCGGCCGGAGGGCATCAATACAAAGGTGGGTGCACACTGTCGGTGCACACGGTCCTGTCCTCTGCATGGACTGCGACTGCGGACTGCGGCTGCTAACGACACAGAATGACATCTTTGACAACTCGGCGGTCGAGATGACGGCCATCCACAACTGCTTCATCCGCGGCATCAACGCCATCTACTTGCAGGCGCCGCACGTCAAGCCCCAGGAAGTCAAGGCGTTTGCCAACTACGCCGCGCTCTGGGCCAAGATGGTGCACATCCACCACCACGAAGAGGAGACCCAGTTCTTCCCCATCGTCGAGAAGATGGCCGGCGAGCCGGGGCTCATGGCCACCAACGTCGCGCAGCACCACGAGTTCCACGACGGCCTCGAAAAGTACACGGCCTATGTCCATGCCGTCGCGGCCGGCAAAGAACCGTACGATGGCAATGCGCTGCGGGCCATCATCGACGCCTTTGGCGGCGTCTTCATCCAGCACCTGACGGAGGAAATCACGACGCTCATGGGCCTCCGCAAGTACGGCGCCGAGCGCTTCAAGGACTACCCGGCCGAGTGCGCCAAGCTCGGCAAGCAGGCCATTGCCAGCGCCGGCGCCACCACCGGCATCATTTTCGTCTTTACCTGCCTCGACGTCCACTTTGAGGACGGCCGCTGGGCGGCCTTCCCGCCCATGCCCTGGATCGTCGTCCAAATGTTCCGCTATGTGCAGTATTGGTTCCACACCGACTGGTGGAAGTTTGGCCCCTGCGACCGCCTGGGCAACATGCGGCCGCTCTATGCGGTGCCTGCAGAGTAATGGCCGTCTCTGTCTCCTCTCTCTCTCTTGTACTTCTGCATCTCTTTCGTACCACATTTAGCCTGTTTTCTTTCCTTTTTTTTTTACCATAGATATACCAGTCTGTAATATATTCGCTTCACCTCCCGCTTGTCTCTCTGAAAATCTCGGCTTTGGGCCACGCGAGCCACGCGAGCAGGCTGTTGCTGCTCTCGTCATGCACATTTCCTTGCCCCTGCCCGGCCCGGCCCACTTCGGCTTCGACGGCCTCGACGACGGCGCGGCCCCAGCCCGTGATCCACCAGCAGGTGGCGAGGGTGCCAGTTTGGAAGAGGGTGGCAAAGTGGGCGAGCACAATCAGACTCCGGGGCCGGCGGCGAGCGACGTGGTCGATAAAGACGTCGGAGACGGCCGCCGGCCAGACGAGCATCAGGGCGAGCAGGGACGCTTGGCCGCGATGGCCCGCGCGGGCGTGGACGTCGACGGTCGTTGCGATGCGGTGCAGTTCGTCAACGGCGTGGGCGTCGGCGTGGGCGTCGGCGTGGGCGTCAGACGACGTGTCGTTGTCATCCGCGTCGCCGTCTGCTGGGCGCGAGATCCACTGGTGCAGCTGCACCAACGCTGGCACGTCCCGGTGGACGGATCCAGTCAGACCGGACGAGGACGAAGATGACGGCATGGCGTTGGCTATGAGCGGCGCGACCTCGCTTGCCAGGATGCGCAAAAAGTGCGGCTGCAGTAGCGTGTTGACGCCGCGGATGAGCCGAAAGGACGCCACAAGGGCGCTAATTGGGTCGTCAGGGTCGTCGGGGTCGTCGAAGTCGCCTGGGTTGTCGCCACGGAGCGGATCGACATCGACATCGACATCGACAACGGCGTCTCTGTCGTTGCCAGCTCGCAACGGCATCTTGACCGTCCCCAGCAGCTTCGCGTGAGCAAAACTGTGTACGACCAGCAGACAGGCAAATACAAACACGGCACTCGGGGCGTCATCGTCGCCGTCCACCGGTCCTGTGGTGCCTGTGGTGCCTGTGGTGCCTGTGGTGCCTGTGCTCCCTGGCACGGCCGGCTGGAGCTGCAGCTGACCGTCCTGGCCGAGTCGTTGGCGGAACATTGTCAGCGCGGCGTCCACGTGGCACGCCGCCCGCAGTTTCAGGGCCGTCAGATCTCGCTTGTCGCCGCGCCGGTCCGTTTCGGGCGCGCCGCGTGCCTCCAGCAGCAGATGCAGTGCCGACAGGGCCAGGATGCCGCGCAGCAGAAACGGATGGTCGAAGCCTAGGCGCAGCACCGTGTCCTGCCAAATGCGCTGCTGGACGGGCTCGGCTGTCGGGTCCAGCGTCGCGTGGACGTGCATCGTGTAGTGGTGCAGCAGGCGCAGGTCCATGACATCAAACTCGAACGGCAAGGCCGGTGGTGTCGCCGATGTTGTCGCTTGACTTGCCGCTTGAGCAGTCACCTCAGCGACCTGCCCCGAGGCCGGTCCCGCCCCTCGATGTCCTGCGCCCTCTGGCCCGTGGTACAGACTCGACAGGGCCGACATGAGGTCATCTGCTGCCGACGGCCGCCGCGTCTCGGGCGTCGATGCCTTGGACGACGACGCTCCAGTTGGCGATGCGCGCGGGCGCGATGCCACCGTCGGCCACATGCACGCGTCGCCCAGGCGATGGCACCGCATGCATGTCGGGCGTTTCTCGTCGCACTGCAGTCAGACATTAGTATACCAGGCGCTTGCGACTCTCACTCGCCATCGTCGTTTTGTACCTTTGCATGGCGTCTTTTGCAGTTGAGACATCCCCGGCGGGATTTTGTATGTGCTCTTCGTCCGCCAATGGTCGACATGCTGGGCCGCTCTGCTGATGTCATCTTGCCGCTGCAGAGACGACGACGAGCAATCGGGACTTGTTTGGCTCATTCTCTCATTCTCCCGTGTCTGTCGTTGTGCAAACGAATACGGCGAGACGTTTGTCAATGGAGTATCTGGGCCCATCAAAGTCAGCGTACGCTGGAATGTCTTCCAGGCGGCGACAACATCATTACAGTGCGTTCTCCGTATGTGGGACCCCTGCTCAGCCCCAAAGCTTAGCGCCCAAACGCGGGTCCTTTAAAGCTTAATTAATACGGTCGAGAACAAGGCCCAATACGGCCACGAGTACGGTCGAATACGGTGAATACGGTATTATACGGCGGAATACGGCCGTATTCGACGGAGCACCGCCGGACAGCAATACGGTCCAATACGCCCGGTCCCGAAGCCCCGTTCCGGCGCCAACAATAAAAGACGTCGCCAGCCCGTTTCCAGACAAGTAAACAACAAGACGATGCTCTCACATCATTCGTATTCACCAAACACACTGCATCGGTCTGTTCGTTGTCGCCATGTCGTCCAACGTCCATCCATCCATGGATGACCCCAATGCCTGGGTCACCTACCGCTACTATCCCAGCATTGCGGCGGCCGGGGTCGCTGTCGGTCTCTTTGGTGTCCTCACCGTGCTTCACGTGGCCATTGCGGTGCGCCGCCGGACGTGGTATTTCATCCCGTTTTGCCTCGGAGGCATCTGTACGTCCAACCAGCTCGCCTCGTCCCTTTCAGCCACTTCCGCGTTCGTCTTCCGTCGTCCGTCGTTTCTAACATGGCAGTCGAAATCGTTGGCTACATCGGCCGCATCCTCTCGTCCCGCGACCTGTGGGCGCTCGGCCCCTACATCGTGCAGTCGATCCTGCTCCTCGTCGCCCCCGCGTTGTTTGCCGCCTCCATCTACATTGTCCTCGGCCGCATCGTCGTGCACGTCCACGGCGAATCCTGCGCCCTCGTGCCCCCGCGCTGGCTGACCAAGGTCTTTGTCTGCGGCGATGTGCTCTCCTTCTTGCTGCAGGCCGGCGGTGGCGGCTACCAGGCCGCCGGCACGCTCGCGGCCCTCCACACCGGCGAGCGCATCATCATTGCCGGCCTCTTTGTCCAGCTCGTCTTTTTCGGCGTCTTTGTAGCTGTGGCGGCCGTGTTCCACGTGCGCTTCCTCCGCCGCGGCCACAGCAGCAGCAGTAGCCCTGGACTCCCCGTCTGGCAACGCCAGATGACGGCGCTGTACGTGGCCTCGGCCCTCATTTTCGTCCGCTCCGTCTTCCGCGTGATTGAATACCTCATGGGCAACGACGGGTACATCCTGCGCCACGAGGTGTTCCTCTACGTCTTTGACGGCCTGCTGATGCTGGCCGTCATGATTGTCTTTTTGCTGGCCCATCCGAACCAAATGACACGTCTCACCGGCACCAGCAGCAGGACCCGCATCGCCTCAAGTGGAAGTGGAAGCGACGCCCTGTTTCTTGCAGACATGCGGAAAGCAGCACGCGGTGGGAGGCATGGACCTAGTTCTGGTGAGAGCAGTGAGCGGGTGTAGCTTGCAAAACAATGTCGAACAACTGATGCTGTAAAAATGTACAAATAAATAGAAACAAAATAAACCGAGTACAAACACAACCCTTCCCGCAGCGCATGCGCCTTTACGCCGCTATGAAAACCAAACTGCTCGTATTTTGCACCTTTCTCTCACAAAAGACACCTTTCCTCAATCCCACCACAACATTTACTCCCTGTCCGAAAGCTCCGCCAGGAGAGCACTAACAATCGCTTGCACTGTCTTCTCGGCACCGCCGTCATCACCAAGACGGCTCGCCGAGCCAAAGGCACCAATGTCCAGTGTGTCGTTGCGGACCGCCATTTCCACATCGATGGCGTCCTTGTAGGCCTCCCGGACGCGGTTGCCGTGGAGAGACGGGTAAGCACTGGGCGATGGTGGCGGGGATGCCTTGTCTGGCATTTCGACAAGCTCCAACGAGATGCCAGACGACGCACCCACGGTGCCCAGATCGTCTGGGAGCAAAAAGTTGACAAACGATTCTACGGCGACACCCGTCCACTGTTGAATCTCCCAGAGGCTTGCTGTGAGCGGCGCTGCTGCCGTCGGCGAAGGCGGTGCGGCCAGTGCATGAAGATCAGCCTGGATCTGGGCAGCCATGTCGGCCACACTGCGCGTGGATGGTGACCGCACGAGCAGCGGCACAAGACAGAGCGTGGGATACGCCGCCAGTTTGTCATCATCGCCGCTGTTGATCCGGTTTGCCAGGTAGACACCAAAGACGACGTCGTCTTGGCTGGCATTCTCTGTGGACAACATCTTCGCATACACGGCAAACACGAGGCTCTGAAGACCGACGCCGAGTTTGGCTGCCATGTCTTTTAGTGGTGCAACATTGTCGAGCGCGGAACGGCGGTAGAATGAGGCACGGCCACGTTTCTGCACTTTTCCGGGGATATCAACAGAGGATCGTAGGTTCGCTCCGGCAAAGTATTTCGACCAATATGCTTTGTTGCTCTCGGTGGTCGCCGTGGAGAGTTGACGAGAGAGCGATTGCTCCCAGGCTGTCGATGTGGCCTTGGCTTTTCCTTTTAGTGGGGAGACAAGCAGCTCTTGGAAGCGCCCGAGCATCGTCTCGAGACTTACAGCATCATAAAGAGCATGATGGATGCGGAGCGTCAAGAGGAAGGAGACATGGCCGGCATCGACCTCCCGGGCGACCGATAGAATGGCAAACAACGGCTGAGCTGATGTGTCTCCAAGCGTGGGCCACGAATGAACCACCTTGCTTTCGTCCAGAGAAGGCGGTATCTTGTGCATCTTGTTCCGAATGACAGCCTGCAACAACGGAACAGGCGCATCGACAGCGGCGGTCATGAAGATGGAGCGCAGAATTGGGAGTTCCGCTACTAACTCTGCCCATGCACTATGGATATGATAAAGACTAATAATGGTGGATGTCTCGTTCGCTTGGAGGCGGTAGCAGAATGCAGGGAAGAAGACGTCGCCACCCGTGTTCTGCCAGACACTGATCATGTGCACTTGCATTGGCGTGGCAGGCAAGACTGTCTCGACATCGGCCGGAGACATGCCTCCCGCGCGTAGATTTTGTTCGATATGCGCCGTCAAAAGAATTGAAGTCGACAAAGTTTGACTAACAAAAGACGTATTCTGCATGTCCTCCTTGCCGGCCGTGGCCATGGCGGCCATTTCTTGTATAGAACCAGCTGCCAGCAATGCACGCACGCCCAACACAATGCCCTTTGTCTTCTTGAGCAAGGAGCTCACTTTGATTGTGCTGATGGAGTCGAGACCGAGATGGTAGAGCGTCTGGCCCGTCCGTTGGATGGCGCTCTCGGGTGTGCCAGACACAGCCGACAGCACCTCGCGAATGGCCATTTCGGCTTCTGTCCACTCACCAGAGTCTTTCTGCGAGGCTTCTGCGGTTGGAGGGTCCATATTAAGCTTTTCTTCTGCTTGTCTCGACACCTTTGGCTTAAAAGGTGGGAGGCCGCAAATGGAGACGCCGTTGTCATCGAACGCGAGAATACTGGTCGTACTAGAGGCCGCAGAAGAATGGACCATGAAGCGAAGCGCGACGTCGAGCTGGTGGAGTAGTCGAACGGCACCATGGCGAGACACATAGGCTGTATCGCAGGCCGTCCGCCACACCACTGTATCCTTCCCCGAGTCGTCGTGAACCAGCTCCATCTCAACACAGATAGGATACTCTACGTCGGATGCACCTCCAATCGACTTCATGATGACCGGCTTCTCTGTATCCTGTAGTTCCTTGTTTCCACGCTTTTGGAGGACAAAGAGAGTATTGAAGATGCCTGACGCTGACGAGCTGTCGCTGCCTGCCTCTCTTTTAACGGCCCGCTGCGCCTTGCGAAGGGGATAGTACTGGTGCTCGCCAATGCTGCCCATATTGGACTGCATGTACTGGAGGAGCTCAGATGGTGTTCCGTGTAAGACAACACGGACTGGTACGGTGTTCATTGTCGGGAAAACGGTAGCGTCGTCCTCGTCTGCAGCGCGACCAGACAGAACAACACCAAACAAGAGGTCCAGCGAGCCCGTCAGGGATGCGAGCACGGCGGCCCAACATGCTTGGCCGATCACTTGAACACTCGTGGCCTGCTGTCTGCCAAAGGCCTGCAGATCGGCGACGGACACAGAGGATGTGGACTCAAGGCGGACGACGGTTTTTTCTGGCGCCTGCACGTCGAAGATTGACATCGTATTCTGTCGTGGTACGTAGGTAGGTTGGGCGCCTTCGAGGAAGCCGAGCCAGAAAGCGTCTGCCTGTGCTGCCGACGACTGCAGGATGAGACCGAGCTGACCAATGTAAGCCGGATCCTCAGCAGGTGAAACAGGTGCAGCGTTGTCGGAGTGGTGGTAAGTAGCCTCGACTGTGCGGTGGAGGCGGTCCAGGGACCGTCCGTCGTAAAGAGCGTGAGCAATCGACAGAACGAGATACCAGCGTCTGGTGTCGCTTGTGTGGACAAATGTAAGCTGGAAAAGCCCCGACTCTCCTTCTCCGTGAATGGCCTGTCTCCTAACCTTGTCGGCGACGGCGACCAGCTCCGCTGTGCTCACAACACTGCACTCTTCTATGAACTCAATGGACTTCTTCACAGCCTGACTGTAGGCAATGGCAAAATCAGGACTGTCAATGTTGAAAAAGACCGTGCGCAGGATAGCTTGTTTGGCAACGACAAATGCCCACACGGCTTTGAGGCGCGCGATATCTACACCTGGGGTAATCTCCAAGATGTCATTGTTGAAGTAGAGTGCAAAGTTTGATTGAATCATGTCGGCCACCATGGCCTCCTGCAGGGGTGTTGGAGGCAAGAGATGGGAGACGTTGGAGAGATCACGACCGTTCGAGTTGAAGTAGCTGCGGAGCGCTTCTGATGTGGATGCAATAGTAGTGTCACCAGAGGATTTCGAGGCCGATACATCCCCATTTGGGGCCCTTTCTTCATTGTTTGCGACTTCAATCATGCCCAAAAAGGTCAGAATCGATTGTCCACGGACAAGTTGGCTGTTGGTCAAACGGACACCGGCTGTGCGGAGGCGAGCTGACAGCTTGATCGTATCAACACTGTCAAGACCCAGTTCCAGGAGAGTGGTATTCTCGTTGATCGTGTCCGCTTGCACGCCAGCAAGAGAAGCGATTGTCCGCCGCAGTGTTGCAGCCGTATCCCTCCAGACAAATGGAGCAGAGGTTGTTTCTTTGCTCAAATTGGCGGTGAAAGCATCACTTGTTACTGGCTCGGGGGTTGGATTGGGTGTGATGTTGTCCATGACATGCACTATGCCATTGTTGGTCCCTATAACTGATGAGAACGGGTCTTTTGCAACAGCTTCCAAGGCAGATTCAAACTCATCGAGCACATGGTTGAGAACTGTCTTGTCTGCAATGCCGGACATCGCAACAAGGACCAGGCGGAGGGTAGGCGACGACGGGGTTGACATCAAAACCGCCTCCAGAGCAAGTGGATAGTCGGCATGTACGGCCGGTTCAGATTGCGTCCACAAGTCTGAGGTGGCTGACGACGTGCCGGCGAAGGACTCATCTCCAAACTGGAATGAGAAGAGGATGTCAAAGAGCGGCTGTCCGGCCGAGCACCACTTTTGAATGTCTCGTAACGGTGTATGCTGAAAGGGTAGCGTAGCTACGTTGTACGCGTGACACGCCTGGGCCAGTGCCGCAAAAGACGATTCGAGCTCGGCGACCGGCGCAAAGAACGGCAAGGTGTTGAACAAGGGCCCTACAACACCTTCGGCGCCGTCTAGGTCATCCATAGTTCGACCGGAGAGGACGAGGCCAAGGGCCACGCCGTTGCTGGCACGGCTGCATATATTCTTGTACAGAACAGACAACCACAGAGCCTGGACGAGTGCTGCGTGTGTCACACCAAGACGAACGCGCATGTGTTCCACATCGGCAAAGGACAGGGTGCACTCAACGCCAATGTCTTCGCGGGTAGCGCACTTCGAAACAACTAGAGGCTGAAGGGGCTGGAAATGGCCACGATCCTTCAGGTGTCTCTCCCAGAATGGACGGCTCCTGCTGTGGTTCCGGAGCGGTCCATGCACCAGAGCATGTAGGAAAGTTGGCGCTGACGATGATGGCAAGCGGTTCGGTTCAGCTTTGTACGCGGTTGCAACCTGACTGAGGACGAGACCGAGACTTGTCGCATCATAGAGGCCGTGAAAGATATGCAGAACATGAGTGTTTGCTCCACGATATGCGAACGACAAATGCTGTATTGGGTTGGTAATGTCGTTGCCTCGGCAGGAATCGACCCAGTCTATGTACTTCTCTTGCAATGCCAAGGCTACGTCTGCATTGTCGCCCAAATTCAGCTGCATCCAGGGAAGGGTGACGGCATCGGGTTTCAGAGCAGCTTGGACAATGCCATCCCTTGTAGCGACAAAACGCGTCCGCAGGATAGAATTTCTGGCAGTGACCGTGGCCCATGCTTTCTGCAGTCTCTCAACGGAGACGGTACTGTCGAGCTCAAAGTGGAACGTATTAAAGTACGTGTCTCGGTGTTCCGGTCCAGAGCGGGCTCGAGAGAGGATGCCCTGCTGCAAAGCCGAGCAGGGTGCAATGTACTCGATCTGGTCTGAGGCGACGCCGAGGGATTGGGCCACCTGTGCGCGTTTGCGGTGCTGGCAAGCATCAACCAGTAGCCGGGCCTCGAGCACTGAGCCGATCGTTGTAGATTGCTTCGTCTGTGCATCGTGCAGCGCAGCGATAAGATCACCCATATTGGGGTGCGCAAGGATGGCTGACGGTGTGGCGGAAGACACACCTGCCCGTCTGAGTGCGCGAGAAAAGCGTAGCACAGAGATAGAGTCGATGCCGAGTTCGAAAATGCTCGTGTGTTGGGCGAGGGTGTGGTGATTGGGGTCAAGTAGGCCCAACTTGTGCAGAACTTGGACAACGATCTTGCCGCTCGGATGTTCAGAAAGCGGGGCGGGGAGAGCAGCGGTTGACGCCGTCGTCGGCGCTGCCACGTCGCTTGTTGCAGCGCCTGTCGTGTGCATTCGCTCGTCTGGTGACAGACTGTTAAAGAAACGCTTCAGCTCTTTGCCATCTGCTTTGTTGTTGGCCGACAGCGGGATTGCGGCCAGCGGAACCACGTAGGTTGGCACCATGTAGCCTGGGAGCCGCTCTCGACAGGCTGCCTGGACTTGTCGGGAGAGAATAGCACTGTCGGATGCTGAACTGTGTCCGTCCGCATGGTCAACGACAACAAAAGACACCAAAAAATCCTTCTTGTTGTCTTCGTCGCGGATCACCTGCGTGGCAACATCACCAACGCTGGCCCCGAGGCCGAGGCGGATGGCGTGGTTGATTTCACCAATTTCAAGTCGTTGCCCACGAAGCTTAATTTGGTCGTCAGCACGGCCTAGGAAATCAAAACAGCCATCATGCATCATCCTGACAAGATCGCCCGTGCGGTAAATACGGTCGCCATGGTCTTGGCGGTAGCGAGTTCCATCGCCATCCAGGGTTGGGAAGCGCTCATTGGTAAATTCGGCGCGATTCAGGTAACCTTGACCGACCAATGTCCCAGACACGCAGAGCTCGCCAACACCGCCTCGCAAAATGGGCGTCTGTGTTCCAGGGCGGAAGACAAGGGTACCGACATTGGGAAATTGTCTACCAATGTTGGACGCGCGCCCGTTTCGTGGGACCTGCGGATACGACGTGACGCCGATGGTGGCCTCGGTCGGGCCATAAAAGTTGTGAACGGCGCCGGTAGGGCCCCATGGGTCGAGCATTTCCTGTTTGAGTGGCTCGCCGCCGGTGATGAAGACGCCGCGGCATAGACTGGGAACATCGTTGGGGTCGAGCAGGCGGCCCAGACTTGGGGTCAGGTCAATGTGGGTGATGTCGAGCCGCGAGATCGTGCCGGCCAGGTCTTCCAAAATTAAATCACGCGGAGCTCCGACCAACGTCATGCCTACAGACCACGTCCAGTATTGTTCCAGGACAGCGACGTCAAAGTGGAAAGAGGCAAACTGCAGCCATCGGGATGTTTCGGCATCGTAGTGGTTCCGGAATAGCTCTTGGAAGGCCAGCATGCACTGCACTGCATTCTCGTGTGTGATGGCGCAGCCTTTGGGAGTGCCCGTGGTGCCTGATGTGTAGAGACAGTAGCACACGTCGCTTGGCTCAGGTGCGCGGCGGACACTTGACAAAGCCACGCAATCGCTGGCAGTATCCAGAGAGGCCATATCAATGTCAAGTATCGTGACGGCCGGTGTGATGTCAGACAAGCCACCATCCGAGACTGTCGCTGCAGCTCTGGTCACATCCGTGAGAAGGAGCGGTGCTCCCGCGTCCTGGAGAATAAATTCTTTGCGCGATGATGGTGCGCCAGGATCCAGAGCCAGATAAGCACATCCGGCTTTGAGGATACCCAACATGGCAACGAAGGCTTCGGGGCACTTATCAAAGCAGATGGCCACAATTGATCCGGGCTCTGCATGCTGAGACACCAGACCGGCGACCTGGTTACCGCGAGTGTTCAGGTCGTCGAAAGACCATTCTTTGCTAACCGGAACGCCGCCTCTGCTCTCGTCGAAGGCCGTAACGAATTGCAGAGCGACTTTTGTTGGCCTTAGCTCAGCCTGCCGTTCAACAAACTCATGCAGCAGCTTCACATCCGACTGAAGCTCCCGCACGGTTGGAGGCAGCACACTGTAGAGTTCAGGGTTCAGTTCCACAAAGTCGTCTTCGTCGCCGTCAGGATGGGTCGCAAGGTGGTTGACGATAGCGTCAAGCTGATTGAGAAGGATGGTCGCATGCTCGCGTGGTAGGACGCTGGTATCAAACGTGATCTGGTACAGCAGCGGTCGATCGGATGCCTCTGCAATGGCCTCGATAGAGATTGGATAGTCAACAATGGCCTCCTCGTCTGAAATAGTCCAAGGGCAGTTATCAGAGCTTGAGCCACGCTCGGCGGTCTGGTAGACGAGAAGTGTATCGAACAGCCGGGTATCAGGCTGACCCAGCCATCTCTGAATCTGGCGAAGCGGGACGTGTTGCGACTTGTGAAGTAGAATGTTTGCATGCATCAACTGCTCAACCAGCGCTCTATTGCTTGACTTGTTCTGGGCGACGACCGGCAACGTGGAAATGCACGGGAAATCCGCACGCTCAGTCGCCTCGGAGCTGCGGCCCGAGAGAACAGCACCGAAAACGACCGATGCATCGCCCACGTAAGACGACAGGATGCGCGTCCATGCCGCCTGGAGGACAGCGTGCATGGTGAATCCAGCACTTCGCACGGCCGTCTGTAGCTCGTCAAGTAAGCGCGACGATGGCCGAGACAGAACAGCATATCCTTGGGACTCGTTGAGTGGAGTCAGTAGAGGGAAAGTATTGACAACAGTTTGACCACTCTTTTCTCTCCAGAGGTCGGCTACGGGTGATGAAGAACCGGTCAAGGAAGCGACTTGGTGGAGAATATCAGAGACGACCAGCTCTGTTGATGGGGTTTCCTTCCGCTTTACGTCGTGTCCAGCCTGTATAAAAGCGGTCACGTCGTCCAGAAGAACCCGCAGACTTGCGGCATCGTACAGTGCGTGATGGATGGCCAGGTGGCAGGTCACAATGTCTCCTACACGGCCGTCGACAATAGCCACTTGCCATGGTGGAAGCTGGAGGTTCGTGAGAGTTTCCACCGTTGCCTCGCGTTTCCATTTTTTGAGATCAAAATCGTGGCCGTCATTGACGAGAAGAACGCGGGCATGGTGCTCCATTGACTCTAGAGAGATCTGGACCATGGCAAACGGAGACAGGGCGTCAAATGCATCATCGCTGTTGCTGTCGCTGTCACTGTCCGCTGCACCATCCATGCTTACGAAGCCTGTCCGCAGCATAGGGGTCGAACATGCAACTTGCCTCCACGCCTTTTGCCACATAGCTCCATCGAGTCTCGGGATTTCGTCCCCTCGTTTCTGCTCGAAGGTGATGAAATTGAAGTAGTGTTTTCCCTTTGACCGAACGAACTCTGTGAGCAGCCCCGTTTGCAAGGGAGTACAAGGCAAGACAGTCTCAATTTCATGCTCAAGGTAGAACCCATGTTTATCAAGCACAGGGCGAGAAGCCGCACGAAATGTGTTAAAGTCTATTGTCTGTAGTTCGAGGGGCCCGGGAGATGCAACGGAAAGAGATGAACTTGGTAGAGTGTGTGTCGCGGAAGATGTGTCTGGCGTGCGGAACTCGGAGTTGTTGGAGGTCGTGGTGGCTCCTGTAACTTGGACGAGTGGTGGTGAGAGTGGTGGTGAGAGTGATGCTGCCAGGGTTGCAGCGGCCAGGGTTGCAGCGCTCGGGTGCTCCATGACATCCACGGCCGAGACCTGGAGTCCTTGTTTTCGGAGTTCAGATGCTACTTGCACGGCGCGGACACTATCGAGGCCAAGGCGGTAAATTGTCGTGTCGCGCCGAATGTTGTCTGCAGGCACAGCGGCGAGCCGGGACAATACTGTACGAATGACCGACTCGGTCGTAGTCCAAATCTCATCGGTTTCGTGGACAAGAACGGCGTCCGACCCGCTGTCTTCGGCTTCTTTCCCGAACGATTCCACGTTCAAGTGCAGATTGTCAAGTTTGTCCTGCAAAGACTGAGGTAGCTCTGTGCGACTTGGGATGCGCGACGACGAGAACTGTACGAGAGTCGTCATGACAGTGCCAAACAGGTCGACAACAACTGACGCTGCTTCCGGCGTAACAATATTTCTGTAGTTGACGTACATACATTGTTAGACATTCCAATCTGCGGAAAGACCTTAGGATGCTTAAACTTACTTGTCAAAGTGAAGCCGACCTCGTAACTTGTCTTCGTCATAGGCCGGCGTAAGCTCAAAGACCATTGGGAGCTGTTGTGGTTAGTAAATGCTAAGCGAGAGACTCTTTTCTGCACACAGCCAACTCACATCCATCTCACCGTCGTCCCGCTCCAGGGTCCAAATATCATTGTTGAGTGGCCGTGATGGTTGCTGAAGCAGAAGCAAGCTGTCAAAAAGACGACGACCGTTACCGTGTTGCCTTTGGATCTGCCTTAGAGGCGTAAACTGATGCAGGAGCAGGTCCGGGTTCAGGGTTTGAAAGTAGGACAACAGATCGCGGTTGGACTGTAATACGGAAATGTTGGCACGGACAGGAAGCGTGTTGAAGCATGGGGCAACTAAACTGTCCACATTCTCAGCTGGCACAGAGCGGCCGTTGTAGACGTTGCCAAAACAGACGTCATCCGTCTGCATAAGAATGGCCATAGTACCTGTCCACGCTGCCTGACAGGCCGTCAACAAGGAGTAGCCCAGGCGCTTTACTTGATCCTGGATGGCCGATAGAGGCATGTCGAGAGCCTGCTCCAGGATTCCGCTACCCTTGTCAGGTGCGGCCGGCCTGTTTGCAAGTAGCAGAGTCGGTTTGTACCCAGCAAGATGGTCGCTCCAGAATTGGTCTGTGGACGACGGAAGGTTCAACGCTTGCTGAAGGAACATGCTGAAATTCGGCGCCGTATTCAGTATTACCGATGACTTTTCCTGTCCGCTCATGCTGAGGACAACCTGTTCGACTTCCCATAAAAGACGGCCCATGGCTTCTCCGTCGTAGACTGCGTGGTGGCAGACAAAGGACAGATACTGAGTGTCTCTGTCCCTGATTGCTGCAAAAGAAACTGGGGGCTGGAACGAGTCGACTGGATAGGGGAGTGATTGTGCGTGCTGCTCAACGAGGGTGTCAAGAGTGTCCATAGCAGATGTAGCCAGATCCAGCCAGGGAGCCGTATAGGTGTCCAGGACAACCTGCGCAATGGGGTACAAGACGTGATCGGATGTCACAAAGCATGTGCGCAGAATATCTTGGCGAGCACAGACTTCCATCCACGCCTCTTGTATGACATCCACATTCTCTACGAGGCGGAAGAGCATGCGATTGACATAAGTCTTGCCCCGTGTCGGCGAGACCAGCATCGCTTCTTGCAGTGGTAAGCACGGCGTGGCTGGTTTGGTTGAAGACAAGCGTCTTTCCTCAAGGTTCGACTGCAAGTTTGACAGAAAATCTGATGAAAACACGTCCAGTGAAACGGTTGACGCAATGCCAGAGGTAAATGATGTCGTTGCCGACTTCTCGGCAATCAACTGTGCCAGCTGTGCAATGGACATGTTCCGTAGAATATCCGAGATGGCAAGGCGGCACTCTGGAAACGTCTGGTTGAGCCGCCGAGAAACATGGATGGCAGATAACGAGTCAAGGCCTACGCTGGCCAGCGGCGTCCAGCGGCGGATACTCTGCGCATCAGACCTGAAAACATCAGCAATAATAACAGAGATCTGCACCTCAATATCCGTCCACTGTGCGGCGTCATCGTCTTCAGCTGTGGTAAAATTGTTTGTAAAGGCGGACAGTTGATCTTGAGAGAGGCTGCGGAAGGTGTTCAGCAGCAAAGCTTTGTTCACTTTCCCAGCTGGTGTCAGGGGCATGTTTGTTATTGGGATCAAGAATGTCGGTACCATATAAACTGGCAGCCGAGATTGCAGCTCGAGGAAAAGAGAAGCAGCCAAGTCTTGATGTGAATCAAAAACACAAAATATGCGATTTGACGACGTTGACGAGGGCATGTAAAAGGCGACTAGCTGGTCAGAGCTGGACTCCGGCGAGTCTTCTTTGCGGGCGACAACGGTCACCGCCTTGGCCACAAGTGGAGATGCGCAAAGAACGGCGTTGATTTCGTTGAGCTCGATGCGTTGGCCTCGTAGCTTGATCTGGTCATCAACGCGACCCGTGATCATTAGCGAACCGTCGGGTAGCATGCGGCCAATGTCACCAGAGCGATAGAGCCGGCCATAAACGGGATGTTGAATGAACTTTTCTGCCGTTAATGATGGCAGTCCCAGGTAGCCAGCAACGACCTGATCGCCGCCAAAGCAGAATTCGCCAACAGCCCCAAAAGGTACTGTCTGTCCACTTGCGTCGCCCATGCGAAGCACGACTGTCGACGTATTCTCAAAAGCAAATCCGAGGTGGCGGATGGTATCACCAAGGGCCATCTTCTTCACAGTGCAGATGTTTGTCGTCTCGGAAGGTCCATACCCTGTTTCGTTAGTATCACACCGTTGCAAGTTGAAGGAGGCACAGTATCTTACCCTGGAACAGCTGCTTCGACCACATGTTGGCCACCTTTTCTGTCAACGGCTCCCCAGCTGTGACGAGAAACTCAACACTCGGTGTATTCTGAGGGTTGACCAGTGCAGCCACAGTCGGGGTCATGCTCAGGTGCGTGATGCCAAAGAGGCGTATAGTGCGCTCCAGGTCTTCAAACAGCACATCGTTCGTGGCCGAACAGAGGCACAGGCCATACACCCAGCTAAAGAAAATTTCAAATACGGATACATCAAATGCTTGCGAGCATGACTGCAAAAGTCGTCCACCATTTTTCTGGGAGATGGGGTAGATACGTGACAGGACATCGAGGTTACTGCAGATGTTGAGTTGGGTGACGCAGACACCTTTGGGCACGCCCGTGCTGCCCGAAGTGTAGACAATGTTGGCGATCCGCGCTGGGTCAGCCGGTATAGCTTCGTCTCCTTCCAAGTCTTCATCAGGATACAGTCTCAGGTCAGCGATTTGCAAGTCCAGTACGGGACAAATATTAAGACTCGAGAGATCGTTTGTAGTTCTCGTATCAGAAAGAATACACCTAACACCGGCCTGTTCGAGAATGGTGTGTATTCTAGTCAACGGTGTCGTTGGTAGAAGAGGTAGGTACGCACACCCGGCTTTGAGTATGCCCAGAATGCCGGCGTACAGGAGTACCGACTTCTCCATGACAATTGCCACAGCGTCACCAGGTTTTGCGCCGAGTGACTTCCGAAGACAGCGTGCAATTTGATTGGCCATCCTGTTGAGCTCGTCAAAAGTGATGGTAGTATATTGCATCAAGCCTTCGCCGTTGTTCTCTCCGTCATTGAACGATGTGGCGAAACAAACCGCAGGCCTCGTAGGGAATCTCTTTGATGACTTTTGCACGAGCTGGGCCAGGTCTGGGTGGCCGTCAAAGGTCCGGTAGTCGAGGTTGTGGCGGGATTGTAAGGCTACAGGAATCCCGGCGTACACTGCGGAGAGAGTGTCGTTCACATTGGCAACAATATGTTCCAAAGCAGCAGCATATTGCTTCAGGAGCATTTCCACTTGGACTTCGGGAAACGAGTCGGCGTGAAACGTTGTCCTGATTCGAAATGTGCCATTCCTTTGGCCGTGTTTCGCCTGCGGCTCCACCTCCCAGAGCATCTTTGTCTCCAGGTAGTCTTTGTGGCCAATCTCACGGACCAAGTCGTCTTCCGTTCCATTGCTGTACATTGATTCTTGATAAACGAACAAGACATCGTACAGGAATTGGCCAGGACGAGTACCGGCAATTTTCTTGATCTCTGGCAGCGGGAGGAACGCGTGCGCCAGAAGGGCGCGGTTGGATGCGTGGATATTCAGGAGGAGGTCGCGGATTGTGTGCATGCGAGAGAGGTCTGCTCGGAGCGGCACAGTCTGTAGACATGGACCTACAATATCCATAATGTTGTCCACGGGGAGGGTCCGACCCGACGTGACCGTTCCTAGAACGACATCCGGGGAGCCGACAAGGCCACTCCACAGCCACGCCAGCGCGGCTTGGAATAGAGTTTGTGTGCTGCATCCCACGGCATTGGCCACGCGATCTATGTGAGCCTTGTCTACCGGCGTGCCATCGACCGAGGACAGTAATATTTCTCGGCTAAGGATTCGCCCCGTAACGTCGCGTCGTGCGTTGAGCTCCGGGAGGGCGCTCGGCTGGAACCCGTTAAGCGTTTCGGCCCAGAAATGCTCGGCTGCTTCCCGTTGCGCGGACGTCATGCAGCGGCTATGTTGGACAACGGCCGAGTAGTGATTTGCAGACAATATGAACTCGCCGCGCAAGAAGGCGTGCAAGTTGCGGCGGAGGAGGTCGAGAGACCAGCCATCGTACATGGCGTGGTGCATGTGAAGGACAACACGTATGTCTCCGACTTTGTTGATATCGGCCTCTTCAATATCCACGTAAAACGGCATCAGAAGCTTCTCTTCCGTATCAAGCTGGCAGTCGCGTTGCAGCTGGTCCATCGTTCGTATCTGGTCTTCTGCCCCATACCGGCGAATAACTTGCACGAATCGGCCGTGATACTGGGCAAAGCCTGTCCTCAACGCTTCGTGTTGGCTGATTTGATGATCCAACGCCTTGAAAATCGTTTCACAGGAGGTATTGTCGCGGAATCCAAGCTCGACCCAGTTGCAATACGCCCTGGGGTCAGCCAGCGTCTCCGCCAGCATCGCGATTTGTATTGGGGTACATTCCACCACGCGCTCCACATCGTCCAGTTTGAAGTGGCTTCTGACCAGTTCATTGTCGGCGAAAAGCTCACTTGCTTCTATTAGATAATCTTGATTTTGTGCTTCGATGTTGTCTGACGCTTCCGGTGTGGACTGTCGTATGCGAGAATGCAGCGCTGCCAGTGTCCTTGACTCAAGAACGTCCACCGCACTAACATGAGGGAAGCCAGCGCCGCGGATAGTGGCAGCAAACCGAATCGCTTTTAAAGAGTCCAGTCCTACAGAAGCAAGAGGCACTGTGTTTCTGATGGTCGAATCCAGAACGGATCTTGCAACCTGGTGCAGCGTGTAATCGAGGTCGTCCTCGAACTCTTCTGGTGGCGGTTCGGTGACCTGCTCTGTATTCAACTCTGTGTACTCACTCGAAAGCCGTTTGCGGTCAACTTTGCCCGATGGCAAGCGAGGGAAATCGGGCATGAGAACAATATCACCAGGGACCATAAACCGAGGCAACCATGCTCGACACGAGTCCAGTATTGCTTCTTCCAAGCCAGTGAATGCCGTAGCAGTAAACGCCTTGGGTCCCGCGTCGCAAAACGCAACAAGAATGCCGTTGATCACAGCCGCAACACTCCCGCGACAGCCGTCTGTGCGGAGAACAGCTTGCTCCACCTCGCCCAGCTCGATCCGCTGACCACGCAGCTTCACCTGGCCGCCCGACAGACGGCCAGAGCACTCGAGGGTGCCTTGTTCGGTGACCCGGGCCTTGTCACCGGTGCGGTACAGTCGTCCATATTGTTGTGTATCGATAAATGCAGCGGCTGTCTGCTCCGGACGGTTAATGTAACCGCGGGCCAGCTGGTGGCCACCAACGGCCAGCTCACCGGCCTCGCCCATTTGCGCGAGTCGCGGGTCTCCACAGGCGTCCTTGTCACTCTCGTCGCCCTCTTCATCCGGGATGGCCAAGATGTACGCCGACACTGTTTCCAAAGGAAACCCAATGTTTTTCACTGAAGCTGTTCCATCCAGCGCCGGTTGTAATGTACTACATGTTGTGTTAGTCTAATGGTCTGTTCTTCGCGAAAGCAAAAGGGTGCCAAAAACGTACCAGTGGATGGCTGCTTCTGTGGGGCCATACATGGCCCAAAGAATGCTCGTCTGCTCCGGGCCGGCACCAAATTCGCAAATCACGGGCTCTGTCAGCATCTCGCCAATCGTCAAGAGTAGTTTTAAACCGGGCGCGTTGGCTCGGCTCTGCAGGAGACTTCCCGCCACAGTGGGCGTTAGCTCACAAGCATCCACGTCGAGAGAGGTAATGACAGCCGGCAGATCGTCGAGCAAGTCGGCCCGGCTGCAGCAGACCAGCGTCGCACCCCGGAACCAAGGGAAGAAAATCTCAAAGACGGAGACATCAAATGTGGGTGCCGCAAACTGGAGAAAGCGCTGGAAACTCGGGACGTAGTGGTCGTGCGAGAGCAGGCTCTGAGTAGCAGCGCCGTGCGGGACACCGACGCCTTTGGGCGTGCCAGTCGAGCCGGATGTGTACATGACGTAGGCCAGGTCATCGGGGCCAACGGTCCGAGCCGATGACGTCGGCGTTTCCGACGTCTCCGGCCCGACATATCGTCTGTCAAATAGGTGAAGCTCATCAACAAGCATGACCTGTAGGGACGCCTTGATGCCCTCAGGGAGCCTGGCCGCCATGGCCGACGTCGTCAGGATGAGACCGGCTCCAACGTCGTCCAAAATGAAGCGAATGCGATCTGGTGGTGCATCCAGTTGGATCGGGCAAAAGGCACCGCCGGACTTGAGGATGGCCAGAAGCGAGACATACAGCTCCGGCGCCTGGGGAATCAAGACCGGTACGACGAAGTCGTTGGTGGTCGGAAGCGAAGATTTGGTCGACACATCTGCCACAGCATCCAGCCGACGGCTGATTTCGACTGCAAGAAAGAGGGCAATTTTGTGCAGCTCCGGGTATGACAGCGTCACATGCGTGCCATCCGGGGCCCTGTAGTCGAGCGCCAGTGGTTGCGGCACGGCTTCGGCTTGCGCTCTGGCCACATTGTGGCCTGATGCAGCTGCCGCATCGGTTCGATCGCCATCTTCAGCGCCGGAAACAAGCAAATGAAGCAGCGCCGGTCCAGGCAACTTCCGGGGCTCTGGATTGAGGATCGACAGAGGTTTTTTGTCTACCATGTTTATGGAATTTTGCTGTGGTGGTATTTGTCGGCGTTTGCTCTGTTGTCAAGTCGTGTCAAAGCTCCAGCCAACGAAAGCACTGGAGCGTTGATGCCGCTTTCCTGTGGGACAAGGCTGCAATATCGCCCGGGAAAGAAAAACGCCATAAAAATTCTCCAAATTGCAAACATAAAAAACCATTAATGCTTGCAGCTCTGAGCGTATGTCAAGACCATCGCGGTTCGTCGAGACGAAGTCGGATTTGGGGACTTGACAGGAAGAGGGCCGCTTGGAGTGGAGGCTCCCAGGCGTGGGGGATTGGGGATCTGGAATGTCCAAAGGAGCGTGTGCATGCTGGGAGACGTTCCACTCCACTGACGGATCAAAGTCCAGTATTGACAAGCGAATACGATAGCTGCCACTTTGTAGCGGTGATGTTTTTGTTTTGTCATTTGTTGCTGTCTTGCTCGATTTTCCTGTTCTCCTTAAGCCGAGCGTAGTTGCGCTATGGAGCCCCAAAATAGTTCGCAAATCCGACTACGGAGGTAAGTACGACGGGGGTGGTTCGGATGCGGGCTTGCGAGCTTTAGGGGAAGGAGCACATCGACGCGCTTGTTAAGCGTGGCCCTCCCTCGTCTAGGAAAGAGCTACCATTGTGTGGATGCTGTTAAGCAAGCTCTTAACAAATCATCTCTGACCTCTCGCTCAGTTCGTTGTACGCGTGAGAAAGCTGCAAAGCTGCAATACGTGCTGCGATTATGATATCTGGGCTATCGTCACAGAGCAACCCAAATAAAGGGTACGTACAGCAAATGGTCTGGGAGGACTGGCTTCTGGGGGAACATGCGTGGCTTGTTCCTTCCTACAAGGTCATACAAAGATATTTCCTCTTCTAGAAGCGCTCCTGCCGAACCAAAAATAGTTGTCAGGCACCTGACCACAGTCGCTCCATGTAAGGGTATCGTTTATGTGTTTGGGACTTCTCTTCTTGTTCTCGTATAAGAGAATGATCGTGACATGTCTGTTGTCAACAATCGAACTACTTGCTCTAAAAAATACCATTGGCAATGGGGTCCACCGTGATGAAAGGCAGGCCAGGAGGGGCCTGTCCGTGAACAAGGCGTGAATTAGCGTGGGGTGCGCCTTCCGCGGGCATCTTGCAGCGAAAAGGCAGACACCGCTCCCTTTATTTTTCTTTTCTTTCTTCTTTTTGGGCCGTAATGGCTTCATGGTGTAAAAGCAAGGCTTGGGCCTCGACGGCACATAGCCAATAGTGATGCAAAAGATGCCGACAGCAAGGTTCTGCAGATGCATCCCGCGCTACGAAAATATAAGTCGAAGGGAATGGAGTGAAGAGTGTGGGATATCACAAAATGACAAAAGACAACTTTTTATTGCTTGTTCTTTTTCTGTGTCATTTTCTGAGTCGCGAGACAAGCGATGAATAAATCCTGGGAGTGAGTTCGAGTTCTCCGCCTTGGCTCCGAGGCGGCGGGGATTTGTGAACGTCTTCTCAAATCGTCGCCAAATGAAGTGTCAAAACGTAATTCTATTGCTCAAACCAGACGAAGAGAGGACAACAAGAGGCTAGCCTGGAAATAAAACTCTGCGAAGAAAACGGCACAAATGTAAACCAGAAATGTAACAGAGCGAGAGGGAAGAATATGGGTAGGTAGACATATTGACTGTGGCCATCTTCGTTCCTAGCATACCGAGACAGGATTCGGTGCCCCATCACGACTTTGAGCATCAAGCTACTCCTGGTTGCAAAGAAAATAGGTCCAGGCGCCGCTTGGTCTGGAGGCGACGACTGAGAACCGAACGGCAATAGGACCAGGCCCAAACCAGGATTAGCTGCGTCTTGTAGCGCGCATCGTTGTCGTCATGTGTGGACTGCCGACCTTTTAGGACAATGAGCACACAGTTTTAGTCTACTTTTAAACAGCAGTCGCGGTTTTCCGTTGAGCTACCCAAGCTCCAAGCTATTTGCATGGTATGGAGCCGGCTGATCGTTTCCACTAATAGACGGAAAATAAAAACATGAAGAAAGCTACCAAGGCGTGCAAGGCAAGAAAAGCAAATCGCGTGGCCTCTTTCATCATGCTTTCCACCCGTTTTGCCAACCACCCTCATTACTGTCAAACATATACGGAATAAGGAGTTCAGTCGTGGACTTCCTGCAGAGGCAAAACTAAGAAGAAAGATGAAGCCATGCCAAGCCTGGACCCCTCCAGCCATCCAACGCAACGTAAGGAGGTCACCCACTTTCGTGATGTCGTCGAACCACCGACGCCTCTAGCTCCATGCATGTGCATCTTCTTTCCATTGCGTGACCTCTCTGTCTCTCTGCCTCTCTAGGTTTGCAGTCTTTTCGTTTACCTATTTCACCGTGTTGCTTCTCATCCTCTTTTTTCTCGCATCGGCAAACCCCGTATATATCTTTTTACCATTTGATGTGTCGCCTCTGATGCATCTCAGGCGGACCAAATCCCCACCCCTTGCATTGGTAGGCTTTGTGCCTGTATGGCGACCGTCATGGTTTCCTTTTCTGTCGATATGTTTTTGTAGAATTTCCTTTCGCTCCAACGAATGGTAATGAGTCGTTTAATTCTGTGATTACTTTTCACGGCCTCCGACTGGCTCGGGCCCCCAACCTTTCTTGGTGGTTTCTCGTTTACTTGCGCGATGTGTGACCACGACGACGAGCAGGAATGCTATTCGTCGTGTCTCGTGCATCGTGGTCCTTCTCGTGTGGCTTTCTGATCCGCCCAGTAACAGAACATGGATTTCAACCCCAACGACTCTGGTTTGCTCCGGTTCGGCCAAGGACCATTTGCCGAGCTCTGATCTCCGATCGAATAGCAACGTCTGCAATTCTGCTGATGCTAACTCACTTCACAAGGCGTTTTTCGTAGATTGCTGTCGTGATCGACGGATGACGGATACCTCCTCTCGTCGCCCTCCGATCTCTTTTCCCCTCTCTTTTCCGATGCTCTCTTGCTTCCAAAGATCTCGTCGTACGGTACCAGGCCTAGTCCAGGGTCTATTAGTGGTAGTCAAAGTATAGCTGTGTGCTGGAACGGTCTAGCATTGTTTCATTTTTAATTCATCTTTTCTATGAATAATTTCCGTATTAAGCAATACACAAACACTGTCTGTGCGATCAAAGAGATTGGGGATAAGAAATGGTCAAAAAACTTTTTGCTAAATGCTGAGACTTTTTTTTTTATATATCGTGAAGTTTTTCCTGACGAAGTCTGGCTTATTTTGTTACCATGTACAATTGACAATTGACAATAAAATACTATGCGAATTCGAGTTTTTCAGTGTTCTGTCGCAAATCAATAATGAAATAATGCCAAAAATAAAATTCGGTATTTTCATCGTTTGTTGGCACCAAAAATTGATTCGACAATCTCGCCAGAACGAGTGGCAAGAACAGACAACAGTGTGTCGCTCAACTTCCAAAGGTTGTTAGCTTGAAAATGCACCAAAAGTATGACAAATGACGTCAACGAACATCAAATCAACGTACACCATGTGTGCCTTCACAGCATCCTTGCAGCCAGATGCCTGAGCCTGGCGCAATGCGCGTTGCGTCAAACTCGACGTGGTAATCGCGGGCAACGCGGAGCATCTTTGTCGGGGAGGCACCGTCTGACGCGGTTGTGTCATTCACCTCCCAGGTACCGATGCTGTCATCGTCCGTGCCGCTGGTAGCCCTCTTGGACTCCGTTTCCGGGAGAAGGGGCCACAGGCCCTTGAGCATAGTCACATGGCTATTTCGTTCGTAGCCGGTGGCTGCAATAACGAGGTCGACTTCCAGCACTTCGGGCTCGGCTGATGTGCCGCTTTGAACCGGTTCCACGACCAGGCGCAGGGCGTCCTTCTCGCCCGGTTCGACGCGGGCAACCTGAGTCGACCCGAGGATGCGGTGCGGCCACTTCTTTTCGTCTGTACCGAGCTTGCGGCGCTGGTGATACATGCGGTCGTAGAGATGTTCAATCAATTCGAGGCGCACTACACCATAATTGGTTGGACGGGCATCAACCAGAAGGTTCCTTCGGTAGCTAGCTGGTTTGGGATACAAGCTGTCAATGTACTCGGGATTAAAAATAGAGTTGACACTGAATACGAATTAGTAACGCGTCTCGAGTGTGACCGTTGGGACAGATCTTTGACTCTTGACACTTACAACGGAGAGTCGTCACTGGGGCGGAGGAACTCGGACCGCATCACAAGAAAGGTCTGCGAGTTCGGGTACAACTCTTGGATATTGTTGAAGATCTCAGCTGCACTCTGGCCGGCTCCAACGACAGCCACGCGGTACGGGGCATGCTGGTTGTCGAGGATTGTCGGCACAAGGTGGGCAAACTGAGAGGAATGAATGACGCGTGGGTGGGATGCGGACAGGCACACCGGCAGTGACGGCTTGCCGCCTGTGGCAATGAGCACATTGCGTGCTCGGTAGAGCTGTTCACGTCCAGATGTGACATCTCTGGCCACGACGCGGAATGTAGAGACAGTATCGTGTGCGGTTTTCTGTATCTTTTGGCCATCCTGCACATCAGCATCGACAGCCAAGACCTCTATATCGTAGATCACGGACTCGTCGAACGAACTTGCACACCAGCGGAGGTAGTCCTCATACTCGGCACGAGCAGGGAGGAAGGTTCCGAGGTTGGTGAAGTCGACCAAACGCCCATTCTCGTGGAGATAGTTTGTAAAGGTGAAAGCAGAACGCGGGTTGCGGAGCGTGGCCAGATCCTTGATGTAAGAAATTTGCATCTTGGCGCCGGGCAGGAGCATGCCAGCATGCCAGGCGAACCCGTGCTGCTTCTCGAGAAATAAGATCTTGGGCGGCGCTGCCAGTGTTCCCGCCTCAAGCGTATCATGGACAGCCACAGCAACCGCAAGACTGGCAGGGCCAAAGCCAACACAGATTAGGTCTTGAACTTCATCCGGCACGGCCGGCCGGAGTCGCGACTGATTCGCTGTCGAGTATACTCCATTGGTGCCATTAGTACCGTTCACACTGCTTCTGCCATTGACGCCATTAGACGTATGGCTATTTGGGCAGTGGCCGTTCCCATATGTCATGGGAGAGGTCGTCATGTTCTGTGCTTCTGAGATAGCTGGCATTGGACGATTTGTGGGCGTGAGCCGCGTTGTCAAAACAGTCTGGAAATCTTCTTGTCTAGGAAAGAAAAGAAGACGACTGGTTTTGGGTGGAAGAAACAGGCCCTTCTCGTCTGGCGTTGACACCGAAACAAGTAGCAGAACAGCGAGGATAAAATAAAGATAAAATAGCATGGGCCGGCCGTGTCAATCCACCTCCACAGAACCCTTGTCCTTGTGTTGTCGTATGTGCTGTACTTTGGTGTTTTTTTTGTAAACTAGAATCCTCTCTTGCGACGCTTTGTCTCCCTATTTCATGTGAATCCACTGTTGACGTATTATCCCTCTAGGCTCATCGGGTGGAATGTGCGCATGCCGAAGAGACACCCTTTCACAACTGCGGTGGTCCATGTGCATATTTCCTTAATGCTATTCCTGTTCGATGCTCTCTCTGGCGCTAACGGGTTTGTGGTGTCCTTGAGTCAGCTGGGGAACCAGCGGAAGGTGTGGGGCGTGGGATGTCTCTGTGTAAAAACACCGGATGCGAAAGGGCATACAAGAAGGGTTAATGAACTGGCCATTTTGTCTAGGAAGTTCATGTTGCCGTCTTCCAGTGGGTGGGCGGAACTGCTGACAAGTGGAATGTGCAGAAAAAGCGGCATAAAAAGCACACCATCTTGAGCTGGGCATTTCGGAAAGGCGACACGATTCCTATGTCCCTGTTCGTATACCAACTTTAATTGCTGCATGTATTCTCATACGAGGAGCGAAAGTGTTGCGGCCGGCGCGGTATTGAGGGCTCGTCATGACGATCTTTTTCCACCCACTTGTCCCCTTGTCTCTCAGGGCAGGTAGAAATAAAGTGCGGTATTCGGAGAAAACGCGTGGGATTCAAATGCGGCCCTTGTCTCCGTCGTAACAGCCTCCACGCGGCAAGGCAGCACCATGTAACAACTGGCGAGAGTTTTCTAGCCAGTCTTTCACGAAACAGCCAAGTTGGCCCGCTCGGTGCAGTGGCCCAATGGAGGAGAAGCCGGTGGCAGAGCAATAGCATTTGGTTCGCCATTTGAGGCATTAGATCCTGTCCGAGCTCCTTGTCCGTATCGTCCAGAGGTTTGACAGTCTCAACAGATGTCCACTTGGTCTTCATTCAGGGCAGGGCGACACGCCCGTAACTAGTTTGATGGGCCACAGCCATCCGAGAAATCCCCTAGAGTGGAGACAGACTTTGGGACCCAGATGCGATGTCGGCATTATCTCTAGATCAGATAAGATGTGCCAAGCCAACCAACAAAAACCAAGTTGGCTCTCGGTCATGAAAATATGCTGCAACGCGGACTTCTACCGTGATTTAGTCAGTTTTGTGGCTGCGGAGACTGGGTATTTTCGGCTCATAGGACGATCCTTGGTGCGCTCTTTTCAGGAACTGACGTGATTTGTTCTGGTGTTTGCAGCCAGCCGACGAAAGTACCAGGCGTCGATCGTCTTTCTTTTCTCCCAAGTCTGTTTTCCACCGCCGAGAGAGAGTGAGGCCAAGAAATACTCTCAACACCTCTTTACGCCACGGAAATCAATGCTGCGTCGCCAAGAGCCCCTGTAGTCACATTGAAAATTCCGGGCCCATCAACATGCACCTCGAAGTTAGCAAACGTCCGAAAGAGGAAGCTGGAAAGGTACACACGTTGACCTGCTGCTGTGCTAAAATCCAAGATGATCTGATAAGATGGCATCCACCCGCTGATCCGTGAAAAATTCTGTTGCCGGACGCGGCATACATGCAACGGTCGGGAGCGATTTCGGATGACCACTCAGAATAGGGGGTAGCATGTATGTCTGGAACGTCGCTGCAGTTGCAGCCCAATAGCGACAGAAAAGAAAGCAGCGAACACGGAGTGCACTCATAACTGCATGTTCGTAGCTGGCAGTTGCCGGAAGAAGACACGCGTCCTTGAGGATGCAGCAGATGCCCAAAGCAAAGGCACGTTAGATGGCAGCCAGTCGCCTCACACTCTTGTGAATATGTGCCGGAACTTATATGGAGGCGTGGGGGCTCACGGACGAGAGTCAGTAAGTCCACATTGATGATGACATGATGTAGGCTTCAAAAGGACGGCGAAAGATGACTGCGAGCCTTTTTAGGATGGTGGCACATGGTGATGGTGCTTGACGGAGAGAGCAGCAGGGGAAATGAAGAAGATCGAAACCAGTTGGCACCATAAAAACGAATGTCGAGGATTGGCCATGAGCAGGGAAGGACAACCAAGGCAGCGCTTGTGTTCGGTGTTGGGATACTACGACCAAGCAGCCCAACGTCGCTTCCACGTTTGTGTCATGTTTTGGAAAGTGCGACCTACATATGCAACTGCCGTGCCGTAAGCGACACTGGGCAGGAAAGAGCAAACGAGCGACCTGGCATGTGCAAAGTCTTTGTTTTACTTTTGTGTGACCCCGAAAGGAAGGAACACAGAAATTTTGGCAAGTGCAAACTACATCGCGAGGCTTTAAGGAAGGCAGCACCAACACAGGATGGAGGGTCACTCAAGGCTGTCCTGATGCGGTGATGCGTACAACAACAAATTTTGCATCGTGTTGAAACTATCTGTGTTCTTCTTGTTCGTCTGCCTGTTCACCAGCATGTTGCACAACCAAACACCAGCCAACGAATTTCTCCACACTGCCTCACTTTGTCCCGTCTTATGCTTGGCCGCATCGCCGGTACGCGTGCTCTGTGCGTCGTGCAGTGGACAGAATAAAGCAAAATATGGCAATGCCGTTATGCTCGACCGTGTCGCATTCTCCCCTGAGCAATACGAGTGCGTCTGCCAAGACGCAGTGTAATTTGGACAACAGTGTTAGTGCGCTGTCAACACAGCGACCCGCCAATGGCAGTTGCTGAAATGACATCCCTGTTTGATTCATTTATTTATGCTGCACTCAGCAAAGGTCTCATCAGGATAGGCTCAGCCTGGGGGCAGCGAACAGCCGGGTAGCCCAAAATACTTTATTTTGTGTTCCCGGGTCATGGGCTGGTTCTTGCCGGCATGGGGAGGGCCGTGAAATAAAGAGCTGGGGCAGCGAGAGGCCTGTGTATGGAGGAGAAGGCAGAAGAGGACGCTCCGGCAATGGCCTTTCTCGGTTGAAATCAGTGCGTAAGGAAGGCGTTATGTCCTCGTGGGTGGTTTTTCGGGTTCTTTCTCCTTGCTTTTAAACGGATTTATTGCAACGACGAACGGAAGCCGTCGAAGCGCTTTTCCATCGGAACGCCGGCGAGTATCATCACGTACGCGAGCCGCAGACGACTGGCCCCTCGCCGTCATGGATCTTCCCGAGGTCGTGCCTGACTCGTCTCTCGAAGCGGCGCCGGGCCGGTACCACAGCGATAAAGAAGCCAAATATGCCGTCGGCACGTCCGACTACAACGGCGACTACAACAATGGCCACTACGACTCGGGCCTTATCCCCGTCACATCAGTACACTCCTTCAAGATCGACGACACAGGCCAGCTCGTGCCTCCAGGCAGCGCGGGAGGCTCGTCGGGACGAAAGAAGATATGCGGACTACGGCCCAAGTTGTTTTGGCTGCTCCTCGGCGTTGGGCTTGTCGTCATAATTGCGAGTGTTGCTGGAGGAGTCGGCGGCGGGATGATGGCCGCTCAGTCACGGAAGGCGAGCAATGCGGAAGCATCTGCGACAAGTCCTATTGGGGCCCATAAAAGGTGAGCGTCTTTCTCATTCAGCTCAAGAGGCCTCTGGCTGACTGAAGCCGAAACAGTTCGTCGGCAGCAACTGCTACGAAGACTTCCCCAAAGGGTACAACTGCATCGGATGGTGGCAAGTCCACAAATAGTCCCGTTCATTCAACGGACACAGCGTCATCTGGAGGCAATTCCAGTGGTGAGGCCACCGGTTCAGAAACATCCCAAACCGCCTCGTCGACGGGTAAACAGAAGGATGCCAATAAGAGTACAGCTAGCAATAATAGTCCCGCTCAGAAGACGGTAACGACCCAAACGATCGCTGTGAGTACCACGACCAAAGAACCGGCAACGACACCAACAAAGCAGGCTGAGTCGACAACAGAGGCCGAGCCGACAACAAACAAGGCCGTGCCGGCCACGACCTCCAGCAAGACGACCGCGGCCGCCCCTGCACCCGCGCCCACATTCCTCAACAACCAGACCTACACCGCGACAGGGTTCGCCTTCCAGGCGTTCTCTGGGTCGGACTACTCGGGCAAAGTGTCGGACGTCATTCGTGATGAGGGCTTTCTCGACCTGTCGTTTTCGTCCAACAGCTACGTGTGGCTTCCCAACGGCGCCGACTGCTGCATCACGTTCTGCAGCGACAAGGCAACATCGGTGGGTTGGTGGTGCAACGAACGGCGACAAAAGGACTCGTCGGCGGCGTTTCCACGGGTGTGGATTGGGTGTGGTTCGACGGCGCATAAGGAGCACGCATGCTCTTGAATACTTTGGGATTGGATTCTGTTTGGGCGTCTTTCTATTTCCGGTGTCTAGTTCCAACTAATCATATTCTTTCATCTATGCAACTGCTTGCAGGCCGTGCTTGCTTCCTATCCTACCATTGCTGTCTCGCTCTTCTTCGATTTTGCTACTTCCGTTTTCAGATGCAGTGGCTTCCACGGCACCCTTTTCTAAATCCGATGGCGCCACTGCCGACCGTATCCGCTTGTCGTCACCCTCGCTCGAGTCCTCGGCGACGGCTGTGATTGCTGCGGCCTCTACCCCGACATCGGCTACTCCCTCACCATCGTCCGCGTGGAGTGACGACGTCCTCCGCCAGCCACCTGACGACCGCAACATGACCTGGGGCGTGACGGTGGTGATGGCGGTGAAAGAGAGGATGCGAAATTCCGTGAAGGAGGTGGTCAGGCAGAGGCCGAGCCATTGTGCCGTTAGTGACGGTCAAGAAGGCAGACTATCAGAGACAGCCAACGAGGTAAATGCACACCACAGTGGCAGTGAAAAAGACGAGGCTCAGAGTCGACGGTCTACGTTAAAAAATTTATCGGCCAGCGGCAGATGAAGCCGGTGCTGACGGCATAGCCAGCCTGCATAAACGTCGGCACCTGGCTGGCCGTCTCATAGGAGATGTTGAAGTCATCGGCAAGCACATTGAGGATGGGGTGGTTGTAGTAGAGGCTGCTGACTGTGAACATGCCGGCCTGTTTGTCGATGCAGAACCTGTCTGTGTCTGCGATGGTAATTTATAGGCCTCTGGCTCGTTATTTTTGTGTTTGTTTTCCGTCATGTTGGCAGCTGATGACGGATGACGGACAATTGGAAACGATGAAAACTAAAGAAACCATCGCAAAACATTTGCACAATTTCACGTATCATGAACCTCCACAGATTAACAACCCGACCCATCATGACTTCGGTCAAGATGATCCCCAGCGTCCGTCCATTGGGGTTTATTTTGCGGGGGATAGTGATAGCTAGGCTTGGCCGGGAACGGGAAGTCTTAACAAACGCCGGTCTAGCTCTTGTCTCTTATCAACTGCCGAGATGTTCTCGTTGAGTATCTGGCTGGCCGCACTGCTTTACTATGTTCCATGTTCTTCATCTCCTTTTAGTTTGTTCTTGCCTCTGGGACAAGCACCTTGTCGACGACCGCCGTTCCCCACCCGCTCCTGCCATTCTCGCATCCTTCGTCGTGTGGATGGGAAGGCGTGAAGGAGGAAGCTCGGAACATGACAAGGCTGGAAAGAACGACCCGGTCAGCTCCATGCCCTCTCCGTTGAGATTATGCAATATGTGCAAAGTTGACCTTGGACACCCAATCAAGGCAAGATGCGCTGTACCACCCAAAAAGTCTCCCATCACGACCACGTTCCCAATCATCACACTCGACAACTCGACATCTCGACGGCAACATGTATTGACAAATTTGTCTTTTTTTGTCTTGCTTCCTTTTGATTAGTGTACCGTGGAAATACCAGGCCGAGTCGGATCGTGGACAGGGATGCCCATTTGTCAATATTCGGTCGGTCAGCTTGGCGTCAGCGACGAAGGCCGTCCATGCATGTTCTCCCAATAGCAACCGGCACTGTAACTTGGCTACAGCAGCGTTGAGAGATTCCATATGCGCTTGTTTTGCCAAACTACACAGCCTCTTCCCACAACCGCACCTCGCTTCGAACGTGTCATTACAGTGCGACGTATATGAGGGCGGTTGTCAATAGTGACCACTTTTTTTTTTTTTTGAGAAAGAGATTCTGAAAGTTTTCTATTCTACACAGGACATCACCGCCTACCAGCACATACAACGACTTTTGTCATTCACCACAGCTGAACCATGTGGCCCTTTTCAGAAGCCTACCCTGAGCGCAAGGTCGGCGATGTCGATGGCGAGACGTTTGACTACATTGTCGTGGGAGGTACGCCGCTCTCTTTCGCTGTGCCTGCGTTGATCCTGCAGCTAACTTAACGTTCATAGGCGGCACCGCAGGCTCCGTTGTAGCCTCGCGCCTGTCGGAAGACCCGTCGGTCTCGGTCCTGCTCCTCGAGCGCGGCCCGCTCAAGGACGTCTTCATGTCCCGCATACCCCTGCTCTCGCAAAACTTCACCAGTTCGTGGTCCACGGGCGTCCAGGACCGCTTCTCGGAGCCTATTGCTGGGTACAACGACCGGCGATTGCAACTGTCGGGCGGCGAGGGTCTGGGCGGCACATCGCGGCTGAACGGCCTGCTGGTGACGCGCGGCGCGCCAGGTGGTTACAACGAGTGGGCCAGCGACTTGGGGCTCGACGGCTGGGCATGGGACGACATCGAGCCGTATTTTGAGCGGATGGAGGCGGCGGTCGACCGACGCGACGCAGATCACCGCGGACAGGAAGGCAGGCAAGGCAAAGCACATGGCGCCAGGTCCGTTTTGATTGAAACATGACACGGCTGACACGTCCTAGGGCCATTTGTCAACAGAATCGCTGACGGCCGGTACCGTTTCCATCCGTAGTGCGTCTCTCATAACATTGGCTTCCAGCATGCTGGTGTCATTTTGCTAACACCGGACAGCTTTGAAAAGGCGTGCAAGGCTGTCGGCCTGCCCGTTGAGACCGATTGCAATGCGCCCGCCGCCAGTGCCCAGGGTTACTTCTCCTTGGATGCCGCCGTCTACCAGGACGGCACTCGCGTCTCTGCCTACCGCGCGTACCTCAACAAGCGCATTGCCCTCGAGAGACGCGGCCGCCTGACCATCTGCACCGAGGCGCTGGTCACCAAGCTCGAGCTCAACGACGGCGTCGTTCCGGACAGCGATTCGGCCGATGCCAGAGCCACCGGTGTCTACGTCGCCTCGGCGCCGACCGACCAGGACGAAATCGGCAAGCCTGTCCTCGTTAAAGCCCGCCGCGAGATTATCGTCTGCGGCGGCGCCTTCCGCACCCCCCAGCTGCTCCTGCTCAGCGGTCTCGGCCCGCGCGCCCATCTGCAGGAGAAAGGCATCCCCGTCGTCCGCGACCTGCCCGCTGTCGGCCAGCATCTGTCAGACCACTTTGGCATCCCCATCATGATCCAGCTGCCCGTCATGGACACGGCGCACTCGGTGATCGAGAAGCCCCTGGTCGGCATTCGCAGCTTTGTCGAGTATTTGTGGAGCGGATCCGGCCTGCTGTCGATGCCGAGCAACACGACGACCATTTTTGCGCGCACGACGGCCATGGACGAGACGACGTACCGCACGAGCGAAACGCCCGCCCTCAACGATGCGACGCGGCCCGGCAACGTCCCCGACGTCGAGCTTATGCTGATTCCAGTGAATGCCATCAACCTGGAAGCCATCGGCTGTGCGCCCCATGCGGCAACGCAGGGACGCGGGTTCCTCACGCTGTACACGACCATGGTCCAGCTGCGCACGACGGGCCACCTGGAACTGGTGTCGACGACGGACCCCAAGGCGCACGCACGGGTGCACTACCCGGAGATGGTGGACGACGACGGCGTCGGCAAGGACGACTGGGCGGCCGTTCGCCGCGCCGTGCGCTTCACGATGCGCCTGGCCGACGAGTTTGTCCAGAATTCGGGCTACCCGCAGAAGCCTGCAGCCATACTGTTTGGGCCCGGCATGGACATGGACATCCTGCGCGACGTCACCAAGGGCCGCCCAGGCGAGCGGCAAACCACGCCCACGGCGACTGCGCCCACGCCATCGGAGTCGGGCGACATTCAGCCACTCGAAAAGACGTGGAAGACGGTCACGGACGCCGAAATCGACGCCTATGTCCGCGAGACTGGTCAGACCGGCCTGCACTTTTGCTGCACGGCGCGCATGGCCCCGACGGCCAAGGACGGTGTCGTCGACGCACGCCTCAAGGTGCACGGTGTGTCGGGCCTGCGGATTGCCGATGCGAGTGTCTTCCCGCGCATTCCGAGCGGGCACACCATGGTGCCGTCACTGATGGTGGGCGAGCGGTGCGCAGACTTTATCAAGGCTGCGTGGGCGGGACAATGAGCTTGAGGCGGATGGTGGCCTCTTGCCCTTTTGAATGTAGTTTGCAAAATAGTATTTCATTATTTCGTCTATAGGGTATATAAAATGTGACGTGCCATATCGTACAGGTGTTTCCAAAAACTGCGTCGTCTAAATAACCTGCGTCATCGCTGCCGCACCGTCTTCGTCTTGCGCTTCTTAAAGACAATGGCTGCGTCAGACGAACGCGGCTTCTCCTCGGGTGCTTCGGGCATCCCCTCCGGTGCCGCTTCGAGGCTCAACCCGCTCCCTCCCTCCGCTTCCTCTTTAATCTTTGGTGGCTGTGGCGCCGCATCGACCAGGCTGTCGGCCGAAGCCGTGGCTGCGCCGCCTTCCTTCTTGACGTCCTGCTTTGTCTCCACCGTCGGCTTGTCTGTGTCCGACGTCGCCCCCTCTGTCTTTGGTGCCGGCGTCGTAAGTGCACTGCTCAGCAACCTGTCCAGATCGCCTTCGTCATCATCACCACCGCCAGCCCTGCTGCCGCCCGCCGTGCGCGCGTCTCGTCCCCAGTGCCGTGGCTTCTTGAACAGGCCCTGGACGGCCGCGTCCAGGTCAACCTTGTCAAACTCTGCATGGCCGCCCTTGCTTCCTCGTCCTTTGTCGTATGCATCGTCGCTGTCGCCGCCGTCGTCGTCGTCGCCAGACCTTCGTGGCCGTTTGCGCACGCCGACCGACCGTGTTGCCCCCTGTCCACCCACTTTCTTGCCGTCGTCGTCCTCGACGGCGACAACGCGCGTCTCCGTCACGGTCCAGTCGCCGGCCATGGCGAGGTCGGGACGGAACGCGTCGGGGATGCTGACGCCGAGCTCGGCCAGCTGTTCGAGCTGTTCGCGGGGCGGGCCACCGCTGGAGGCGCTGTTTGGTGGAGGTCGGGGGTGGGCGTGTGGTTGGTGTGGAGGTGGCGGCGGTGGCCGAGGTGCTCTGGACTGTGTGGACGTCGATGGCGTCGAACCACCATCCCCCCCAACGAGCGAGTTCAGCCGTTCCACCTCCCGCTTCGCCTTGTCCTTCTCGCGCTCCTCGCGCTCGTAGTCGCGGTGCAAGTTGCGCAGTGCGCGCCGGACGGCAGACTGGTGCTTGCCAGTGGCCTCGTGGTTTGCGCGTCCGAGTTTCGTGTCGGTCACGTATACAGCGCAGTTCTTGCACCAGTATTTGGGCGTCGATTTCCAATAGTCGGCCATCTTGAATATGATGTGGCTGACAGCCTGTCGTGATTCTGCTGTGCTTTCTTGTCGTATGGCAGCTTTTTCATGATGTTCGGAAATGTTGCCTGCTAAGATGTAACTACAGATTTCGAGACTTACTTGGTCACATGACCACGCGCACTCATTTTGTGTTGAATCGTTTCGCCACCTCAATTTGCAGACTACTCTTCTCGTTCTCTTCGTTTCCTCTTTGTTCAATATTGTCGCTGCGCCGTTATTTCACGCATTCGTTGTGAGATTAATTATACTTTTTTTTAATTGTTTACAGACGCATGCGCGCCTTTTCTATCTACTCCGACGACGGTGGCTTCTAAAACATACCTTGTCTCCCATCTCCAACGGAATCCACTCCCAACAAACATTAAGCTTAGGAGAACAAGAGAGCCAGAAGAGCGAAGGCAAAACAGGAATAACAAAAAAAGTGCCGTATGGACATGAAGGGAAAAGAGAAGCAAAGACGCGTAATTCTCGCACAGTACTCTATCCCATATTGCTAATCCAATACGTCTTTCGACCTGCCCGTTGCTCCGTAACTTAAAATGGAATAGAAAAGGAAGGAATTATTCGTGGTGAAGAATCCTTTCTTTCGTCTCTAGTTTGCATCCCTCGTTGTTTGCAAAACTGTTTACAACAAGAAGTAGGCACCGGCCATGGACATGGCCAGAGCAGCAAAGGAGCCCAGGCTGACAGTGGCACGGAGAGCGCCGCTCGTGCTAATAGGCACCGGGCCGGTGGTGGTGCCGCCAGGGGAGCTGGTCTTGGCCGAGGGAACGGCAGTACCGTTCTTGGCTGCAGACGACGACTTGAACGAAGCAGGAGCAGTGGTGGCGGCCGGGGTAGTAACCTGGACTTGGCCATCAGAGGTCTGGACGACAGCAGGAGCCGTGTTGGTGGTCGCCGGCGTGGTAGCCTGGATCTGGCCATCCGAGAACTGGCTGACAGGGACACCAGTGTTGGGGTTCGCCGCGGTCGTAGCTGCGGAAATCTCGGCGCAGGGGGTGGTGTGGCCCTGGACTTGACCTTGGGAAGGTTAGTGTTTTGCTCCAAGACACAAGCATGGAGATTGAAAGATAAAGGTAGTAGAAGTAGAGAGAAGCATAACAAAGCGTGGGAAGCCGTACCGTCGTTAATCTGGCAAATGGGGACGGGGATTGTGGTGGTGATGACCTGCGGCTGGCCGTCGGAAATGGGCTTCACAATCGTCGTGGTGATGACCTGCGTAGCAACAACCTGGCCGTCGTTGGACTCGGCTGCGTTGGGACCGCTACCGCCGCACGGCATGGCAACGATCTCGACCGCCTCGCACTGGGGGGCCCAGTTGCGGTCGTAGAGGTTGTAGAAGTCGCCCGACTTGCACTGCCACCACTGCGTCGAGCCGCCCAGAGCGAGCGATTCGTTGCCGCAGACGGAGAAACCGGCCGTGTAGATGGCACCAGCCTGCGGCGGGCCGTCGAATTGGAATTGGTAGTTGGAGGCAATGTAACCAGTCCGGCCCTTAGCATCGGTCAGGACACCGTCGGCCAGGGTCAGGAGCAGGGCACCGTTGCTAGAGCAAGTGCTGCGCTTCATGTACTGGCGCCGGTTCCAGTCAGTATATGGCCATGGCATATGGAATATGGTGGACTATGAAGAGGGTAGCAAAGAAGCAGACGTAGAACAAAAACTCACAGGCCGGTCACGCTTCTCGTTCTTGACAACGACCACAGTGACCTCGAACTTGTCCTGGACGGACCCGTCACAGCCAGCGGGGGCCGAGGACTTTGGGGCGATAGCCGAAGTGACACCATCGGCGATGACGCCGGCGGCGAGCGAGAGAAGAGCAACGGTGGACTTCATTGTGAATGTTGAGGTCAAAAGGCAATATAATTAATTGGTGTTGTAGACAAAAACGATGGACGAGTCCAAAAAACGAGCGTCAACAAAAAAAAATGATGAGCTGATTCCAAGCAAAAACAGGTGGTCAAAAACTCCAAAGCGAGAGAGGAGAAGAACAGAGAAGAGAGGTCTGATTTTGTAAACAACAAGTGTAAACAAGAACGACCATACGGAAACGGGAGGACTTTGTGTATAAACGAGAGATACACAAGGGAGGAAGGAGCAAATAGTTGACGTATCCAGGTATGAGACAAGAGGTCGGGAGGAAGGAAGGGGGGAGGAAAGAATGACACAGAGGGAAGGGACGACAGGGAGAAAGGGGGTTCATATATGTGTAGGTAGGCCATTCCTTCGCTGGCTCCTCTTTTTCGGCTTCAATGCCATTTTTTTTCTTCTTCTCTTGTTCATGGCATTCTCGCCTTCGGCCATCGCTAGACTGCAGTCTTGTCGGGTTTTCCCACGTCACTTGTTGTCCTGTATGTTGCCTCTATATGTAAGCCAGATGGAGCCCGGCTCCAGAAGCTACATACAGAATACTAGGAAGGAACACTAAAAAGGTGGAGGTCGTGGTGGGGTATTACAGGTGGAGGTCGCTCAACATGCGTATGCAGAGACGAGAAGCAGGAGGGCCTGAGAAAAAGAAACAGAAGGAACGATGGGCTATCTTCACACCTCGGGGTGGTGTTGTGGTCATGAGGTCTCCTGCCTTTCTCCTGGCTCAAGAGGACGGCGTGGGCGGGGACGTGAGGAGCCGTGGGGAGCAGCCAGACATGGCCTTCAACGGCAGGAGCCACAGCCAGTTCGTTCATCCTTGCACGGCGATCAGTTTGTTTGCAGTATCATTTGTCTTTTCTGTATCGTTCGTAGTTCTGGCAAAAAACTCACGCATCTCCACTCAACGACGCAACGTACGACGTATGCTCTCGAGAGCATGTCCTGTATGTCCGCTTACCGTTGGGCGGCAAAAGATTAGGGAGGTTCATCTGCATGGCCTGAAGTTCTGAACACATCTTGTCACAGTGATTGTCCCTGCAGAACAAGCGGCATGCTTGAAGGATGTGTTCCCCTTTGTATGGTGAGAGGTGTTGGCAGTGGCTCCATCTTTTCGGCGTGTCAACTGTGCGGTGTTTTTTCGTTTTTCTTCTGTGGCTTCTCTCTCCAGCCTGAAGCCGCCTCGTCTCGCTCGTTCGTAAGACTTATTTTCTTGTTTGTCTCTTGTCTCTTGTCTCTCGCTTCATCCTTGCAAATCAGGAAGCAGAGTCCCAATACCATGCATTCAACCTGACCGACTCGTTTGGTGCTGCAAGTCTCATTTGTTGAAGCCACCAGCCTCTGCACTAACTCCTCACCTCCCTCCGTCTTCTCTCCCTGGCTACCTCCTGCATCCTCTCTGCTGTCTCTTGCGTCTACGCGCTGCGCCATCTCTCCATTCGCAGCAGCTTGCTGTATACGACACACAGATTGGCTCAGATAAGTGGGCTCGGGACTTTTAACTGGACAATGGATCCCAGGTGCGTCCTTTTCTACGTCAAAAAGCTACATTTACTTTTTTTGCAACTTAGTTATCCTGTTGTTCGCTTCAGCTATCTGTCCCCCCCTTCTGCCCTTTTCTACGTTTCGCGTGCAGTTCATCGTAGCTTTCAAAAGGCACATACGCTAGATGTTAAGGGCATATTTAGCGCTGTCTTCTCCGACGTTGAGGCCGCACTCAACGACCAGCGAACAAAGGACAGCACACCAGTGCAAGCTAATTCTCAGGTACTCAGGTACCGGCGCAGATTGGTTGGCCCTTTTCTGCAATTCCTAAAAATGGAACAAAAGAGCTCTTTTAAAAGACAAAGGGGTAGGAGCTTTGACGAATCGGCACATTTGCGTCCGTCGGTCGTTCCAGCTCGGTTGCGATTGACCTCACTTCGTTCAATGTTTATATCGCAGCAACATTCATAAAACATTTGAATCCTAATAAGCGTGCTACGTATATTTCTGGTCCTCGTATGTCGTAAGAACGTGAACAGGCCTTAAACGGTACCCAGAGGTCCCCCATGCTTGGCATAAGTCCTGACCTGGGCTAGGATGCTCCTTCCAGTTCCGCGGACGCACTCGATCGGTCGGGACGATCTGGCTGTCCACTTGGCAAGAGCAACAAAAGCGACCCACAGTAGAATGCGACGGTACAGGGAGTCGCTTCCTCGGCTGCTTCCACGCCGCTGGAAGCGATTCTCGGCCGCTGTATCGTTCGATCGAGGACGAGTACTATTACTTTGAAAAACATTGCTCCGTTAACTCGTCTTATGGAGTGCGTCGCACAAAGTCACCCAGGCGGAAGTATTCTGTACGGACAAGGTCGTGGACGCGGAGAAAATGGCAGCCCCTCTTTCTGCTGCCTGTCTCCACTTCGTGACGTCTTTGGCTGGTAATCGGAAAGCGTGGTGTCTCAATCGATTTTGCATCGATCAGGAAGGAGCAACGGGTCCAAAGAAAAAAAAGGGGAAGGATCGCCAAATGGGGCAAAGGTGAGAGGAAGGAGCAAAGGCTGAAAGGGTGTACAACATAAAAGGAAGGAATGGAGGCAGAATAGAGAGAGGGAGGGAGGTGCTTAGAAGAAAGGGGGCACACGACAGGGAGAAAACATGATTCTTGACAACGTGTAAAGGCTCAAGAATAATTGCATTGTACATTCCAGTGTCTCCAGTGTCTCCGGTCTGGCCAGACCAAACTCCAAGGGAGGATATTGCTGCTCACAAACACTTGATAACCCAGTACATCGGAATGGCCGCTACAAGAATGCAAAAGAGGCTGCCTTTGCCATACCCAAATTTTCAAAGAACATCACCTTGTCTTCGTTCCCCAACTAGCGATTTTGTGCTAGATGAAGCTACCCAGAAAAGCACTAATGTTAAGCTGGGTGGCCGCCGAGGAAGCCATGGTCGACCATGCGATCTGAAAAAAGGGGGTGGGGGGCGAGAAAGGCCGTCAAGTTCCATGCGCTTTCGTCCTTCTTCTTAGGCCCAACACACGGTGTGCTTACCATCACCAACCACGGCTCAGTGCAACAGCCAATACGAGAAATTGTCGATGGCCCAACAGATGCGGAAGCAACGTTGTCGGAAATACAATTTGTCTAGCGAACGTCATAGATCGAAAGCACTTACAAAATGCTTGACGTTCGCCGCCCTTGCTACTTTGGCTCGCATGGTCCTGTTCAGGGGTGTGCCTTGACATCTTTCTTTTTTCCTCTCCTCTTATTAGTTTGCAACCCGTCCGGAGTGCGGGATACCTTCCTGGCAGAAGCCCACGCCTCTGTCGATATCGACAATACACAATGTGGACGCAAGGGATGCTTCAAGTGGAGCAATAGAGCAGGCATAAGTACAAATCGTACAGACTGAAAATTCCAAAAGAGAGTCTAAGAAAAGAAGTGGCCAGGCAAGTAAGGATGTAAAAAGGCGCACCGTCTTCCACGACATGGGCACTACGGCGTGCAGCGACCTCTCCACATCGTTCTCTGTCTCGCACGTTGTTGGAGAGAGTTGATCGGCCTTGCCTCGCTGCTCGGATGCTCCATTTTTACTGGTCACCGGCTCCGCGCTTGTTGATAGTCAAACAGGAATAGGGGGTGCGAAAAGAGTGGGTGGTTGGTCAACAAGTCGTTTCATGGCTTGCAGTGGTGTACATCGATGCTCCGTACAGACTCAGATCGTCTAAAGCACACAACAACATCCTGGCCAAAAAAAATGGAGAAATGGCTAGGGCTGTCCTGCGAACAGGTTTTTGCTCAAGCTCCAGTTTCTAGTCTCCAGTCTGCAGTCTCCGGTCTTCCTACGACGACAGGACGGCACGGTCGAGACTACACATAAGAACAACAGAAACAACGAAAACGAAAACCGGAGAATGTGGTCAGAATATGGTTGCTGAGTTGTCGTCCTTCAGAAATAAAAGTGGGAGCAAGTTTCCACTTTGGGAGTTTTTAACTACTAGCGCTTCGCCACGAACCAAACCACCGACGACCACCGCATGCCGGGACTTTGGCTGGCATAACATGTGCGCACAAGTACGTCGGCTGCACACATGACCAAAACCATCTCCAACTCGTATCTCTAGAACGGCTCTTGACGGTATAATTACTCTCAGATGCCCATCCACCTCTTGCTTGCTTGGCGGATGAGAGCTGCCAGGCTGGTGCCTGTGCTCCAATGATTCTGCTTGCCATATTGATTTTATTTGGGACCGTACTTTGCCACGCCGAGCTTCTGCCGCTTGTGGCATCGACGCTTGAGGCTTTGGAGGGCCAGTTGATATGACTGGCGGTAGGTTTGGTGTTTTTCACCATGAGACCAGGCTCCTTGATCTTGGACCTTTGGACGTGGAAACAGTTCGGGACAACTGACATGAGAGATTCTACACGGCCGAGGACCAAAAATGATCCGAAGACATTTTGCTTTATATCGTATCTCGGCGTATGGTACTTTTGCCCCTCCCAGTTGCTGTTTTGTTTCGTATTGGCTAACCACACAGCCACTCTCACGGTCAAAGTAAAAAAAAATACGATTTACCGGTGGTCTGAATTCTCGTTGCTGCCCACACTGACCATGTCGCAAGTGAAAGTACGACGCATTACTGTGCAGCAGTTTTGCGATATGCGAGCAAAAGGCGTTGTAACTCATCATATAATTTGCTCGTCTCGTCTCGTACCCAGAATGTAAACAATATCGGCCACATGCATAGCATTTTATGCGTAATTTATCTCTTTCATCGTGTATGTACGTCTCTTTGGTCACCAAGCCTGCCCAGTCCCTCGATTTGACCCTCTACACCTTCCAGGATGCCGCCTCAGAATCGTGCTCAGTTGTCCACACTGGGTCGCCGCATGATTTGAACCCGAGCCACAATGGCAGCGTCCACCTCTCCGTCAGTCTCGGCACCCAGACCGGCTGCCGCGCTTTCTTGCTGGTATTGACTGCGGAAGACAGCCCTGCAAAAGGCCTGAAGACGGTATGACCGTCGCCGAGGCCGGACCTAAGCCGGCTGTTTCTGCAACAGTTATGTTATGCGTTCTGGGTAATAAGACCAGGAGGGAATACACCGTGGAAGGTGCTGTAGAAGACATGAGAGCAGTCGTGCAGCCCCGGTGTAAGTCGGAAGTGGGTCCCGGGTGTTTGGCAGACAATCATCCGGAAGTCAAATTAGCCCAGCCGCTGGACTAGAAGAGAGGCTGACCGAAACAGAGGGAATAAACATTTGAATAAATATTTTTTAAAACAATTCAAGTACGAGTCGTCGTAACAAGGTATAAAATAAAATGCAATTGTAAATAGAAAGGGAAATAGAACAAATAATGAACCAAACGAACCAAAAGACAGAGTATCCAAAATCCGTGTACCGTGTCGAGCATAAACATTATATTAGTGAAGGAAAACAAAAATACAGAGACTGCGACTGTACCGACTCTACTAGCGCGGCGGATAGTATGGCTGCTGCTGCGCTTGGGAGGAGTAGTAGGGCTCGGGCGTGTTCTGTGCAGGGCCAGCAGCGCTGCTGTACTGATGGTGCGGCTGGTACTCGGGGGCGGGAGTCGCGGCGGGGCTGACAATGTGTTGCGACGGCGCGTAGGCGGCGGCCGCGGCCTGGGCGTGCGGATCGTAGACCGCTGTTGCCTGCACACTGCCGGCGTAGCCAGCCGATGCACCACCAGCACCGTAGGTGGCCGCTGTCTCGTAGGGCATGGGTTGTTGTGGCGGGACCTGGGAGGTGTAGGGCTGGACGGGCGCCAGGCCAGCAGCAGCAGCAGCAGCATCACCGGGCGCAGCCGCATAGCCAGGGTAATCCGGATCATAGCCATGGGCCACGGGGCCGCCGGCCGGCTCCTGGCCCTGGCCCTGGTCCTGGCCCTTCATTTCGACGACACCGGCGTCGTTGCTCTGGATGCCCTGCCTCTGGGCCTGCAGGTGCAGCCGGACCTGGTGTGCGAGGTAGGCAAAGGTGGCGACAAACAGTAGCATCAGCAGGGCCGACAGGCCGGCAATGGCGCTGATCTCGGCCAGCGCGACCTTGCCGGCGACGGCAGACCGCTTTGTGCGTGGATCTCGCCTGCGCGAAGTGTAGCATGTGTTGGCATTGAAGGTGCTGCCGTCGTCGTAGCACTCGGCGGAGGTCGAGTAGCGGAAGGTGCCGCGCAGGGCGGCGTTGGCGCCCATGGAGGACAGCCAAAAGACGACCATGAGCAGGTCGAGGGACAGCACGGCCCAGTAGTTGTAGGCGGCGCGGGCACCCACGACCTTTTCGGTGACGATGACATAGACGGCGATGATGATGGTGAAGAGGCCGCAGACAAGGGCAAAGGCGTAGGGCCCGAGAACAAGGCCGTGCATGAGCATGCCAGCCATGACCATGATGATAAAGGAGAGAAGGATCTGGAAGCCGCGGGCTACGAGAAAGGGCACGGGCATGAAGAAGACGGGGTACGAGCCAGGCGTACCACCGTCACCACTGACGGGGGAGGCGTATGTATTGGAAGCCATTGCGTATGGTCGACAGGATAGGTTTGTCGTGGGGCGTCAAAACGTCGACGTTTGATGAGGCTCAAAATACGGAATAAATGGGGGGAGAGGAGAGGAGAGGAAGAGGGAAGAGCGACAAAGGAGAAGAACAAAACAGGAAAGAATGATGGAGAGGCTGCCGCGATCTTTAAGCAGACGAACGAAGGAAGGCACGAGAATGGACATATACGGCAAGTGCTGCCGGCCACGGGTGACACTGACTCTGCAGTATTTCGGCCAGCACTGTAAACAGCACCTGTGCGTTTTCAGCTCAACAGCCCAAAAGCCGCGCTACAGCTGCTACATCAAACTTTCCGATGGAAACAATAGCTTTTCACTTTTCTATGCCCAGGCCAGCAAGCCCAGCCACAGCCGAACATCAAGACAAAAGTGTGGGTGGGCCGCCTTGCGGAAAAGAGGAACGCGCGAGGCCTCGAGAGGAAAAGGAGGACGGAGAGGGCTTAAGCTTCGACGGTTTCGCGCGTCAATAGTCTGTTTTTTTGGTGGGCAAGGTGGAACATCGTGAGGCTGTTTCCCTCGCGTGGCGTTTCGGGACCTTCTTGCGTTTACCGTGCAGAGAGAGCAAAAACTCCAAATGCTGTTGTTCAATACTCGACGAGTGCCGCGAACCATATTATCACAGGGCAGCCTTGACTCCAAGTTTATCAATTTGGTTCATAAACATGGCCAAGGTCGGACGAGGCCAATCTCAGTCCAATTTGCCAAGACGCCCCGTCCCGCTGTCAAGTCAGCGCCAAATCTGACATCTCACAGGAGTGGACGAAAGTTGAACAACGAAAGAGGACTCACCGCAGTCTTGGACACAGAAGTATGAGACAAGCGTGGAGGAGCCAACACAGATTAACGTTTTGTCGACGATCGAGTCGTCCGTATGATGTTAACTAGATTTCCTTTGTGTCGTCCGTCGTTTGCTCCTCGCGAGGGCAGTGCAAAATGGGCCCAAGGCGCACTTCTCTCCAACACACATTGTGGAATTGTGGACTGCACAAAGTAGTGGGTCCAACAGCCACGCAGAGCCGCCCATTTCCGTCGTCGTTTTCTGTCCTATGACAAGTGCGGAAAAGACTGTTGGTGCTGGGGACCCCCTGTTGTCTTGGACCGAGACCAGAGACCATACGAGCAAGTGGGGAAAGCATAAGTGTTAGACGAAAGGGTCTTTCATTTCCAAGACTTTTTGGTATTCACTTCTAGCTCCGTATTTGGGCCGTCATGATTTGGTTAGACCTGCGATGAGCCTCATTCTGATGCCGCTTCTTGACGTCCATAGGATCATATTATTTTGAAAAGAAGGAAGGCAAAGGAAGATGAAGAAAGATGACAGGAGGATGGGGAAAAAGGAAAAAAGAAAAAGAAAAAGAAAACATAAAGAACGACAGAAACGACGTTGCCAGGGTATCCCAAAACACTAAATGAAGCAGCAATCGACACCTATTTGCAGGTTCCGCGGGTCAGCTTGTGCTGTTTGGCAGTTTGCGTCAAATGGAAGCCACCTAGCCAGCCACCGAGTCGACCTTTGTCGTGGCGGCTGTCCCAGGCACGGCCGTCGACTCCATGGACACCACCGCCCTCGTGGCGTTGAACAGTCGCATTTTCCGCAGCATCGCGCCCGCAGGATCGTTGACCTCGCGCAGGAACGCCTTGCCGTCGTACGTGTCGCCGTCCAGCTGCGCGACCAGCGCCTTGGCCGCGCCAATCACCGGCTGGACGAGAACGGCGACGCCCTCCAGTCCCGCGCGGGCGGCGGCGGCCTGGCCAAAGGCGGTGGCCTCGTCGACGATCTTGTCGGCCTTGAGGAGCAAGCACTTGCCGTCGCAGGTGGGGTCCGATGCGGTGTCGGTGACGGTTTCGGTGTCGTTGTCCGTGAGGGTGAGGTCCGCGAGGGTAGTAAACCTGAGGCCGATGGCGCTGGCGATTTCGGTCGTCGAATGCAAGATGCTCTCCAGGGCCACGAGGGGCGCGCGGACAAGGTCGGCAATGCCTTGGGCGGTCTGGAACGAGACGCGCTTTCGGCTGTTGCTCATCATTTTGTCTGAAAGGGTTAGCCATGAGCGATGGCCGGGAAGAAGGGCAAAAAAAGAAGACGAAGAAGCGCACTGGCTGTGATGCCCATCTGAATGAGGCGGTCGTTGACATAGTCGAGCGACTTGGAGGCTTCGTCGAGCATGGCGTTGGGAATACGGAAAAAGGACTCCTTCTGAAAGGCGGCAGTACCAGTGCCGGCAGCCGTTGAGGCCGGTGCTGATGCTGCGGTATCGGCAGCACCAACGGCAGCAGCGTTGATCTGTGCGGCACCAGACAAGGCCGCGAGCGCGGCCATGCTGCCAGCCACAGCGAAAGCACGGAACCGCATCGTGACAGTCAAAACGAGGGTAGACCCCAGTGTAGAACGAGCGTGGGTGGGAAAGAATGAGGGAAGGATGAAGGAAGAAGAATGAAAGTTGGGAAGCTATGAAAATAATAGACTAGCAAGATATGAATGCATTGTCTTGAGGTTTCGCCATCAATTTTGTGCCATCGTCCCTCTCACATCAACTTTGAATGTTCATCGCGGGACTCTGAAACGTTGCTGATTACGGCTTCGTTGAGGTGGACTGTTGGTTGGGAGTTGTTGGACAATACTAACAAAAAAGCAAAGAAAAGAAACGCAACATCTGCGGACAGTCTGTCAGCCACTTGCTGGTGTTTACAATTTGCCACTTTGAGCAAGATGTACACTACATTGTTGCGGACAAGACAGTGCGTCGCTGTCGACCAACAGACCTGACCTTACGTCATGGGCGAATGTGCTTATTCCGGGACACCTCGTAACGAATAAGAGGATATATGTAGGCAGAGGGAAGACTTGGTAGCTTCCACTGCCATTTCCGTTGCCACTCCTCAACTCCATGCCCTCACAGACTCCGTTTCAACCGGGCCGTCATACTGCGCAGCCTCTCGTCGTCGGCGTCGACCAGCGAGCTGAACCAGACCTTGTCTGCCCTTTGGCTGTCCTCGCCCTCTCCCGCCTCTCCCGCCTCTCCCGCCTCTCCCGCCTCTCCCGCCTCTCCCGCCTCTCCCGCCTCTCCCGTTTTCTCCGTGTGCGTGTTGCCCAGTAGAATGGGCGCTGTGTTTATGTAGAGCGACTCGTAGTGGCCGGCCGGCACCACAAATGTCTCGTGAAAGGCGCTCAGGTGGGGATAGCGGCCGCTGCTGCTGCTTCTGCGGCTGTCCCCCGCCACCGTCGCCGTCCTCCCCGTGAGCCACGCCAGCGCCTCCCGGTGCACGGCACTCGCCGCGAACCGCTGCAGGCCGTGGACGTCGCGAAAGTACAGCACCAAAAAGAGGGTGTCGTGCGACGTGCGCGCCGCCGCGCCGCCCCGGAACAGGTCGCCGCCCAGCAGCCCATAGACGGTCCGCTCGCGTTCGAGGGCGGCGAGCGTCGCCCGAAAATGGCGCGTCATGGCCTGCGCGCCGGGCGCCAACACGCCGAGCGGGTGGTTGAAGCGGGCGCCAAAGTGGAAGACGACGACGCTCTCCTGGGGTGGCATGGTTGGTGCGTAGCGGCCGTGTGGCGTGGGCATATGGGCCGTGGTGCGTCCGGGGAGGACGCCCGCGCGCATGCCGTGCCGCGTCGGCAGCAGAATCTGGACGAGCGTGACGGCCGCGGCGAGGACGAGCAGAGCACCGGCCGGGATCACGCAGTAGGGCATCGGGACAGCCGCAGAAACGGCAAGCTGCAGGCCGGCGCCGATGGCCAGCAGCGTGTGCAGCCGGAAAGCATCCTTGATGATGTGCTAGACACGGTCAGAGAGGGCGTCGGAATGGTGAGCAAAGGGGCAAAACGACATACAGCCGGCGCTATTTGAGTCCATTGGGTGGGCCGCACCGTTGTCGGCGCCACGACGCTGCGAAACTCGCAGTCCTGCGGTGGAGACGGCACTGTATCTGGGTGCAGCCCTCCGCTGGTGTTGGTGCTTTCGTCCATGGTCGTCTTGAGCATACTATCGTTGTGTGATGACAGTATGTTGCCAGAGAGACAGAGTCATATATCTCCATTCTTGTAGGGGCCGCCATGATTCTCAAACGAACGCAACGGCGACTGGAACACGCGAGACGTTGGTCCCACACGTTGTTACGCGAGCAATGGATCCAGGCGGTGCGTTGTGCACGTTGACCGCTGCTCACCATCCGCTTCCGTTTGCGTGTCCATCTCGTTCCGTCACGCAAAGACCGTTTGACTCCTGTCCTTCGCTGTCTAGGCCTGTCACTGACTCGCACCGGTCGCCGTGGTACCTGTCAGAGTCTCTCATGTGAGACTCGAGTAACATCTACGGAACACTGAACAGTTTTTGCTGGTCTCATGACTCCTTCTCTCACGTAGTCATGTTAGTGTTTTTATAAATAAAATAAATTAAATAAAGAAACAAACAAAACGACACATGCTCTGCCTGCCAATAGAGTCAAACACGGCCACATGTCCTACTTCGTCTGCTGGGCCACCCAGTCCTCCACGTCCTTCTTAAAGTCCGGCTTGTACAGCCACGCGAGGTCAAACGGCTCCCGCGCCACCCCCGTCGCAAACGCCTTGTCCGTCGCCGGCATCCGCCGCAGGTCGATCTGGCGGTTCAGCTCCAGCACCTTGTCCACGCGCGCCTGCCGGTACTGCTGCCAAAAGTCGAGCGCCGCCTGCGCCTGACCGTCACCGGACGCCTGCTTCGGCTGCTTCGACTGCCATCCCAGCAGCAGCGCCAGCATGTACACGTCCTCAAAGGCCTGGTTGATGCCCTGGCCGGCCGACGGCGGGATCGCGTGCGCGGCGTCGCCCAGCAGAATCACGCGGCGCGCGGCCGACGCCCACCGCTCGAGCTTGGGCACCACGTAAAAGGGCCACACGTTGACCTTGGCCGGGTCGATGGCCGCGACGGCGTTGGCCACGATGTCGGGGTAGTTGTCAGGGCCGGAGCCCTCCTGCAGGAACGCCACCGCCGCGGCGCGCCCGTCCGCCAGCGACCCGCGCTGCTCCCAGGCGGCGCGCTCGTGCTCCAAGATGCGGCGCTGCTTGCCAATCAGGACCTCGCTGCCGTCCGGCTGCTGGGGCGCAATCACAAATGCGCTGGCGCCGCCGCCGCTCGCGTCCTTGTTCTTGTTCCGCGGCGCAATCGTCACGGGAATGTGGTAGCTGCCGTCCGCCGGCAGCCGCAGCTGGGCCGTCGGCACGGCCGCCGTGATGCCCGCCATGCCCAGGAACGTCGTCTGCAGGTCGGGGTACAGGTGCCGCCGCACGGTCGAGTGGATCCCGTCGGCGCCCACCAGCAGCGCCGCCGTTTCGGTCGTGCCGTCCTCGAACGCAAACGTCACAGCCCCGCCGTCCTCGCCGTCCTCGCGCACCACGTGCGAGTACGTCCGGCCGTACACCACCGGGATGCCCTTCTCCTTGAGCACCGCCACAAGCACGTCGATCAGCACGTGCCGGTAGATCCGCAGGCCCTGGTAGCCGTACTTGGCGGCATCGCCAAACTCGTACGTCTCCGTGACCCGGCCCTCGCCGTCGCGAAAGTCCAGACGGTCGAAGCTGTATCCCTGCGGCTTGACGACGCTGTACAGCGACAGCGCGTCCAGCACCCGCAGCGCGTTGGGCGAGAGCATTACCGCCCCGCCAATGTTGCTCGGGGCCGGCCGCGACTCGTAGACGGTCGCCTGGATGCCCTGCTGGTGCAGCGCCAGAGCCAGCGTCAGGCCCGAGAGACCCGCGCCAATAATTGCCACGTTGTTGCCGGAAGACATTGTTGGAGATAAGAAATGGCGGATGGCGGATATCAAGGGAAGTTCAAGTAGAAGAGGCGTAGGAAGACGTGCCTAAAGGAAGGTTTAGAGTAAATATTGTCAGGTGTTGCGGGTGTTGCTGAGATGTTGAGGTGTCGAGATGAGATTCGTACAATTGCCCAGGACAAAGGCCACTTCTTATATCTGACATGTTGAACCGGCCAAACTCGCCGACCCTCAAAGCGTTGGATGGACTGTCAGCTGACGTTCTCCTGCCCAGGAAGACGTGGCAACCGTCTTGCGCGGCGATCCCCCTCCAGTTTTTTCAGACGATTTCTTATTCAAGGTCGTAAACATGGTAAGCAGGCTGCGTAAGTCTGTTTTCAAACCCCCCTCCTCTGCGCGGATTACGGCAGGGGCAAACACACGATGCAAATCAACTTCTGTCGGAGCGCAACTTGGAGCGGGCAACCGGTGTCAAAGAAAGGCCGACAGAGCGAGACGGGTAACTGATCGTACAACCGATGCGATGCACGGCGCAATGTGCACAGCGCAAGTGTCGTTTCTTCGCTTTTCGCTTGTTCGCTTTGAGTCTTGTCCGTTCATGTCTCGCTGTATCCGTCTCGGACCTAAACTCGGTCATAACGGCCTTTGCGGACGCAAGCTCTGCCAGAATACCGACGTTGACAATCCAATAAAACGTGCAGGTGGTTTGTGATTGGGGTATAGAACACTGAAAGAGTATCCAATAGAAAACAAAATGGGTCCCAAAGAGTATCAAAACAAGAACGAAAGAAGACGCAAAACCAAGACCAAAATCCCCAAAAAAACTCCACAAAGCAACTCGTCCACATCGCCGCCCCTCTACCGAATCTTCCGCCCGTGCGAGTGGTACACGCCCAGCACCTTGCGCCACCGCACAAATGCGTTCCGCGAGCTAATCTCCAGGTCCTGCACCCGGTCGCCAGATCGCGGCAGGTACCGACACATAATGTCGCTGTCCCGCGACATGTCCTGGTGCCGCACCGCCGTGCGCCCGTCACCGAAGCCCGCACTGCCAATGCTGCCGATCCCCGTGCTGCTGCCGCTGCTGCCGCCCCCGCCCGACCGCAGGTCCAGACAGACCAGCGCCGTGCCCTCGTGGTGCGTCGATACCTTGACAAACACGAGGCCGGCCGCCAACAGCGTGCGGATCTCCGGCTTAATGTCGACCTTGAAGCCTTCGCCGGCCGCGCCGCGCCGCGCAAACACCTTGTTGTAGGGCCCGGCCGCCACGAGCACGTTCTCCGACTCGGTCGTCAGCAGATGCACCAGCAGCGCCTGCGCGTCAATGCCCGTGACCGCCTGCAGCTCGCTCAGGCTGTGGCAGGTCACGCGCTGCAGTAAAAAGTCGCGCCACGGCCACTCGTTGACGCGGATGCTCTTGGCAATCAGCATGATGAACCCGGCCACCACCCACATGTACGTCGTGATGCCGAACGGGTCCACGTTTTGGAGCGCGATGCTGTTCTCCTCCGCGCGCCCCAGGAACACCCCAATCATCAGACCGCCCACCACCAGCACCGCACAGATCGCCAGCACGCTGTACACGTACGTCGTGCAGCGCACCCGCACCGTGCGCTCCTCCACCACCCACTCGGAGCTCTCTTTCGCCAGCCGCTCCTGGCGCCGTCGCGCCTCGCGCACCCGCTGCTGCCGCTGCTCCGCCGAAGCCGCATCCCAGGCGTTTGTGCCCGTTCGCTTGTTGCTGCCATCGCCGAACCCGCCGCCGCCGCCGCCGCCGCTGCTGCTGCTGCTGCTGCTGCCCTCGCCGAACCCGCCGCCCCAGCCGCCCAGCATCGCCGCGTGCCGGTGCGTCTGCGCCACGAGCGACCGCGACAGCGACCGGAAATCCGCGCCCGGAAGACTCGAGCTGCTCTGCTGGTCGTACGTCAGCGTGCGCAGGGCCGCCACAGCCGTGTACTCGGGCGCCCGGGGGCGGAAGTCCTCGTCGACATCAATGGGCAGCATCTCGCCGAGGCCCTGAAGCGCCGTCTGCAGCTCGTTGATGACGGTCGGCTGCGTGCACATGAGCGGCACCATGACGGCAATGATCTGGCCGAGCGTCGTGAGCGGCATCTCGACCGGCCGCGTCGTGGCCTTGATGTCCGGGTCGCCGTCGCCGTCAAGGACCTGAAGATGCGCCGTGACGCGCGTGCCCGATGGCCGCTCGCCCGTAGGCAACGCAGGGCCAGCGCCCGCATCCGGTGCGCCCGCGTCCGGTGCGCCCGCCGGCACGAAAGCGCGGCGAGACGACTCACTGGACGAACCGCTGCCCTTGCGCTTGCCCTTGTCCTTCTCATTGGTGTCGTCGTCCGGGTCGCCACCGGCTGCTAGAGCGGCTCGCTTGTTCCTCTCGCGCAACTCCTCCACGGCGTCCCGGAACAGCTTGAAGCCCTGGTAGCTGTGCTTGACAAAGAGGGGGCGACTCGATCCGGACAGGTCGCCGCCGCGGTCCTGGTGCACAAAGGCCGACAAGGGCGTCTCCATCGTGCCACCGCGGTAGACCACAGAGCAAATGTCCAGCGCATCCTCCGCAAAGCTGGCGCCCATGGCCATCTTGGCCGACACCGACGACGAGCCCTTGAGTTCCTGCAGCATCGTCAACAGCGTCGACGACGTCCAGTTCTCGATGCGCGACAGGTCTGCAAAGTAGCTGTCGCCGCCGCGCTTGCTGGTCTCGAGGAACGCCTCCAGCTCGCGCTGCCGCCGAGGCTCATAGATCGGATCCATGTGGAACCCGCCGCCCCAGCGCGGGTGGCCGCCCATGCCAAACGGACCACCGCCCGTGTTGCGGTCTTGGCCCTGGCCATTGTTCTGCCCATTACCATTCAGACCGCCAATAATGTACGGCGCGTCGTCGTCGTCGTCGTCGGGCTGCTCCAAGTCCACGCGCGTCGCGCCCAGAGCCTGCAGCACCTTTTTCTCGGCCGAGTAGTTGCGCCCGTACTCGAGCGAACGCTCCGCGTACTCCTGCGCGTCGCGTGCCAGGATCTTGAGCTTCGCCGAGTATTTCGCCAGGCCAGACAGTGCACGGCTCTGCCACGCGGCGTGGTCGGCCGCCGAGATAGCCAGGCGTGCCGCCGTCGCCGTCAGATAATCAACAAATGCGCAGTAGCGCACCATGAATTCGCGCGTGCCCACGGCAATTCCGCCCGTGGCCTTTTCCGCGTCTGGTCCGCCGGTCTGTGCGGCCGGCCTGGCATCCTCTTCGTTCTCTTCGTCGCCCTCGCTGCCGTCGCTGTCGTCGCTGTCGCTCTCGTCCTCGCCCTCCATCTTCTCGCCGTTCCGTCGCCGCTGCCCGCGCTCCTTTTGTTTGTTGATGCGCTCCAGACGGTCCTCGAGAATCTTTTGGCTGTTGCGGTACTCCCAGTGAGTCGTGAACTGCTCGGCATTTTGCTGCAGCAGAATCGAGTTGTCGTGCCGGCAGATGTGCATGTTGAACAGCACCTGGTCGGCCACGTGCGCCAGACGCCGGTAGGCCGTCACTGTGTCGGCCTCCGGGAACAGCGTCTCCGCCTCAAACTTCAGGCGCTGGTTCTGGCCGCCCATGCCCATGTTCTGGACCACGCCGTGCAGCCGTTTGGCCTCGTAGTCCCACAGCGCGCGCTCCTCGACCTCTGTGACGTCGTACTCGGTCAGGTCGTCGAACTTGACACGCTCCCGCTTGCGTGGTGTGTTGCCGGACACGACACCGCTCTTGTACTCGACGTGCGCAAACACCATGTCACGCACGTCTTGCAGGGTGGCCTTGGCCGAGTCAGGGAGCGGCAAGTCAGGCGGCAGGGCCAACAGCTGGCCGGGCATAAGCACATCCTGGTTGGCATTGCTGCCACCGCGCGAACCGAAGGTGTTGGTGCCGAAGCGGCCCACGTAGGACCGAGATCTTTTTTTGACCATTGGGATAGAGTTGGGAAACGTAGTAAAATGCAAAGAGAATGCAAAAACGAATGCAAATGTGCTGTGGAGTTAGTGGTGAAATATGACTTGGCAAAGTCACAAAATTGATGCAAAGCTTGTTTTCTGCAAAGCTTGTTTTCAGAAAACAAAAGCAAAAAGGCAAATAGGGGCCGTCGGGAGACCTGCGTCGAGGAACACGGTCAGAATAAATCCAAGAACTGGCCCCAGCCAGACAGACCTTTGGGCTGCAAGCGGTCTCCAAGGTGAAATCCCCGGTACAACATACAGTCCCGCACAGATGCATACGATGCATACATCACAAAGACCGCAAAGGTCTATCAAAGCCAAATCGAGACTGCCAGCCCATCCAGGCGACTCTCCACAGTCGGTGGGGCCGCATCATGGGCTGTTTAGTGATTGTCGAAGGATGGAGGTGGCGGGCCGTTCTCTGGTTGCCGGAGGATGCGTCTTGGTTGACAGCCTTGTGGGGTGAGGGGGCGAGCGAGCAAATGAGAGCGAGGCCTCAAAAGAAGCTTTTGGTCCAATGTGGCGATTGTTCCGAGCACAGCATTGCATTGGGTGTGTTTCGGGCATCAAGGGGCCTAAGCCTCAGCATCGGACAGGGCAAGGGCCCTCCTTCCGCCGAGACAGTCGCTCTTTCCGACGCCCTCTTTCCATGCGCGTCGCTCTTTCCCATGCGAATTCCACCGCTCGTCCCCTCCTGTCTTGTCAATATTGGCAAGTTTTTTGGCAAGACTCTGGCAAATGTGCGGGCCCAATCTGGAAAGAGGCTCTGTCAGCCTCAGCCACCGTCCCTCTTTTTAACCCTGCGTCGACGAATCCACAATCACCACCACCTTAAACAGCATCGACAGCCTGTCACATTCGACACCACCTTTTACCCTTTTACCATTCCCCAGTCCGCCGCCAATCAGAGGCAGCCTGCTGTCGCTTTTCGGTTGTAATCAATTTGCTTACCAGATGCTCAATCTTCGCCCACTTACAATGCACCCGCGACCACCATCCACCAGGTCCGAAGCTCAACTTCTTCAGCATTTGGATGGTCCCCCCCACCCTTTACACCACCAAAAAGACTGTCACAAACCACTGAAGTTGCATTCACACCTAAAAATCGCCTGCCGAAGGATTTTTATTTCGAAAGTTTGCCCAACGGTCCACGCCCTCCCTTCTCTGCCCCACGGGTCTCGAACATATTTCTCGAGCTGCCCCTTGTCAAAAATAACAATGTTTTCGGCGAATGCCGTATTTGGGGCAGAGCCGCAACAAGGCTCAAGCCTGACAACCCTGAACCAACCACCCATGTCGTCTAGCTCGGCTGCCTCGCTGCCTGACCTGTCCAGTAATAGCATCCTCCCGCATATCGCACGCACATCCCTGATGCGCACCCATCTTCGCCATTCGTCGTTGTGGCGGATGTGGAGGGATCCAATAGTGAGCTTTCTGGAGAGACGAGCAAGGTACTCCGTACGGTTGTCCATATGGAAGAACTCCCTTGGCGATCTATGCCGATATAAAGAAAATATAATCTCTTGGCCTGTGGCACTGCAGTGTTTCTTGTTTGAATTTATCTTTCGTCCAAGCATTATCAACCACCATTTCATTACTAACTTGCATCACTGCATTTACAATGGAGTACAACAGCGTCATTGCCGAGTACGAGAAAATTCTCGGAGGCCAGTTTCTACCCAAGGTGGACGAGCTCCAGGCCGCGTCTGGGAAGACCACTGCTGCTCCTGCTGATGCCAATGGCGCCGCCGGCCTTGCGTCTGTGCCGGAAGGCGCATTACCAGCGCCGGGAAGCTCTGTGTTTGTCGTGGATGACGCTGCATCCGTACTCGGCGTGCCTCCTGGAATTCCTGTGATACAGACAGCGGCCGGTCCCAGTAACGCCGGTGCGAACGCTGGTGCCAAAGTCGATGCCACCGCCGAGGCAAACGCCGCAAGGACCAGCCAAAATATCAACAACAGCGGCAAAAACGGCAAGAAGAAAAAGGGCCAGAAGGGCAAAGGCGACGACTTCATCCCTGACCTCAAAAAAGTCGTGCAGTTCAGCGACGGTGAGGGAAAGAAGCGCGTCATCGGCCTCGAAACGTACAAGTTCAAGACGTACCGCTCGCGCTACACGCAGGTGCTCGCCGAAGCCGAGGAGAAGCCCTTCCGCGACTACGCCATTCTTCTCAAGGCCGACGTCAACGACAACCCGCAAGGCGGTATCAAGGCCGATTTTACGCTGGAGATCCAGTCCGACGGCCTCAAACACATTTTCCGCACCATTGCCAAGCGGTACCGCGAGCTGACGCTCGACACAGGTGACGAGCCGATCGTCATCGAGTACCCCTTCCGCTGCCTCTTTTTCTTGCGCACGCGCCTGCGCGAGCTGCAGCATGACCCGGCCACGGCCGCCTCGACTCGCCGCGAGCTGGCCAATCTCGTCGACTTTATCCATGCACCCATCGGCCATGACAAGATCATCGAGACCTACAACAGTCTCGTGCCGCATGGCAAGATCACCTTTCCCATGGTGTGGACCCTGTTCCCGCCCTACGAGCCCGTGCTCGCCATCCACCCGGGTCTCCCGCTCGACAAGAGCTCGTGCTTCTTGGTCGAGAGCGTCTCGTTCAGCCAGGAAAAGAACGAGCCATGCTGGGAGATCGAGGCATTGTTCGGCTACCACGATGGCACTCGCTTCTACCTCAAGAGCGAGACCAAGACCATCCGCTGGTTCGACGGCGTCAAGGACATCCACAACGACCACCACCTGAGCCTTCTGCCCCTCAGCCTCATCGAGGAGAGCCGCCGCGCCGAGATCCGCGAGGCCCTCATCCGCCGTGGCAAGCTGTATGTCGACTACTGCACACGCGACTTTAGTTTCATGCACTACACGGGCTACGTCGATCTGGTCAACCGCGACAGCGAAAAGCAGCTCAAGGCCCTGGGCGCCAAGAACAGCGTCTACGTCGACACGCGTGTCATCATTGACCGCACGGCCGAGAACAAAATTAGCAACGCCGACGACGACATTGGTCGCACCGTGTCGTCGTGCCTGACAGAACACTTCTCGACCACGTCCAAGCGCGAGATCAGCCTGACGTCGAGCTCGATGCCCGTCATGGGCGTGCACCAGCGCCTCCGCGATCTTGTGCAATCCAACTTTGGGTCTGGATCGGGTGCCGGTGACCACGACAAAGATGACGACATTGACGTGGGCGGCGCTGCTGACAAGGAAGGTGACGGCGACGCGTGGATGCTCGACCCCAAGACATTTGCACCGCAGGCCTTTGAACTCACCGACGAGGACTACCTCATCTGTCGACGCAACGTCGTCGCCTTCTTGCTCGACCAAAAGCTCTGGGTGTACTACTGCGTCATCAGCAACCTGCGCGAGATCGCATGGAAGGCCGACCCCTTCAACTCGCTCCAGCTGTCCTCGGACAAGAAGCGGCTCGTGCACCGGCTGGTCAAGGGCTTTGACGGCGGCAGCAAGGCGGACATGTACGACGATCTTATTGAGGGCAAGGGCAAGGGCCTGATCTTCCTGCTGCACGGCGCCCCCGGTCTGGGCAAGACATTGACGGCCGAGAGTGTCTCGGAGAGCACGCGGCGCCCACTGTACCACGTCAGCACGGGCGAGCTGAGCATCGAAGTCAAGGACCTCGAGAAGCAGCTCAGCGAGATCTTCCGCCTGGGCGCGCGCTGGAACGCCGTGGTGCTGCTCGACGAGGCCGACGTGCTCATGAGCCAGCGCACCACGCAAGACCTGCGCCGCAATGCCATTGTGGCCGTCTTCTTGCGGATGCTCGAGTACTATCGGGGCATGCTGTTCCTGACCACGAACCGGCACGACGACTTTGACAATGCGTTTTACAACCGCATTCACGTGACGATTGAGTACGGCGAGCTGACCAAAGAGTGGCGCGCCAACATTTGGCGCGAGCATGTGCAGAGAGCGTGCCGGCGGAACAAGGACCCGCTCATGTGGTGCAACGATGTCGAGGCCGAGGCGGACGCCGGTCCTTTGCGTCCGGCGCCAGACGCAACGTCAAAAGAAGCAACGTCAAAAGAAGCAACGTCAAAGGACGTGGACGGCGCCGACGGGCCACCACTCGACCCCGTGTTGTTCAGCACCCTCGGCGAGGTCCACAGCAACGGTCGCGACATCAAGAACTACGTCCGGACGTCTCTGGCCTTTGCCCACTCCGAAAAGGAGGACCTGGGTCTTGAGCAGGTCCTGATCGTGCTTGAGAACAACCTGCCGCGCAGTGTCGTGACGGCCCACCGCGATGTCCTGGAGCGGCTGCACGTCCTGAGTGACCGGCAGGTGCGGCAGCACGAAGCACGGCAGGCCAGGGTCAAGGCAGAAAAGGCGACAAGGAAGAAGGAAAAGAAGGAGAAGAAGTTGAAAGAGGCGGAAGAGAGGAAGAGAAGGGCAGACAATGGAGAGGATGTCCCAGATGAAAACGCGGACGACGACAGTGAGGACTCGTCCGACGAGGAAGAAGGCAACTCAGAATAGGCGAGGCCCGATTACTTATATTTGCTAGTTGCATGCGTCCTAGTCAATGATACCCAGGAATTATATCGAATGTTGTTTCAATCTATGGGTGTGCTCTCTAGGTAGCTGCTCTAGGAGCAACGAACAAAAAAGACTTTTTACGACGCACCGCAAGGATGCCGTGTATGCAAAACTGATGTATGACAACAGTAAAAATACAAAAAATTACACAATTGCGCAAAACAACAACAAGACCAACAAGTCTAATACACCTCCAGGACGTAGCGGCCGTTCTCCTTGAGGCGGTCAATCTCCTTGTGCGGGTCGACTTTGCGGCCGCTGGCCTTGGCCTCCTTGGCGATGGACTCCATCAGGACGTCCGTCAGGTCGGGCACCGGCCAGGTGGGGCCGCAGAGGAAGAAGGAGCCCTCCTCGTGGATGTAGGCCTTGATGACGTCGTCCATGCTCTGGCGCATGCGGTCCTGGATGTAAATCTTCTCGGGCTGGTCGCGCGAAAAGGCCGCACCCAGCAGCGTCACCACGCCGGCGTCCACGTACGCCTCCCACTCCTCGCCGTAGAGGTACTCCTCGCGCTGGTGGCGCGAGCCCATGAAGAGCAGGATGCTGCCAATGGCCTCGCCGCGGGCCTTTTGCATGGCGCGGTACTGCACAAAGGCGCGGAAGGGCGCCAGGCCGGTGCCGAGGCCGGCCATGATGAGCGGGGTGGTGGCGAGGGCGGGCAGCTTCATGACGGAGGGCTTGACGGACACGGTGACCTGGGCGCCCGGGCGCAGCAGCGACAGGTAGCGCGAGGCGTTGCCGTAGCGCTTGCGGCCGCGCGAGTCGACCCAGTCGACGACGACAATCATGAGCGCCACGGTCGTCGGGGTGACGGCCTGGGCCGAGGCGATGGAGTACTCGCGGCGCTTGGACGGCGCGACGATGCGCACCAGGTCCTCGATGGCCGGGTGGGCCGACTGGAACTCCTGCAGCACGTCGACGTACGTGACGGTGTCGACCTCGCTGTACTGTTTGAACGCCTCGGCGCCCTCCTTGCCGCCCAGGGCCGTCAGCTTGGCGCGCTCGGCGTCGTCGGTGGCGAAGGCGGCCAGGGCCTCGTAGAAGCGCTTGGGCGGCTTGCCGAGGATGTCGACGTTCTGCACGAGGGCCTGGTAGACGGTGCGGGTCTCGAAGGCGGCGGCGTCCTCGCGCGACGGCACCTGCACCAGGGCGTCGGCGTCCAGGCCGTAAAAGGCAATGAACTCCTCCACCAGGGCGGTGTCGTTGTCGGCGTGCACACCGAGCGCCTCGCCGATCTGGTAGGTGAGACCGGACGTGCCGAGGTCAAACTCAATGTGGAAGATGTTGCGCTCGTACTCGAGCGGCGTCAGGCGGCGGTTCTCGGCGACGGTGACAACGGCCGTGTGGACGGGCAGGTCCGGGCGCACGGCCGTCTGCGTGCCGTACGCCTCCTTGAAGGCAAGGCCCTTGGCGGCAGCCTGCCAGTCGCTGATCGCGGTGGCCGGCTCGGCCTCGGTCTTGTCAAAGACGGCGAAGCTCGAGGGCCTGAGCGTCTTGACGAGCGCAGAGGGGGCGACGTAGTCGGCGGGCACCTCGGCCCACGACGCGGGCACCTCCACGGCGACCAGGGCCTGCGACAGAGCCTCGGCGCAGGCGCGGGCAGCCGCGGCGTCGTTGACGGCCGCGGCGAGGCGCACGAGGTCGTCGGCCGCCAGCTCGGGGTGGGCGACCTGCAGGAACGCCTGCTCCAGGAGGACCTTGCTGTGCGGCTCAGCCGCCGGAACGGCGGCCGTGTCGAGCGCATAGAGGCGCACCTGCTTCAGGCGCAGGGCCTGGCGCACGTTGGCGGGCAGGCGCTTCTCGGCGTCCTCGGCCTTGAAGTTGGGCAGGCGGACAATCAGGGCCGATGTGGGCTTGGCGCCGGCCAGGATGTCAATGTCCTTGAGCAGCTTCTCCTCGCCAACGACCGTGACGTCGGCGGCGTCCACGGCGAAGGGGGCGCTGCTCACCGCCTTGTCGGCCTTGCGGATGTCGGTGCGGACGACGCCGCCCTGGACCAGGTTGTCGTGGACGTTGTGGGTCGAGACGTGCGCGCCGGGCTGCTCGGCAACGACGCGGGCAATAGACACCGGCGTAGCGAGAGCGGCCGAGGTGTCGACGTCATAAAAGGTGTACTGCTGGACGTGCTCGGGGACGAGCGAGACGGTGTACTGCGACGCCTGGACGCCGGGCTTGCCGGTGAGGGTCTGCAGCACAGACGAGATGAACGCAGGTGTGGGCGCGTCGGCGGCGGCGTACTTGACGTCGACGATGGCAGGGGTCTCGGTCCACCTGCTGCTGGCAAAGGCCACGGTGGCGAGCACATCGGCGTATAGAGCCGACTGCACAGAGCCCTCGTTGACGGCGGCCTCGTTCTGGACCTGGCCAAGCACGGCCATGCGGCGGACCGTCGGGGGCAGGACGCTCAGGAAGGCCTCCTCGATAAAGGGGCGGTAGACGCGCACGTGGACGGCGCCCACCTTGTGGCCCTGGACGGCCAGGCGCGCGACGGTGTGGGCCGCCAGCTGGGCCTCGACGCTGCCAAAGGCGACAAGGACCGACTCGGCCTCGTCGTGGCCGTGGTACTCAAACGGCTGGTAGGAGGTGCCCAGCTCGCTGTTGAAGGCCTGCAGCAGCTCGAGGAGCTGGCCGGCATGGTCGAGACGCTTGCTCAGGGCGCCGCGCTCGTCGTGCAGGGCCGACAGGCGCGCAAACGCCTCGGCAACGTGGGCCTCGCTGAGAGCGTCCGTCACGCGGACGGTCTCGCGGGCGGTGCGCAGGCCGTCGTAGACGTGCAGCGTCGGCAGGATCCGGGCGGCGAGCGTGGCGAAGAGGGCCATGTGCTGGGCCTCGGCGGCCGACGTGCTGGCCACGAGACCGAGACCCAGCTCCTCGGCGGTCTGCAGAGCGGCGCTGTAGTCGCCGACAAGGCCGTCCTGGGCCGCGTAGTCGAGAGCAGCGACGTGGGCCACAAAGGGACTGGCGACGCCGTACAGCAGCGACAGCTGGTCGAGGGCGGCACGCAGGCTGCGCAGGCTGGCCGTGGGGGCCACCAGGGTCTGGGGAAACGTGCGCTTGCTCTTGTCAAAGTCCTCGGAGAAGAGATAGCCCAGAGCAAAGGCGCCGGCACCGGCGCGGGTCTGCAGCGGCACGACGGTGGTCGGGTAGCCGTGGACGTTCTTCTCCTGCTGGCTCTCCCAGTGGCGGGCGGCGACGTCCAGGTCGAACGTCTCGGGCGAGTAGGCAAAGATCTTGTCGGACAGCTTGTAGGCGACCTGCTGCACAAGCAGCTGGGCCGTGGCGTACGTCGGGCCGTTGATCGAGGCCAGGGCCGCCGTGGTGGCCGGGAGCTGCTTAAGTGCCGCGGCGGGCTGGTCGACGGGCTGGTCGACGGGCAGGCCCGGGCTGCCAGTGGTCTCTTCGTGCTTGAGCTGCATCTTGCGGACGAGTTCCACGAGGGATGGGGTGACGAGGAAGCCGGTCAAGAGGTTGAGGAACAAGGGGGGCCGCGGCAGGGAAGAGAGCCACGGGAAGAGGCGAGAGAAGAGACGAGAAATGGTCGGTGTTGGGGATGGACACGGCCTAGGTGCCCCTTGACAAAATAGATCAGAGACGAGATCAGGATGAGGTCAAACAGACAAAACGGAACAGAAACAGCACAGACTGGGACACATCCCGAGGCGAGAAATTTTAAGATGAGAAGCGCTGCAGAAATAAAACCGGCAGAACACCAACCTCAAAGGAGCACAGGCCGGCGGCCATCGCGGCCGGACATAGGCGAGCCGGGGATGACATGGGGTCAGAGGTCCACCGGAAGCTTGTGTCTTGGTGTCGCTTGCACTCGTTGCGTGCTGGGGCTGGGGGCGAACGCGGCCTGGGCTGTTTTCGCCATTGGAAGCGGCACGGCGCAAATTTGCAATTGGCAATTGTCGCGATCACGCAATTGAACTAGTCCTAATCGGGAAAGGGCCGCCAGGAACCACGCCCGTTTTTCGGCAATCGGTGTTCTGTCACGTCACGTGTCGGAATGCTCACGTTTTAAGGCAAGCACGCCTCGATCAAATTGGTGTGGATATTAGTTGGTATTGATACATGAGATACGTCGTACAGAGGTGCTTTGACGACACTTGTGACGCCGGTGCAGACTACGCCGTCGTCGTTGTCGCCGTTGCCGCCGCTTCTGTGGGCCCTTCTTCCGTCGCTGGCTTCTGCTTCCTCGCCGTCTTCCGCAATGTGTGCAGGTTCGGCGGCTTCTCGAGGCCCAGACGCGCCCGCAGCTCGGCCGCGTCCGTGTGCAGCTCCTTCTCCCAGTACACGTTGATGATGGGCTTGGCACGCCGCGCGCTCCGCAGCGCCCACGGCAGGAAAATACGGAAAAACCGCTGGCGCTCGGTGGGCTTGAGCCGGGCCACGGCCACAAGGCTCAGCCCCGTCATGGGCAGCCCCGTGTTGACAAACTCAAAGGCCTTGAGCGCAATCTCGCCCTCGACGTACTGCGGCGGCAGGCCCAGCACCGCGTGGTACAGGTCGTGGCACTCGCGGTAGCGCTGGATCACGTAGGCGCACTCGGCGCCGTCGACATAGCGCACGGCATCGCGCACATCGGGCGACATGTGGTAGCGCTGGCGGTAGTGCCCGTAGACGTAGCCGACCGTGTTCTTGGGCATGGCCAGCAGCTCGCCCAGCGGCCAGCTCGCAGACGTGATGCGCGGCCGGTCACGCAGGATCTGGCGGCCGGTCGGATCGGCCAGCATCGTATCGCGGAGACGCCGCACCACAGGACCGGCCGAGACTTCGCCGAGTGTAGCGATGAGGTCTGGCGTGTGTTAGTGGGAGATGTTGGACATTTCAAGTGTCTGCGAAGTGCGTGTGACGCGTACCAGCCCGCTTGGGGTCGAGAAAGGCGCCAATGGCTGAGCCCAGCGTCAAGGCGCCCTTCTCCATCAGCGTCAGTGGAACATGGCCGTCGTACTGCGGCGGCGGCCGATTGAGCACCGAGAATGCGCGGATGTGCGGGTGAACCAGCGCCTCTACCGGCACAAATGTGCCCGGCCGGGTCAGCTGCGCAAGCTGTCGACTCGATGGTAACCGTATGGGCCGCATTGTAGAGTTTACATGAGGTTGGCCAGGAGCGCGTTCCAGCGTGGCGTGAGGATCGGGCGACTTTGATAAAAGCTTCACGGATGTGGGGCATGTACAAGAGCTGTATCGTCACATGCAATGTCACGTGCATCTTGTTCGCTCAACACTTTTATTGAGAAATGCCGGACACACCACACGGAAAAGTGAATTCATGAGTCGAAAGAGTATTGTTCTCCTTTGTTATTCGATTGCTGGTACGAAAACGCGCTGCTGGCCAAAGGGGTGGGCGACAGCACCAAGAGGCCAGCACGACTTGGTCCGTCGTGACACATCTGCATGTACAGTTTATTCAATACACCGGCATCGGTAGTTTGACAGTCATAAAATTATGTACATAAATTATTTTATTATGTGAAGAAAGTGCTGCAGTGCAGGACACTGGGAGGCTGCATGTTTTCACGCTGTGCGCCGTCAAGGGCGGCATCGACGTGCCTCAACCTGCAGAGGGAAGATTTTGTTATGCAATGTCGATTCGTTGGGGAAACAAAGAACCACATGTGGCGGTGTGAAGAGGGGTGTGTTGTCAGAGAACAAATGACTAAAAAAGAGAGAGGGAAAGGCGACATAGGAGGTCGAGAATAAGATGAGAAAGTATCTGCTTGGGCATGTCGTAGTTCTCTAGCGTGTAGGCCGAGATACATCAGCCTGCTTGCATCCTGGCTACACGACCCGTCTACCGTTACACAACATTAGGAGTCGAAATGCAAAGGACAAGAGAGAGGCGAAAAATGCAACCATGAAGCCAAATCGAAGGCGGCCAAGACAAAAGTGTAGCACGAAACCCATCCAAGTGGCGGTAAATCGTGCTATTCATGCATATATTTATCGTGAATACCACCACGCTGAGCTATGCATGTCTAGTTCCAATCGTTCAGTCTGCATAAAGTCACAGGCGGCCTTGTGGCAGCAAAAATTCGCTGCCGTGACAAGGCAGTCCTTCCATTGCCATGCACGACTGAATCGGTACACTTCACCATTCGTATCAAGAATGGATTTCCTCACTTGTACAAGATGAGTACATATAGCAAGCAATGACAGCGGCGTGGGGTTTGCTCATATGCCAAACAAGATGTAGACATATACAAAACAGTAGCTACTACTGTCCCAAATTTGAAAGTGGTGGCGAAGTATAATTGTAGTATCAACGATATGCGCATTCATCTGTTTATAATTTTGCTCGCCCTTTAGTTATGGAACCCAATTACTTTGACAAATTATTAGACTGTTAATATCAGAAAAGGTATTCACTATTTAAATTCGATGATATTTCTAATAAGGTTTTGTATCCTCGGCGCGCACACACATCGTCCAGGCTGTCTGGTTGCAAGTGGTGGCATGACGTCATTGGAACATGCCTCGCTCGTTCCGCGAAATACTGAATGTTTACTTTTGCTTTTCAAAGCTCTGCCTCAGTCCCATTTTGCGACCGTCAGTCAGTGATATGACTTGAAAATACTCGGCCATGACTGAATACGAGGACTGCTAAACAGCAAGGGAGTGCGAGGTGAACCGCCTCCGCAAGAAACAACGCTCTACACTTCAGGGTTGTTGACCAGCCAATGTGCGCCAGTCCTCTTGATGGGCCCCCTGTCCGTCTGTCCTTCGAAGGTCGTAACCCTGCCGAGCAAAGTAGTCGGCGTACAGCACCTCGTATTTCTTGAGAATGTAAAGTCCGGCTGATCTACGCTGCATCGTCCCAACTTGGAGAACTTGGAACCGCACGTGCAGAAGAAAGACCCAAGCAGCCAAGACATGCCCGGGCTGTTTCTCGAATACGAGGGAGGGCAGGCACGATCGTCATACCTAAGAAAACAGGTAACCAGACAACGCTCAACACCCCACAATCGCTCTTTCCCTTGATACATATATAGCCTTCCCTTTATTGTAGACAAAGTGTTTTGCATCTTTATACACATCTCATCACACTCTTCCCTTCCTTGCCGCTTGCTCGGCTGAATCTGTACTGTCAATTCCCGACCTTACGACCTCGAACATGCGTGTCTCTCGCTCAATAGCTGTCGCCGCTTTGGCCACTTCCGCCTCGGCCCTTGTTGCTCCGCGTGTTCCCCGTGATGTCGGCGCCGATGTCAGCGTACGCGTTAGCCGTGACAACGAGAAGCCCTTTATCCTCCAGTCGCGGACCAAGGACGGTGGTGGCTACAATGGCTACTACGTCTATGCCTACCACACTGGCGCCGGCCTCAACGACGCGATGCTGGACACGCAGGAGTCGGTTGCCAACCAAGGCACCGCCTTCACGGGCGACATTAGCGGCTGGAGCCCGTTCTTTGCTGTCCTCTTCGAGCTCGGCGGCTCGCCCTACGAGTTGATGCCGTCAACAGAACCCACCCAATACCTGGGCCTCCTGCCCGTGCGCATCAATGCCAACGGCGGCCCCCCGTCCGAAACCAACGCCTTTTACTTTGAAGGCGACACCTTACAGTGGACGAGCTCGGCCAAGAGCAACCCGCCCGGTGGCTTTGCCGGCTGGCTCGGTACGGCCCCCCCTTCCATATCGCTCCTTGACGTTTCTTCACCTCCATATTCCATCCCGTTTACTAACTGCTGGCAGCCTGTCAATCGGAGCATGGCTCTCTCGAGGACCCGAGCACCCCGGGCGTCCAACTGTTCTACCGCACCAAGCCTGGATCGCCACCAGACGGATGCAATGACATTGACCTGGTGGCCATCTACTAAGAACGTGGGACCGGTTTGGATACCGAGCTGGGCCACAGGGTCGTAGGAGCTTGTCCTTTGTTTTGTTGCGCAGATGGATGTCGACAGTTGGATTTTCTTATTGCGCCCGTTCTTTTTTTTTCTTTCTTTTTGGCATTTCGTATGATGGCATTGGCATCGGCAGTGACAAAAACATTTTACGCTAATAAACAAGAATGTGTCGATATGTTTCTTGACACTCGCCTCTGCTGTCGCATTTCCTCTTGGCCAACGATGCTTTATCCAGCAACGACGCCCCTATCCATTTGTGAAACCACACTTGACATAGTGCAGCTCCTGCCACGTAACAGGAGCTTGAATTTGGCAATAGATATGAAGGGAGAATATAAATAACACATACCAAAGGGACACGGGAGGACGTCTCTTTTGCCGAGCGCCACGGAACTGCTTCACGTTCACATACCAAAGAGGAGCAAAAGGATCAAGAGTGAAAAAAGATACGGTAATAAATGCCCAAAGGATGCCTTTAAATATCTAGGGCGCTGGGCAGCCATACTTTGCCTATGCATTATGTTCCAGAAAGTACTCGACTCTTACGGCATATGTGCGTGTTTTGTGCCTTGTGTTTCAATCCCTTTCAAGACATATTCTGCATTGTCTTGGAGAAGATCGGCTCTCGCTTGAAGCATCGCAATCTAACAGAAACAGGGAGAAAGCCGGGGAACAACCAAAGTTGATAAGCGGTGGCATGAAAAAAGGTATGATGAAGTATAAATCATACAAGACCCGACATATATTTGAAAGCAGACACGACCACGGCCCACCAAGTCGAGATGTAGTGTTGTAGGCGAGCATCTGAGAGCGACGACCACGGTAGAAAAACGGCGGCGTTTGGACTGCGCGACTTGTGCCGGACGACAGTGATTTGCGTGACTTGTGCCGGACGATAGTGATTGGCCCACAACCGTAGTGACGGCCGCCAACAGCCTTCTCCTCCGCACAGGGGCAAGGGCGCCTGATCCATGCCCGTCGCACCTTCCCGCCACCATTGACATGACTGGTTTCGCCCCTTGTAAACAGCAGGCGCGATTTGTGCGTGACCAGTCGCACTTGCTGCTGTTATAGCGCCAAAGGCCAGACCTTTTGACCTTCTACTACCATCGCTCCGCTTCTCTCCACGGTTCATCGAGTGGTCCAGAATCCCGCACAAACCTCGCACGCTTGTGGGAAAAACGTCACCATCCAAAGGCGTCCATCTTGGTTCACCTCACATCTCGTCAACGCAGACCGTTCGTTCTCTTCTTTTCTGTCACTCGATTTCTAATATGGGCTGGTAGCCTCCAGAGTCGTCTCTTTCTCTTGCATTGAATTAGATCCTGTGTATTGAAGTCCGTCGACAGCATCTTCATCTTTTTCTTTCTTTTTTACTTTCGCCCTTCTCCATCGTGACGTTTGTGTTTCACTCCCATCGCTCATCCTTTTCCTGAACACATGACGATCGATCTCCCCTCCATTCCTCTCGCATCCCGTCCTCCCGCCACATACGACGGTCAGCATCATCTACATCTCGCCTCGTCGCCTGCATCTTTGCATCGTCTCCCACTCTTTCGTCGTCCAACCTTGGCCTTTCGTCATTCTTGTCGCTGCAGTTTCCTTTTCGAGCATTGCGGAAGCTAAGAGTTTGAACTCTCGCCAGAGTGCGCCATAATCGCCAAAACGAAGCAGTCATCTTCTCCCAAGAACACAAGCTGCATTACCAGAAAGCACATCTCCAAGTCGTTGGCATCACATTCAGCCTGATATCGCCCCATGTCGCCTCCCCGCCGGCAAACACATTGAACTGGGCGGTCCGCACTTCCACTCGACTTTACCTGCGTCCTCGTACAACCGGCGTGGGCACTTAATATAAACTTTGTCTTTTTTTGCTGTCGTTTGCCAGTTTCTTCCCCATATTTGCTTCGTATCTCAAATTCCATTTTTGTTATACACGCCCGCCCCGGCACATGCGCCCCGGCATTGCCCTCTGCACGACCTCCAGGCCGTTCCTCCTTTTGTCCTTTCATCTATTCCTCCGCACTATATTGTTTTTTTGATCTTCGTCTAGCCTTTTGGCCCCGTCGCTCGCTATCTGCTACTACCAGGCAAGCAGACCACGAGTTCCTCCCTCCCTCAATTTCCGTTTTGACGTGCGATCTGCAGTGTCTGAGAAACTGGTGAGAGCGGGAAAGTGGGAGAGACATCACAGCCAAAACAAGCCGACCCGCTCGCTTCCCCGGATGAGAAATTAAGCAATGCACTGCAGCTTCATTATTCAACCAGGGAGTCAGTAGGTCAAACCGACACGGGAACCAGAGAAGAGAAAAAAAACGGGAAATCAGAAACGAAAAGGAAGAAGAACCGGAGACAACACCACCGACGGCACAACAATCAACAATATACCAAATATACCAAGATTCAACCAGTCACAGTCACAGACACGCCCCAATATCGACCATTGACGCCGTCCTAGCCGTACCGGCGTCTTCCTGCGGCCAACCTTTGACTGTCTCTGTCTGCTGTCTTTCCGACGACTTCGTGGACCGCAAAAAAATAAGCAATAAGCAATCAAACAAAATCACATAACCTCATACCCACAAAGAGAACAAGTCCACCCGTCACACCCCCCCTTCGCTGCCCTGTTCTCGTGTCTTCTGTGTGGGCTTGTATACACGCCCCCCCTCTCCTGTGGCCCTGCACTCCGTCACTCCTTCACCCTCTTTCTCGCCTCCTTATCCTCGTCCAGATACCATCCCCCCCCTCCTTCGTCGCGGCTATGGCTCCGCCTTTAAACAGGGCTTCGCGCCCTTTCGGCCAAGAGGCCGTCACGACGTCCATCTTGCTTGGCAACCTCCACTGCCCTTCCTGTGTTTCCACCATCCGCGAGGTCTTACAAGAGGCCTGTGCAGACCACATCCGGTGGGTGTCGCCTAACATCGTCACGTCCGTGGTCACCGTGGAACACGACGCCGATACGTCCCTTCGTGATATGGTCACTGCCCTGGCCGATGCTGGTTTCGACATCTGCGGTGTAACTTCTTCCTCCGGCGACGATATCGTGGATCTCGACTTGAGCGCACCGTCTGCCGAGGCTCTGACAGCTGACCCTGGCATACCCAGCAGACCTGGTACTGCAGACGCACAACCGGGTGGTGCCCACGACAACGACGGCGACGAGAACGGCGAACACGAAGACGAAGACAAAGGCAAAGGGAAGGGACACGATATAACACCAGCCATGCCTTCCTCGCCCAGGGACGCAGCAGATGCCTCTTCTTCTGCCTGGGGCCTAACACCTCTTGTTCGTTGGTTGAGCGGCCCGCGCGTGGAACCTCGCAGAAGCTTTGCCACCACAAGCAGACTTGCCCAAGCACACCTCAGCAACTGTGAACAGTGCCGCCAGCTCCAAAGTGCCGGCATATCACCTCTTCCCTTGCACAAGACTGAAGTCGGTCCGTCTAAATCCAAATTGGACGAAGCAGCTGTCTCAAAGGGAAGCAGTAGCAGCAACACCAACACCAGCACCAACACCAACAAAATCAACAACACGCCATCCACATCCAGCTCCCAGACCAACGCCGCCGACATGGACAAATCGTTTGTCACTGTGGAGCACGAAGACGCCCCCACCAACCGGCCGATATGGAGGGCGAGTCTAGCTGTGGGCGGCATGACGTGCGCCGTCTGTGTCAATGCCATCACGGATGATCTCAAGAAGAAGGACTGGGTCACCAAGGTCACTGTCAACCTCATCTCCAACAGTGCGACCGTCGAGTTCGACGACAAGGACAAGGAGTCCAAGATCGTTGAGGCCATTGAGGACCTCGGCTACGACGCCACAATCGACTCCATGGTCCGCGTCGACCCACCCAAACCGAAGACGGCACTGCAGCAGGCCAACGGTGCCGGCGGCGACGGTGCCGACCCGGAGCAGCCCGAGCGGACCGTCGAAGTCCGCATTGATGGCCTGTACTGCGAGCACTGCCCAGACCGCATCGCCCGCAGCCTGGCGGGCTTCCGCCGGCCCTCCCTGGAAATCATCACCAAACCCACACCGCAACGCCCCATCATCAAGCTCAAGTACGTCCCCGAGGCGCCCAACTTCACCATCCGCCACATCTTGGCCGCCATCGAGGCCAGTGACAGCGAGCTCTCCGCATCCATCTACCACCCGCCCACACTCGAGGAGCGATCCAAGATGATCCAGGCCAAGCACCAGCGCCAGATCATGTACCGCGTCATCTTCACCGGCCTCGTCTGCATCCCCACCTTTGTCATTGGCATCGTGTACATGTCGCTGCTGCCATCCACCAACAATGGCCGCATGTACATGACGGCGCCTTGGGCGTCCGGCATCAGCCGCTCGCAGATCGCGCTGTTCATCCTGGCCACACCGGTCTACTTTTTCTGCGCCGACATCTTCCATGTCCGCGCCTTCAAGGAGGTCCGCGCGCTCTGGCGCCGCACCAGCCGCACGCCGTTCCTCCAGCGCTTCTACCGCTTTGGCAGCATGAACACGCTTATGAGCCTGGGCACGACCATTGCGTATGTCAGCAGCGTCAGTCAGATGATTGCGGCGGCGGCCCACGAGGCAGCCGAGATCAGCGACGCCAACTTTTACTTTGACTCGGTCGTCTTCTTGTCCTTTTTCCTGCTGTGCGGCCGCCTCATCGAGTCGTACAGTAAGTCGCGCACAGGTGATGCCGTCGAGATGCTCGGTCGCCTGCGCCCGACCACGGCTATCTTGGTCGAAGAGAGCGTGGCGGCTTCGCTCGAGGAAAAGGACGTCATCGAGAGTATCGAGACCGTCCAGTCTGTTGCGTCCACCGAACACGACGCAGCTCCCGGGACGCCGACGCTACGCAGTGCGCCTGACGCTACCAACAAGTCCGGCCGCATCGTGCAGGCCGACCTGTTGGACTTTGGCGATGTCGTGCGCATTCTGCACGGTGCCTCTCCGCCTGCCGATGGCGTCATCGTGCAGGGCCGTTCCAACTTTGACGAGTCGAGCCTGACGGGCGAGTCGCGGCTGGTCCCCAAGACGGTCGGTGACGAGGTGTTTTCGGGCACCGTCAACAAGGACGCACCGGTCCTGGTGCGCGTGACGGGTGCATCCGGCACGTCCATGCTCGACCAAATTGTGGCCGTCGTGCGCGAGGGCCAAACCAAGCGCGCGCCCATGGAGCAGATTGCCGATCTCTTGACGACCTACTTTGTGCCCGTGGTGACGCTCGTGGCCATCTCGACCTGGATCATCTGGCTGAGCCTGGGGCTGTCGGGCAGCATCCCCGGCCACTTCTTGGACGTCAGCTCGGGCGGCTGGGTCGCGTTTTCGCTTCAGTTTGCCATTGCTGTCTTTGTCGTGGCCTGTCCCTGCGGCCTCGGACTCGCGGCACCGACGGCCATCTTTGTGGCGGGCGGCATGGCCGCCAAGTACGGCATCCTCGCCAAGGGCGGCGGCGAAGCGTTTGAAAAGGCCAGCCGCATCGACTGCGTCGTCTTTGACAAGACGGGCACGCTGACCATGGGCGGCGAGCCGACGGTGACGGACTCGGCCGTGTTCACCAGCGGCGGCGGCGACGGTGGCGATGCGGACGACGGTCACGACCAAGATCAAGACAGCGCCCTGTCCAAAGACAAGACGTCGGACCTGCTCGCAGCACTCCAGGCCGTCGAAGAGAACAGCGGCCACCCCATCGCCAAGGCTATTGTGACGTTCTGCGAGGCCAGCACACACGCGGCGGGTCCCGGCGGCCGCGTCGACGACCTGCAGGAGATTCCCGGCCGCGGCATGCGCGCAGTCTTCCACAGTCGGGCCGGTAATGAGCGCTCCTTTGAGATCATGATCGGCAACGAGGCGTTGATGAAGGACTTTTCGGTGGCCATCTCGGACCGAGTTGTGGCGCTGCTGCAGCAGTGGAAGACCGAGGCCAAGTCTGTCGCCCTGGCTGCTACCCGGTCTCTTGGTGCTGGTGCTGGTGCTGGTCAACCGTGGACGCTGGCCGCGGCGCTCTCCATTGCCGACCCGGTGCGGCCCGAGGCGGCGGCCATTGTCAAGACGCTCCAGTCCCGCGGTGTCCTTGTCTACATGCTGAGCGGCGACAATGCCGTGACAGCAGCGGCTGTCGCACAGCAGATCGGCATCCCGGCCGACCAGGTCATTGCCGAGGTGCTGCCGACCGAGAAGGCGGCCAAGGTCCAGTACTTGCAGGCCTCTCTGCCAGCCCACACGTCCCGGTTCGGCCGGGTCGCGAAGCCCACGACTGTCGCCGAGGCAGCACCGTCCCACGCGCCCAACGCGTCGTCGCCCCCCGACGCCGCAGCAGCGAACGGCGGCCGCCGTGCGGTCGTGGCCATGGTCGGCGACGGCATCAACGACTCGCCGGCGCTCACCCAGGCGGACGTGGGCATTGCCGTGGGGTCGGGCTCTGACGTTGCCATTTCCAGCGCCGACTTTGTCCTCGTGCAGTCCAATCTGCAGGCCGTCGTCACCCTCTTGGAGCTCAGCCGCGTCGTGTTTCGGCGGATTGCCTTCAACTTTGGCTGGGCGCTCGTCTACAACGTCGTGGCGGTGCCCATTGCGGCCGGCGTGCTGTACCCCATCCGCACGGCCACCACCAACCACGTGCGCCTCGACCCTGTGTGGGCCTCGCTAGCCATGGCGCTCAGTTCCATCTCGGTTGTGATGTCGTCGTTGGCGCTGCGCAGCCGCATTCCCGGCCTAGGCTTCCGGCCGACCGTCGTCAAGACGCCCGCCACGTCGACCTGAACATGGGCGTTGGACTGCACGGCCGTTCCTGGCGACCGATTGTTTTCCATCTTATTTTATGCTTTTTTTTTCAGACGAAGATTGGGATCGTCGGCAGAGGAAAGAATGTAGAGGAGGTGGGCCATGTTGGTGCTTTCTATACCCCCTCACAGCCTGTTGTTTCTGTTTATCCGCATGTCGGAGGTTTCATGGAGTTTCTTATTTCACGTGTCTGTTTTTAGTTTTCATGCCGTCGACGAGTTTTACGATAGCATTTATGTCGACAGTGTTTTTGAATTCAAGGATATAACTAAGCATATGAGAAAATGAGAAGAATCACAGAATCACAAAGTGTAGCTGTAGGATGGCGGCTTTACCGTAAGTCTCCTAGCCTGTAGACGGCGTAGCGGCATCTCCAGGGGCCGAAACCACTTAAACAAAGCAGCCTAACCCAACCTGGGAAGTGGCGGTCCCCTGTTGCACTTTTGCCTTTTTTTTCTGCCGCTAGGCGGTGAAACTTTTTTTTTGTCAATGCATCCCCCGGTGAGAAGTCTTTTGCGTCCAGCACACGACCGCTTCCAACGCTGACAATTCACTTGTACCATTTTCTACTTATCGCACTCTCTTTTTCTGCCGCGTACTATTTTGTTGCTGCAGACTTCCCAGCACAATAACTGCTGTCCTCGTTCCTCGATTGACGAAGAAGGTGACAACTAAAAAACCGACGACAAGGTCCTGTTTCAGTGGGCAGGCCTGACTTCTCCTTCACTCACCTCGTCGGCCACAGAAACGTCCTCCTATGCCTGGTAGTCCTCCTGCCTGGCTTTTCTCGAGCAAACCAGCGGCGACATCCGCCTTGTCGACGACCCCGGCAACCCAACCGACTGCTTCTACTACGACAAAAACGACCGAGACCATGGCAAAGTCTGACAAAGCGGCCAAGAAGGCCGACAAGCCCTCCAAGGTCTCCAAGGTCTCCAAGAAGGACTCCAAGGAGAACAAGGATGCTGCAACGCCCAAGAAGGGTGCTGCCGCGTCCTCTGCCGCTGCTTCAGCCACTTCGCCGGCCCCCCAGCTGCTCGATCTCGTCGAGTCCTTCCTGACGCAGCACGACTTCTCCCAGGCCCGCGACGCCTTCAAGGAGCAGCGTGAGCGCAACGGCTGGCCAGCATCGCCTGCTGTCGGTGCCGGTGCCGCGTCCCTCGAGGGCGTCTTTGCCACCTTCCAGACGTCGACCCAAAAGAAGGCGGTCGAGGGCAGCGATGGCGAGGACGACGAAGAGGCGGGCGATGTCGACATGAAGGATGCCGAGTCGGACGACGACGATTCGGACGCGTCGTCGAGCTCGTCTTCGTCCTCTTCGTCTTCGTCGTCTTCGGACAGCGACGGCGACAGCGAGAGTGGCGACGACAAAAAGGTGGCCAAGACAAAAGCCAAAAAGCCCAAGGCCAAGACGGAGGCTGTCCCTGTTGCCGTGGCGGCCAAGCCCAACCCCCTGAAGCGCAAGGCGTCGTCGAGTAGCAGCTCGTCGTCCTCGTCGTCGTCCTCGTCCGACTCCGACTCCGACTCTGATTCCGACTCCGACAGCAGCTCGAGTTCGTCAGGGGCGGACCGCAAGCACAAGCTGAAAAAGGCCAAGCTCAGCAAGAAGGACGACTCTTCGTCGTCGTCCTCTTCGTCTTCCGAGGAGGATGCCAGCAGCTCGTCCGACGACGATTCTGACTCGTCGGACTCGAGCTCCGACTCTGATGAGTCCAGCTCCGATTCTGAATCTGAATCTGAATCCGAATCCGACTCCGACTCCGACTCATCGTCCGACTCGGACTCGTCCTCATCTTCGTCTTCCTCCTCTTCATCCGACTCGGACAGCGACAGCGACTCTGACAGCGACTCCGACAGCGACTCCGAGTCGGAGACGGAAAAGGCCGCCAACGTGCCCCTCCCCGAGTCGGGCAGCGACAGCAGCGCGTCCAGCAGCGACGCGGACAGCGACGACGAGAAAAAGACCAACAAGGACCAGACGAGCAAGAAAGAGGCCAAGGATGCCGAAAACGGCTCCGACAGCTCCGCCACCATCGTCGGCCAGTCGTCGCCCGGCCTGTCGGGCACCGACCCCAAGTTCCCGCCGTTCCCGCCCGACCCGGCCCTGAAGCAGAACAACCGCGGGCCCAAGGGCGCCAAGGCCCCGCCCAAGCAGCCCGGCGAGCGCTTCTCGCGCATCGCCTCCAACACGTACGTCGACCCCAAGTTTGCGTCCAATGCCTTCAACGCGCACGACTGGGGCCAAAAGGCGCACGAGGACCTGATTGTCACGCGCGGCAAGGGCTTCACCAAGGAGAAGAACAAGAAAAAGAAGGGCAGCTACCGGGGCGGCTTCATCGACACGAACGCACGCAACGGCATCAAGTTTGATGACTAGTCGGCGGCTCGACCAAGTGCATTGCTCAGTCTCGTTTTGTGTGCATTTTCCCTTTTTTTGTTTGTTATTCTTTGCACAGGCTTCCATATATACACAGCACGGCGTTTTACACAGGAAACAAAAAGTAGAATTTTGCCAGGGAGGATAAGGCGAGATATCGATGTGTATTCGAGGAGATCTTTTTGTTTGAAGACGTGTTTTGTGTAATTTACTTTTTTACTCTACATTGCATTGCTGTTTATTTCCAAGAATTTCGTTTTGATTTTCTACATTTTCTCTAGGTGTCGTTCAATCTCACACCTCAAAGCCATCCTTGTCTTGCGTATGAAAGCTCGTGTTGCGTGCCAAACTATGGTACATCTTGAGTCTGTCTCATGCACATCGCTCTCGTCAAACCACTGGATGACCGAAAGAGGAAATTTCGAGTTAAAGGCGACACGGCCCTGCGTTATCCCGCTTTACTTTGACCTCATCTACTTGTCGTCCCACAACCAGCAAGGCGTTATTGTAGGTTGAATCTCCGCGTTGACTTACACCCAAAGGAGACACAGGGGATCCACAAGGGATTGCCCATTTCCGAGTTTATTAATCCTTACATTGACACCTTCACGATATCGACCGAAGATAATCGAATCTCGGCCCCAATACGGCACAATAGTGAAGCTTTACATGATAAAAATCAATCCACAACGATTGTGCCCGGCCCAAGTGTCCATCTGGGGCGGAGCAAACAACATCGTGCTCTTGGATGAGATGCGGTCTGCGTGCCAAAGGCATTGCAGTTTGTGATGCATCGACATCGTGTAGCCAAGACTTCTGTTTATTTCGTAAATGTTTTGGTAAGTAGACAACCACAATCACATCCTCCTGAAATTGGAAAATAAGGCGCCTTCATACGTCCGGTGAAGCTTGCCAGCCCCCTCTGGTGTCTCCTCATGAAAGACATTCTAGCCCACCTTAAACACGAGCTCGGGCAATGTCTTGGCTCAATATCGTGGTCTGTATTGCATTTGAATTAGTCCTGACGTCAGCTCGGACCATCATGACCGTGGTTTACCAAAAGACGGTGAAAAGAAGTGGAAAGACGACATCACTTCGCTCGATGTACTCCACCACATCAATACGACTACCACTCGCATGCCACAATATACTCTTTAGGACAAAAGGAGTTTTCAGTCCGACAGAAGTGAGAGGAGAGGCACCCTTGGAAGGATGTTAGCAAGCCAAATCGTGAGAGGTGCATGTTTGTAGATGGTCAGATGGTAGGAGACATCCATGTTCGTCCATCACATCTATTCAGATCAGTATAGTGTGAAATTAGCATTCCAAACAACGACAGGTTTGGCCAAACTAAGGACGCAAAGGACACCACCTTCGACTCAAAGAATTGAGGCTTTGTGTCTTGCGGTCGTCTGGCGGACATGACTTTGAAGCATAATCAAAAAAAAAAAAAATCAAAAAAAATCATATAACAATAAACAATAAATGTTGATCTCGTTTTATCTAGCTTCCTCCCCAAACCTGCATTAGACCTCTTTCATCTGCAGCATACGATGTAATAGCTACCTGCAGAAGTGTGGCTCGGCTGTGTTGGAAATTAAAAGGCGCCTTTTGTGTTGCCCTGTTACCCCCAAACTGTTTGACGTGCGACCCCATGGGACCCAAGAACGAGCACGTTTACTTCCTCCGCGGAGCCGGACTTCCGGTACACTGTCCGAATTAAGTAAAAGTGAGGCAAAAGGCGAAGTGGATTCGAGCGGTTGACCTCCTGGTCCGGGGGCATGGTGACAATGCACGAAACAAGCCTCAGGAACGTCAACTACGAGACGAAACAGTGCTAGCTCGTATTGTCTAGCCGCCTTGAACCAGAAAGGAAATTACCGCTCCGTGCCCGTCGGGCTTTCATAAAGGCGCTTTTTGCTGTCTTTCCGCTGTCTTTTTGCTGTCTTTGTTGGCGATCTATCCTGCAATGGATGAGAGTTCGTGGTGCTCAATTTCCTGAAGCTCTGGATGGGCATTTGTAGATTGGGCTCATCGCTGTCGTGAGCTGCATTCTATCGCACATTGTACACCGCGCACTGCTGTGCTGTCCGTGCCCGTTGTCTACGTCCCATGCGTCGTTGTGCTGGCAAATTGTTGTCCGTCGGTTGACGACAAGACAACGCGATAAGTACAATTGATAGGCAAAGTCGAATCAGATAACGGTTGGAGGCAACCGGTCCGCGACCCAGCGCCTAAGTTGCCCGTGCCTGGCAGGGCCAAACGTGCCTTCCCGGCCAGACTTCCAGGCGGCCAATCACAGGCCCGCAACACACCAAGCCTGCACTGCCACCCCTCTGGTACAGCGTGCGTGGGTTGCCCTTGCCCATATCGGCGGCACTGGACCTTCCTGGGCGCCTTTTTTCACTCGTGGGAGGCAGCTGTCAGAAGAAGGAAGGAGCGATGGACTTGTGGGAGAATGAGGCAGCTCATCGTGCTTGAAGGATGCTGCGCAGCACGGAAAGGTCTCAAGCTCGTAAAAAAAAAATACACTCCGTCCACCAAATCGCAACCAAACTACAACATACGCGCACACAACATTCGCCGGCATCAACGACACACGACACCCCCCAAGCGATCGTAACTCAACCGACCGCTTGTCTCCACAATCATCCCTCCCCACCACGCGACCTGCGGAGGACATTGCTGCGACAGCCTGGGCCAAAGCCTGAGCCTGAGCCACACCTGCGTCTTGGCCTCTGCCTCCCGACCTCTCTGCCCTCTGCTTCTGCCTCTTCCTCCTTCGAGGCTCGTCGCGATCACAAGCAACCGCGCGAGTCACCGCCGGTTACAGTCTTTCTGTTAGGCGAACTGGATCTGCTTGCGAGACGTCCGGAGAAACCTCCTCGGCTCCTTTGACCTGAGTATGCAAATCTGTATATAACCTCATGATGTTCGTCTCACCAGCTACGCTTTCGTTTTCTGTCACTCATCCCACCCCTCCTGTTCAGTCTCACGAGACAACCCCTCTCACGCCTCAATCACCAACCTCATAGCTCATACGCGGTGTATATTTAGACCAGTCCCTCTTTCATCACCATCTCCGTTTGCATCGTCGAGTCCGATCTGTAAAGGATCTCGTTTCACAATTCAAGCAAGGAGCGTTTGCATTTGTACACTTCATTTTTTGCACCTGCCCCGCTCTGGTTCATTTTTCAGTCCGTTTGTAGACGAGGCTGAGAACATACTTTGCTTCTTTTAGAGTGAGACACCATAACAAAGACGACCAACGTCTTCTGGTCTTCCAAGGGCTCAAGCTCAAAGAACGTTGCGATCTGCACGCCGACGACACAAAGACGCCTGGATATTCTTGCAACCCCGGCCATCGATATTTTGCCGCCTCGCCTCGCTCCTATGTCTTCGTTCTTCTCACTCGGCCGCCATAAAAACACCACGTCTCCCACCGCACAGTCGTTACAGTTCCAGACACATCCGCAACAACAGCAGCATTCACATCCCCAACCACAGCCACAGCCACTCCAACCAGCCAACAACCTCATCGGTCAAAAACGGAGTGGTTCGGCTCGCAGACGCCTCAGCAAGAGAGAGCGTGTATCAAGAAACAATCCAGAACGACAAGGCCCCATTACGCGCAGCCGCGACGTCAACAAAACCATTGGCCTCGGCGCCATCTCCACAAGTCCCTTCAACATGACCTTTGGTTCAGATGCCCCGGCCCCGGCCGGCAGTGGCCTCAAGGCTGCCGCTACTACTGCTGCTGCCCCGCTAGCTACGCCCGCCAGCCCACCACCGGCAGCCGCTGTCAAGCACACCAACAATATACAGCATACGCCCGAGATCCTGCAGCTCCGGGAGGCGTACAATGTCCAGCGCCATCGTGTGGCCGATGACGAGGCGGCCTACGCCTTTGACCACGTCTGTCGCGTCAATGCCACCCAGGCTGAACGTCTCGCAAACGACGTGTTGCTCCGCCTCAAGCAGGAGGACCAAGAGCTTGTCTTTAACGGGGCGGGTCTGCAAACGGGCTACGGCAGCCAGGAGCACGCCCGCTTCGCCGGCGACCACTACTTGACCAACGTGTCCCTCATCCAAAAAACCAAGGTCCTACAAGCCGCGCGCAAGATGCCCAAAGGCGCCCACCTGCACATCCACTACAACGCCTGCCTCGCGCCCACCGTGCTGCTCAACCTGGCCGCGAAGATGGACCGCATGTTCATCATGAGCAGCAAGAAGCTCCTGTTTGGGAAGGAGGACCCGGAGACCGGCAAGATGGACGGCAGCATGGACGACAGCAACTTCTTTTTGAGTGCCATCTCCTTCTCCATTCTGGCACCGGAGAAGGAGAGACCGGGCAACTTGTTTTCGGAAGAGTACAAAGAAAACCAGACCATGCCGTTCCGCCAGTTCCTCGCCGAGTTTCCGGCCGACAAGATTGGCAAAAGCGCCATGGACTGGCTGGCGCACAAGCTCGTCTTCAGCGCCGAGGAGACGTACGACATCCCGCAAACGGCGGCTGGCGCCTGGCAGCGGTTCAACGACCGCACGAAAATGATGAAGGGCCTGTTCAACTACGAGACGGCCTACCGCGAGTACACCAAGCTGTTCCTGCAGGACCTGCTCGACGACAACATCCAGTATGCCGAGATCCGGCCCAACTTTATGACCAACAACCAGCTGTGGAACGACGAGGGTACCAAGCAGGTCGACAACGCGGGCATTGTGACGATCATCACGGACGCCTGCGACGAATTTGTGGCGCGCAACGCCGCCAATTTCAAGGCGGGCGTGGCCGGCGCCAAGAAGAACTTTGACGGCATCAAGATCATCTACTGCACCCCACGGTCGTTCCAGCGGACGCAAGTCCGGGCAGCGCTCGCCGAGTGCATCGAGTTCAAAAAGCGCTGGCCCCAATACATTGCGGGCTTTGACCTGGTCGGCGAGGAAGGCCAAGGCAAAAGCCTCAACTTCTTCGTCTCCGAGTTCCTCGAGTTCAAGGAGAACTGCAAGGCCGAGGGCCTCGACATTCCGTTCCTGTTCCACTGCGGCGAAACGCTCAGCATTGGCACCTCGGTGGACGGCAACGTTGTGGACGCCCTGCTGCTCGGCGCCAAGCGCATCGGCCACGGCTTTGCCCTCCCCCGCCACCCCGTCGTGCTGGAGCGGATGAAGCAGCGCAACGTCTGCGTCGAGGTGTGCCCCATCTCCAACGAGGTTCTGGGCCTGACGCCCCGCATCAGCGGCCACGCCGTGTACGATCTGCTGGCCCGCAACTTCCCCTGCACCGTCAACAGCGACAACGGCACCCTCTTCCAGTCGTCTCTCTCGCACGACTTTTACCAGGTCCTCGTTGGCAAGGCCGACATGGGCCTGTACGGCTGGCGGCAGCTCGCCGAGTGGAGCTTGACCCACGCGTGCTTCACCACGCCCGACGACCTGGCCCGCGCCCGCGCCCACTGGCTCGACGAGTGGCAGGACTTTGTTCTGTGGCTGCTCCGGGAATTTGACAGCGCGAACCCGGAGACGCAGGCCGTGCTGCGCGAGCTGGCTCTGGCCGGCGACAAGACGGGAGTCGCCAAGCCGGCTCCCGTTGAAGCGGACCGGAGCCGGCTATGAGACACATGACGATGCACGACAGCACTGGGCGGCCTAGCCGGCCCACACGGGAGTCTGACAGTATCGATGGAAGCCAGCGGCGTTTCGGTGTGGCTATGATTTTCCTTTGTTTATGCTTATGATCTCTTGACACCTTTGCTACGTTGGGTTCTTTTGCGGTTTTTGCGGCTTTCTTTCGTGGTTTTTTAATGCTGTGGATGCGTTTGTGTGTGCGTTTTTTATTCGCATTTGTTAAACGTTTGTTTTCTATTCCCCCGCGTTGATATTCTCGAGTGCGCCTTCGTCGTTATTTTATGTCCCTTTCGTTCTTAGAATCATCATCACTGTCTGCATTTCCTCATCTCATTTCTGCAATGTATCGTGACCAAATACCAATGTCTTATACCAGACAATATAAGTTCGTTCTCGAATGACCCTGATCTCCTTTCCCAGCTTACGTTTTTTTTAACATCTGTGAAGACGCCTGTCTGTTACCGTGCCGTAACGTTGACGACATGAACAGGATTCATCAAGGATTCATTCTGCCGCCATTTTCATTGCCATGTGGAACATGTCCGCCCCTTTTGGTTCCCACGGAGTTTTCTGTATCAAAAACCTTGTACACCGACGAGCCCGGTCCCGCGTCGCGCCTGAGCATACGAAATCAATCACGTTGGTTGACGCTTGTTGACGTTTGATGGTAGACGGCAGTCGGTGGTCGGTGCTCGGCATGGGGCACTATGCAGTAGCTGGGATCGTGGAGACACGTGGACGTAGCAGGAAAATGGCCCGACACAGTGGTTTTGCATGTGAGGAAAGAGAAAAGTAAATAATGTGAATAATTAAAAAATGTGACCGTACGATAGAGTCGTAGTTTCACCTGTCTACTCGGCTGGGTGTTACGGAGCATGACGGTAGACCTCAATCGACGTTAAGCGACGAAACAAAAAGACTAACAAAAAGACAAAAAACTCAATATTTCGTAAAACCTCGCTGAGGCCTCTTGATCCGCACGACACACTCGGACGAAATGCGAGACCCAGGAACGAAAAGGTGCACGTGCGAGTGGCACGCGAGGCAGGGGACAAAAGACAAATCTAGCAAGCAGACAAGCACACAAGCAGACGAGCAAGGAACGAAGACCCTCCGTCTTACCCTGCCGAGTCTCTTTTTTCTTTTTCTCCTTTTCAATATCAAAGCGCCATAATCGAGTGTGCCCCAACGTACCACAACTCGCCGGCTGGCAAAAAAGACCGCTCGATAATCGTACTTTGTATGTTGAACTTTGTAGAGCGCGACTTTCAAGTGCCAACCGGCGAGTCTCTCCGAACGCAGCCAAGACAGCTGCGATGTAATTCCCTCGTGGGGATCCATTCAAAGACACAGCTTCTAGATTCAACATCCGCCCACGACACGCAATCCAACCGATGAGTGCATTTCCCAAGGACAAGGAATGGCGCTCTCGACGTCAAGCGGTATTTGTTGACACCAAACACGAATGTGTGTCTCTCTCTGCGAGGTGATGGCAGCATGGTTTGTCATGTCGTCTATGCCAACCCTGTTCTACATCGTCCTCTGGTGTTGAGCCCGTCTCCACAGGACGGTTCTCTTGTTTTTTTGTTCTGCTTCCTTCCGTCAAAATGGCCTTTTAGCCTGGGGCAAAACATATTTTGCTAGCCTGCATGAGAACGGCCCTTGAAACGTTCTGGGGTCGCCGTGCAAGAAAGGAAAATCACTCGTATCGTGGGCGTCTTGCTTTTGTCAACAGTCCCAGCAGAGTCGACAGGCATTGTTCTGGCCAGGAATGGCAGCCAATCTCCAGGCGAGAGTACGGCAATATGCCTCAGACTTGGACATGTCACGTCCAGTACGAGACCTGAACAAGTGCATCGTGAAGCAACATTTTGCGACTGTGATAGTGCCAAAGGCTTGGGTTGGCTCTGGGTGTCTGTGGCTGGGACTCGCTGAAACGGCATGCAAAACCTTCTGCATTCTGCAGAGATCGACGCCCGGCAGCCCCTTCACCTGATCGATGCCATACGACAGGGAAGTCGTTTGTTCTCCCCGGACTGGCGATATGACTCACACGGTGGGCCAGCCCGCGAGAGGGGAGTATAGCAATTTCCCTTCAGACAGTGGGCAGTCTTCCACCTTTTGGGAAATTAGGAGTGTGCAAAAGTAGCGAGGGATGGCATGCTGGGGGGGGGGGGGCACTTTCGGGGTTTCAGCGTATTGTGGTAGGCGCAGTTAGAGGCATTTGGGGGTTCTGGGCCTTGGTTTCAAGGCTGTCCACTCAGCAATTACTGATATGCTTCAGTGCTGTGTCGCCCATCTCACCCACACAACCTTCTCGTGCCTCCAGTCTCCGCCCCGTCGACCCGCCCAGGCGCACCACCGATGTTTAGCCCTGCGCTAGCACTGCCCGTTTTGCCAGCGGTGCAATGGTTGCAATAGCTGCAATGCCACTCAAGTTCTCATTCTCAGACGTTCAGTATTTCGTAGACCGAGAGAAAGCGAGGCTCTGCTGACGCTCGTACTTTGTAAGATACAGGAGCCATGTCGCATGCAGCTCTCACGGGCATGGGAAGCTCGAGCTCATCTCCGCCAGTCCAGTGCTATCGACGCTGCAATTTGGGCGACTTTCAGCGCTTGCGTCCTTGCATCTGGCGGGGTTTCGCTATCTCGGCCGGGGGCTGTGTCCAGCCAGCCTAGCGGGAAAGCGCGATCCACTCTGTCTGTATATGGACTAGCGTGAAAAACTGTGACTCACACGCTCTTTCTTTGCGCCCCTTTCGCGAGTGCAAAGTACTCCCCTTTTCCTGCCACTAACGCATAGTCCTCCTCGTGGGTGGCAGACGCGCACAATCTGCGGGACCCACAGTTAGCGGCAGTACTTACGAGCCGCGCCCTTTGACTTGTCGCGTCCCTGGTCGTCCCTTCTCTTTGCTCCCATTCGCCCACTGGCCTTTGCTCTTGCCCTCTTGCTGTTCCTGCCTTCCTTGGCCAGTTGCTGCCTGATACAAAACATCGCCCCGCCCACCTCTGTTTCTCTCTTTTTCTTTTCCTTCTTTCTTCCTCAACCCCAAAATTTCCATCATCACCAACTTCAATTTCACACAGCCCCAAGGCCACCGCCAAGATGCGTTAAGTACCCTTCTTCCCAGCTTTCTCAAACGTCGACAAAATTCCGTCGCCAATTCACCCCCCGTTTTTAAACCCCTTTACAACCGTTTCCAACTCTCTCCCCCCTTCAGCTCTTCCTCTCCAGGTCGATCTGAACGTCAGCTTTGAGCAACCGCTTTTACGCTCTTCTCGTTCCCCAACCGCCACAATTCCCTCTCAAGACTTTTCAGTCTTCACAACGGATTCCCCACAGTCAACATGGCTTCCCTCCCGTGCTTCCCGCCTGCCGGCTCCATCCGCGCATCAACAACAACAACTGCCTCAGAACAATTTGAACGTGCCTCAAACGGATTTTGTTCTGTTCGATTCACCTGCCAAGCCGCAGCGTCAACATAATCGTCTTGTCCAGCACCCTGCCGTCAACGGAGTTGTCGCTTCACCGCAAACCCAACAGCAACCGCGTTTCGCCCAAGCCACTCACAACCTGGTTGTCTCTGCCTCGCCCTCTCTGCAGAATCCGCGTGTGGCCCGCCTCCAATTCGCTGCAGGTCCGAGCATTTCGTCTACTACGGCTTTCCCTAATCGGTTTCCCTCCACTCCTTCCACGCAGAATCATTTTTACGCGTCTTCTGCGCCATCGTCCACTGTTGCTGTGAACAAGCAAATCTCGGTCCGGCCTCCAGTTCCGCCGTTTCCCCACAGTACCGGTAGCGTCCCGCAGATTCCTACCAACAAAATGGTTCTTGAAGGTAGCTCTCCTCCCTCCATGCACAGACAATCACTGCACATGCATCGAACAGCCAGCTCACAGTCCATTCCGTCTTCAGACCTGCAAGGCCTCAGTGATTTCGCGGCTGTCAGCTTTGACGGTGCTTCGTTCTCGTCGCCCGCCATGGCAGCCAGCTATGACCTGACCTCGAGTGTGTCCAGCAGCTCGACGAGCAACCTGGGCACGGTGTCGCCAAACGACCTGCTCCTGCAGGAGCCGTTCATGTCGGCACCCAACTCGGCTGCGCTCACGTCCTTGACATCTCCGTCGGACTTTGACGACTCTCCTTATGGCGACAGCTACGATGTGTCGCCCAACTTTGGTGGCAACGACTTTGAGGCGGGGGCCCACGACACGTGGTTCCCCCTCTTCGCCCAGGACACCACCTCTTCGGTTGCTGCAGGCCCCGTGGCCGGCGCTGTTTCGGCATCGCCCGCATCGCGGCCTGTTGATGAGATTGACGAGTCGGAGACAACGCCCAGCCGCCGCAAGTCGTCCGGTCATGCCCGCTCCCCTTCCACCTCGCACAAGCACTCTGCCTCAGCCGGCGTCAATGCCTCCCGACGCCGGGAAAAGCCTCTGCCCCCTATCATTGTCGATGACCCGTCGGACATCGTTGCCATGAAGCGGGCGCGCAACACCCTTGCCGCACGGAAGTCCCGTGAGCGCAAGGCCATGCGCGTGGAGGAGCTTGAGGAGAAGATTGCTAAGCTGGAAGCGGAGCGCGACCACTGGAAGAAGATGGCTCTCGGTCACTAGAGAGAATCTGAACTGAATCTTTTCGTTATCGTTTCTTATTTCTGATTTGATTGTATTTGCTTTCGCTGTTTTTTGTCTCGAAAAATGGAGGATGGAGGATGTGATATTTCAAAAAGTTTGTTCTTGAAATTTAGGCAGACGTATAAGTACGGGAGGGTAACACAAGCATTCTGACCGGCCTCTTCGTGACGGCTGTCGAATCCCCTCGCCGGAAACAGTGTTTCTTTATTTGTTTGTTTTCATTGTTTATTTGTTGGAGTGTCGTCTGCCTCGTAGTTTGACCGCGGAATATTCCACTGTTACTATTATCAGTTTAAGTCTACTCATTTTCCTAATTTTCTGTGCAGGTTGAAATACACTTGTCACGTATCGCAACTATAACAATTGTTTTTTATCCATAACCATTTGCCTAAATAAAGTGACTTTAACCCGTGCTAGATGAAACGTGCTTAACCCTTGTAGTAGTAATTTTGGCAATCATTATTCAATTATTATTTGTAAGAACGGTGTCTTTTTTTTAAAAAAAAAATTGTAAAATAAAATAAAATTTGAACAAGTCAACCAAAGGCACGCACATATATTCACATAGAACTACATCCGTATCAATGGACCAGCAACTGTGTTTTATTAATCGTAGCTCTGTCAATTCTATCGTCGTGTGATACTGTTTAATGCGCCTGTACCACACCGGCCGCGTTTGCTTGTGCAGCAATACGCTTCTTGTACTGCTGCACATCGCCGGCAAACTTCTCGACGGTGCCGCCGTCGCACACCCACAAGCTCTTGCACACGGTCTGCAGCATGGTGACGTCGTGGCTGACCATGAGGACGCCGCCCTCGAACTGGTTGAGCGCGTCGGCCAGGGCATCCATGGCCTCAATGTCCAGGTGGTTGGACGGCTCGTCGAGGACGAGGATGTGCGGGTTGGTGAGGGCCAGGCAGGCAAAGGCGACGCGCGACTTTTGGCCGCCGGACAGCACCTCCATCTTTTGCAGGCCGGTGGTGCCGGTGATGCCAAAGGCGCCGAGCTGGCGGCGGTAGTCCTCGTCGGTGCTGCCGGGGTACGTCTTGGCCATGAAGGAGACGGCGGACAGGGTGAGGTCGAGGGCGTCGACGTGGTGCTGCGCGAAGAAGCCGACGCGCAGGCGCGGGTGCATGGACATGATGCCGGCCAGCGGCTGCAGGCGGCCGGTGAGCAGCTTGAGGACGGTGGTCTTGCCGGCGCCGTTGGGGCCGACGATGCCGATGCGCGAGTCGAGCTGGACGTCGAGGTCGACGTTGCGCAGCAGGACCTTGTCGGCGCTGTAGCCAAAGGTGACGCCGGACAGCTGGACGATGGGCGGCGACAGCTTCTCGACGTCGGGGAAGCGGAAGTGGACGCTGTACTCGGTCTCGGGCGGCTCGAGCACGGGCATGCGCTCGAGCTTCTTGATGCGCGACTGGGCCTCGGACGACTTGGCGGCGTTGTAGCGGAACTTGTCGATAAAGGCCTGGAGGTGCGCGCGGACGGCCATCTGGTTCTCGTACTCGCGGCGCGCCGTCTTCTTGCGCTCCTCGCGCGTGGCGTAAAAGGCGTCAAAGTTGGCGCCGCGGTAGTAGTCGAGGCGCTCCGAGTGCTGGTGGATGATGTCGGTGGCGACCTCGTTGAGGAACGCGCGGTCGTGGGACACGACGAGCACGGTGCTCGGGTAGCCCTGCAGGTAGTTGGACAGGAAGGTGATGGACGGCACGTCCAGCATGTTGGACGGCTCGTCGAGCAGCAGCAGGTCGGGCTCGCAGAAGAGGGCGCGCGCCAGCGCCAGGCGCATGCGCCAGCCGCCCGAGAAGGTCTTGGTGGCAAACTGCTGGCGCTCGGGCGAGAAGCCCAGGCCGGCCAGGATGCTGGCGGCGCGCGACTCGGCCTTGTCGGACTCCATCTCGGACAGCTTGCCCTGGACGTCGCCGAGGCGCTGGTCGAGCGCCTCGCGCTCGCGGTCGAGGCGCGTCGCGTCGGTGGACGTGTCGGCCAGGGACGACCGCTGGGCCTCGATGGTGGCCAGGCCGTCGGTGATGTCGGCCTGCTCCTTGAGCAGGATCTTGCGCCAGACGTCGGCGTCGAGCACGGCCTGCAGGGCCGAGGTGTCGTCGCCGGTGATTTCCTGCTCGACGTGCAGGATGGAAATGTGCGTGGGGACGGGCAGCTCGCGGCGTGACAGGGCGCGCAGCAGCGTCGATTTGCCGACGCCGTTGTTGCCGACCAGGCCGTAGCGGTGGCCGTAGGAGAGCGACAGGTTGGTGTCCGTCAGGATGCGCGTGCCCGCAATGTTGACGTCAATGTTGTCCAGCTTGATGTCCTTGGGCTTGCCGGCCGACGACTGGCCCAGCTGCAGCGGGTTGACGGCCATGTAGAACTCCTCGTACGACTGTGCGGCGTCGGGCTGGTGGAGCAGGCGCGACGCCTCGTACTCGACCGTCTTGTATGTCTTCTTGTTCTGCTTGGCCGCAATCTTGCGCTCGGCCTTTTCGAGCTTCTTCTTGTCGACCTTGGACTCGACTTTCCGCGTGTTGGCCGACTCCAGGTCGACGCCGCCCGACGCCACCGCCAGCGTCGACGACATGTTGCGCTGTGCGCTGACCTGGAAGGTCTGGTCCAGCCGGCGCACGGTCGACGCGCCCCCCAGGGCGTTGCCACCGGCGGCCTCGGCGTACTTGTCCACCCACTTCATCACGAGCTTGTTGATGCGCTCGCGCACGGCAGCATTCTCCGGGTCGCCCGCGGCAGACAACAGCAGCTCTGTGACGGCGGCGGCGGCGTCGGCTAGCGGGGCCGATGAGCCGCCCTCACCGCCCGCTTCGTCATCGTCGGAGCCGGAACCGGACCAGGTGGCCGAGGCATGTGTGAGGTAGCCCACAGAGTACTCGGACACGACCGGGTCGATGTTTGGGATGAGAGCCCGGATTTCGGTCTCCATTGTGGCGGGGTCAATTCGGCAGGCTGAGAGGCGTATTTGAGCGGTAGGAGACGGTAAACGTCCGGAGGGACGGCCAGCGAGCCGGGTAGAGAGACGGAGTGTGTGTGGGAGGCCGCACTGGGGTTATCGTGCTGGTGGGAGTGGTGGTATCCGCCTTTCACAATGTCGTGATATTGGAGGTCGTCTGGTGTTGTGGTGCTTGGAAGTTTTTCGATTTAGCACGTGAGCGCGATAGGTGGACGATAAGGCTGCTAGTTCGAGAGCCTTTGGGTGGTTTCTTCTAGGCTGTGCCTTCCTGCGATTCACCCCGCTTTGTTCGCTACAGCCCGCTGAAACGGCGCACTTGCCCCCTGTAATTACGATGTAGCCATTTGGATGGAAATGGCTGTTAATTGCTGCAAGTTCGCATGTTAACGTTAAGCAGACTGCACCACCGTCGAGGAGATTCTGGCAAAGTAAAGGCAGAGTCTTTGGTGCACTGCTGCCCTGACTTCTCTTCTCGGATATGCTATTCTTTAGACTGCCCCTTTCGTTCGCCTCGCACTTGCCCCGTCCCAACACCACTTGGGATGGTCTGCTTGTCTCTGGACGAGGAAGGAACAGTGTGCAGATTTAGCCGCTCAGGAGGCAATTGGCTGTGGTTCTTCATCCCGGATTCAGGAGTCCAGGGGATCAGGAGATGCATGTCTTACTTCCAAAGGCTATTGGACCCTTGACCCGTTGTCGTCTTCTCCGCACCCTTTCCCTCTTGTCGCCTCCTTTCGAAGACGAGACGCCCCTGGCTCGAGACCGAGAGAACGCATGCCGCCGTCTTCGTTTCGGGCGTTTTGGTGGCAAAGTTGGCCAACAGCAATTCGTGAGGGCTAAAGACAAGCGACGCCAAACGAACATGCCGGGATGTGGAGTCAGTTTCTGTTAATTGACTGCAGGGTGGAGAGATGTTAGATCGAGATGAGATGAACGAGGCGGAGTACGAATTACTGCGTATTCCAAAAGTCTGCACGTCGTCCTCCGTACCTTCCCTGGATCTGGTTCCTCGCTCTTGCCGTTGCGTCTTGCCAGAGGAAATGCCATGGTAACTAGACGTTTACCGTCGTAGAGCCATGCCTGTTTCAAAGGGAAGGAGCAGCCGGCTTCTGACTGGGTCAAAGTGCTTAGGATAAGTTGCACCAGAGGTACTGAGAGGCCTTGAGCACCAACGAGTAGACACAAAACGTTGCTGAAAAGGGTGACACGAGATACGTAGACCGTTGGCCCTGAAAAGGGCGCACGAGATACGTAAACAGTTGGCCCTGAAATGGGTGCACGAGATACGAGAAGACAGTTGGCACCTTTTTCAGTGTCGTGGCTGTTAGACCAAGCTGGTCGACTGTACCTGCCTTGTCCCTGTCCATCAGTTCCTTCCCTGCGGAGATGAGACGACGCCAACATGAAAAAAAGAAACGGCGTAGGGAAGGCGCCATTGTTTACCCGTCTCTTTGTGGTCTTACTGTACAGAATACCGTGCGTGCCTCTTTCCCGCTTGGTCATATATTTCCATCCATCTATTTTGAAGGGACAGGGTTGTAGGGTTTAATTGTGCGTCGTTCTAAGCTAGAACGTGTCGCGTGGCCAGCCAATGGACACGCGCCGTTTCCTGTAATAGTATTTTAGCATTTTTCTTTTGGAAGGTTCTACGAATTATTACGACCAGTAACCATTCTAGCTTTTCCGCGGTGCCTTCTACCTTTCGAACGTCAACGCCAACCAATAGGCTGGCACAAGCACGCGATCTGTCGCTCGTCCTCCTCGTGGCTGTGAGCTCTCTCTGCCACGACGGCCGTTTGGTTTCGAACCATGGCTCGCGGCGGCTTCTGCCACTGCCACTTTGCACCGTTTCCCCTCCTCGTTGAATCGATTCCACAACATTCGGTTCGGCCAAGCTGACGACTGAGACACAAGAGGCACAGCTGGGGAGAGCGACATGGAGAACGAGATATCAGAGAGACGACAATGAATCCGGCGTCGAGGGGTGTGCTGTCGTATCTGCGTGCTTGGCGAATACGGTTC